TTCGATTCCCGCTCGAGTCTATTCTAATATACCTGCTTAGAATTAACTTTAAGGTTATCAGTTAGAAGAAAAAAAAAATAGACTTCTATTTAGTATCATCCTTTTTTCCTCTAAAAAATATAATTATCTTCACTAATATTATAAATGTGAGTTTTTTTTTTTGATGGGTGAAAATGGAATGGTAACCCCTCCTGCGCTAACGGGATACGCTGGCGGAGCACCAGTGAAGGGTGATAGATAAGAATGAAAACAGGCCAGTTAGCCCATCATTATCAATTCGTCAAGAATTAACCATGATAGTTTCCAGGGAGAACCGCGAGGAGGTCGACCTGGTTGGGTATATTGCTAGCAATGGGATTCTTACTCTCCATTACTAACAATCCCTTTCCCACCTGTAACAGTAAGTTTGTTTACTACCTTTTAACGCATTTACGGCTTAACAAATCAATGTGAAATTTGGTAAACAAGCACTATATGGAATAGAAAATGTCATAGGGTACTTTTCATCGTGAACAATGGACATAACCCTGTTACGCGGACGAAGTCACAGCTAAAACCTAGTCTTAGAGTATTATGCAATTATTAAAACATGTCGAGGAGTTATATTAATATTATTTGTCAGGATTGTGTTAAATAATCATTGTATTGTAATGTTTTTTAAATTTAGAATGGCAAAAAAAACTGACGGCCCACCTGATTAGTATTGCTAATTGTCGCCTCTAAACATAAACAGTACCATGGACATAACAGACTATACTGTTTCGCCCATGATACCCTTTATGCATTACCATTCCTGAGGAGTAAAAATTTACACCTCTGTAACCTGTAATTTCATTGCCGTATCCCATTCTTCAAACCGAAACGCAGCCATGCAAACAACTGCTTCACGGCAGAAACACGAATGGAAGACAGGTACCCAAGCAGACGACTTTTGGCGTCTCCTTTGTACACAATTTTTAACTTTTGTCAAAGTTAGGATATAACCTATCTGTGTAGCAAATTTCATTAAAATCCGTTCAGTGGTTTTTGCGTGAGATAGCAACAAATATCCGACCATCCATCGTTACTATCATGCGCATTTATTACACTAATAGGATATGACCTGACCAGTTACGTCGTGTCAACGTATTATCAAGGGTATAAACATTTATGTCTTAAGTCGTAACAGACGTCTGCACTAATGTTGTTGCACCAAAAAAAAAAATAGACAGCGATTAGAAAAACCGATGAAATCAGAAATTATTACATGCAACGAAAGTTTTTTCTTGGTATCAAGAAGCATGTTCCAGAGCCGTGACGATTATATAACAAAAAAAAAATTAAATACCAGTACGGTGTGAAGGGCTAGAGAGTTGCAGAGTGCCACAAAAACGTAGGTTACGATCGTGAGTTTGAAAAAGGTATTAGAATTTGCTGCTTAAGTAATTTGGAAAATGCGCGTTTCAAAGAAGAGTAATGATAGAGCAGAGGGCCTACCATGTAATGTTTTCCGAAATTTCGGTACCGAACGAAACAAAAATTTGATGCTAAAATTACACGGTACCCCGTTTAAAAATATTAAAAATGCTAAAATATCGTTCCTTTGAACTTTTATGATAGGATTTATGACAAACGAAATGTTAAGTTCCATTTACAGGGTCGATTTCGGTACGAACAAAAACACGAAATTGAGCCCGAAAATTCGGAATTTCATTTCATTGTAGGCCCCCAGAGTCTTAATGTTTCTGTATTGATAAATGGAATGTTTATGAATGAATGAATCATACTTTACTTGTACTTCGCCAGTGTATACCAATAGCACAGGTTACGCTACCATTTAATTACCATTAAAAAAAAAAAAACACTGGTTAGAATCGAAATTTGAAATTTTTTAATATTTCCTTTTACGATGTTAATAGGTATTAAGTAAATGATTTTTCGAAATTATAGTAAACAGTTGCAAAATAATAAGTAGTTAGTACGTAGTTATATTTACATGTTTATCGTTATATCGTTGTCAGCTGTTGTATGAATGTGTAATTATATATTCATATCTCTTCTCTGATAATAATACATACATGTTTACATCATACTTTGTATATTTGCTCAATTCTGTTAACAAACTAAATGATATAGTCATTCAAATGAGGCCTTAATCTTAAGGAAATATTTGTAATCAAGTAATTCCGCACGTCCAGTTTTTAAACATTAAAAAAAAAAACTAAATACATCTATGTATTTACTTTTTTTTTAATAACAAACTAAGCTTTTGCTCTCTACTTCGTATTCGTGGATTTCTACACTAAAAAAAAAACGAATGAAATATACCGCTTCTAGATAGCGTATCAAGATAAAATACAATTGTTAGAACCACACCCATTTTGGTGCAGTCGTTTTTGCGTGACGCCGGAGTGAACATACGGATAGATACACCAAATTTCTAAAAAATATTGTTTCAACTTCTATTGCTGTTATTGAGACTCCTCATATATATATATTTTTTTAATATCAGACGTCTAGTTACAATTTTATTGTATTGGTAAGATAAATTGACAGTATCACGTTAAAAAAAAAAAAGAAAAAAGTGTTAAAAGACCCTACATGGGTCTTTTTATTTGTTAATTAGATAGATAAATATATAATTTATTTGCATCACTTATAACACTACATATTGATACATACTCGTACTTAAAAAAGAAATAAAATAAAACATACAAAAAAGAAAACAAAAAGAAAGTACGTAATGCAAAATGATCACAACTTAGCTTATTGCTTTGCCCTCAAAAGAGCAAAACACTGATATTCTATTTTATACAGAAATAAAAAAAAATATTATATATGTAACTACTCTACCGATTTTCATCATTATTTCTACTATCGATACAATTTACTCCTACTTTGATTCCATATTTTGTACAGATTGAACATATTATTGTTCTCCTCAAAATCTACATGTCTGTACAAGTAGACGCTGCGTTCTAAATTGAAATGTTTTCAATCTAATATGTCTACAAAACATCTGGTTTTCTCTTTATTAATTTTGTTGTCATTGGATTTGTTTTGCGAAGCAATACGTATTTGTTATAATTATATTCTGTTTTCCGAGTGATTGTCGTGTGATCTCTTTATAGAATGCGCCACCCCTTCCTTTCCCATGGATGTCGCAAGAAGCGACTAAGGGAATTTAATAGTCCCTCTTAAAACATCGCCAAAGGCTGACTACGGTTGGCAATCGTGTTAATTGCTGGCAAACCCCTTCCATTTTGGGTGAAGCCTGTATTCAATTGACGACTCTTTTTTATTTATTTTTTTTACAACACGGGGCAAACGAGCATGCGGCTCACCTGATGGTAAGTGACTACCGCCGCCCATGATCACCCACAACACCAACGGCATTGCAGGTGTGCTGCCAGCCTTTTAAAAAGGAATATGCTCTTTTCTTGAAAGTTATGTTGTCGTATCGGTTCGGAAATACTGCTGCTGGAAGTTGATTCCAAAGAATGGTTGTGCGTGGAAGAAAGTGCCTTGAAAAACGCATGGTGGAAGACCCCGCCATTCATCCAGATGGTTGGGATGAAATTTTAGGTTATGGCGGGTTGTACGATGGTGAAAATCAGCAGCAGGTATCAATCCGAACAATTCTTCAGAGCACTCTCCATGATAAATTCGGTAGAAGATGCACAGAGATGCAACGTCTCTACGCAGTTTCAGTGGGTCGAGTCGGACAGTGAGACGCCGAGATGGGAGTGTGATACATATGACGATGATGATACTTTGGTTTGAAATTTAACAGTGAAACAGACTACCTACTGGGTCTAATTGACTCCAGCTAACATATGTACATATGCATACGTGTACTTGCTGTATCACTGTATTTAAAACCAATTAATTGGAGATCAATAAATCCCCACCCATTTCATGCTAATGGATACGGCCAACAAGCTGACGACTCTACTAATGGAAAATGGCAACTGTCACCTGTAAACATGAATAATGCCGTCATACGTAATTATACTGTGCCGCCCATTTCACCTCACAGGCGTGTCACTTCTGAAACAACATGATAATTGTTGGATAAAAACAAACAGTTGGGTAAAAACGATATACCTGGGTTATTTCGACCCTGTAACCTGGTGGAAACGTTGAGATGACCCATGTAAATTATCAACATTTACCTAAATAGTCGTGTTAATCTCCATCTCTTATAAACCATAATCCTACATAATTTCCCATATGCAAAAGCTTTCAATTACTCAGCGGGCTATGGAGAAGGCTATACTCGGAGTTTCTTTGCGTGACAGAATTCGAAACGAGGATATCCGCAAAAGAATCAAAGTAACCGACATAACCGGAAGGATAAGCAAGCTGAAGTGGCAATGGGCTGGTCACATAGCTCGAAGAATCGACAACCGATGGGGAAGAAAGGTTCTTGAGTGGCAACCTCGTATGGGCAAACGCAGTGAAGGACGACCTCAAATGCATTGCAGGGAGTCAGTGGAAGCAGATGACTCAGGACTGTTCCTTATGGCAGTCTATGGGAGGCCAATGTTCAGCAATGGACAGATAAAACAAATACTATTCGCTTGTAACATAATAATACATATTTTTACCTGTACTTTTACAGGAGGAAAGGGATTGTTAGTAATGGCGTCTAACTGCCCCATCACTAGCAATATACCCTATCAGGTCGACCTCCACGCGGTTCCCCCTGGAAACCATCATGGTTAATTCTGGTGGAAATTCGCCACGATGGGCTAACTGACCTACTTTCATTATCACCTATCATTCATTACTGGTGCCCCGCCAGCGTATACAGAAAGTGCAGGCTGGTTTACCATTCCATTATCACCCATTAATAAAAAGCCTGTACTTTTACTGCTAAGTAATAAAATTCTAAGTGAAAACGTCACGATGAACAAACTGACTTGATTTCATCCTTATCTATCATCACTTACCTTCTTCCCATCTTCACCTCGTTAAAACCTTTGACAGTTAAGTAAAAGCGTGTTACTTTGTTCCAGAAATATGGAAGTGATCGGAGTAGTCGGCGAGGGTCGTGACGTGGCGTGGAGCCGCGCCATGCAGCCTCCGAGGCTACTGATGCAGAGGGTACACATACCGTTCACCTTCAAACTGAAGGAGGACGATCCTATCGGATATTCAGGTAGGTTACCTCGGGGAATCACTTAGAGCTTACTAAAATAAAAGAATTGTAACAAGATGATGTCTCTACAGGAGAGATATTTTAGAAAAATTGATTTTAAAGTGTTGGAGTATAAAGTTTATTCTAATAAAGTTCCAAAAATATTATTATTTTTCATAGGTGGTAACGATTTTTATTGGTTGTCTTATTTTTGGAAGGTGGCAACTTCTGTTTTTTTTTTATTATTAGTGTGTGTTCTCTCTTGTCTCTGGTTCCTTTTTAAGAAAATTATTCTTGAAAGTGTGTAAAAAGAAAAATTAAATATTTCAAATTATTGTACGCGGTTTTTATAAAAACACCACTTCGCTTCAATAGAAATTTACATCAATTAAAGATGCTAAAACTATTTTTTTTAATTTGTATGACTGTCTGTTTGTATGTTAGCGCCGGCATCAAGAAGAAATTACTGCACCAAATTGTATGCAGTTTTCACAGTTGTGTTGCTGAAGGTTACTTTAAACATTTGGCGTATGTTTTATTGTTATACGCCATTTAAAAGTAATCTATTTTATTGTTTACTTACTTTTGGAATATACGCATAAAAATAACATTGATATGACTAGGTCATATTAATTTTGTTACGCAAAAAAGCCGGTTTTTGCGGGGAAAATAGGTATTCTTAATTAATTACTTAATAATTAATTCATAGGCTACGGTAACCGATTATCATCAGGTGGGCCGTATGCATGTTTGCCACCTCAGTGGTATAAAAAAAAATACTAGATTAATTCATCAAGTCCACAATAATAAGTAGCAGATAACATTTGTCATTGTAATATCTTAGGATTGTCGTGTCTGTTATCATTGTTACGCTTATTACATTGTATTCGTATGTGTATGACGACATTAGTAAATGATAATGATATCTATTTATGGAATTGCGGAATACCATAAAACTTGTTTGCAATTTATTACACATTTCATTTTTTTTATACAACTTTGAATGGCAAACAAGCTGACGGCCCACCTGATGGAAAGTGGTAACCGTCGCCTATAGACATGCGCAGTGCCATGGACATAACAGAGTATACTGTTTCGCCCATGATACCCCCCATGCGTTGTCATTCCTGAGGACTCAGATGTTATTCCTCTGTAACAAAGAACATAAAAAATACAGCCCATGAGATTCACTGATAAATAACTACAGTGAACGCTCTATATAAGTAACTCATTTGAATCAATTTCAATAAAAAAAAAAATCTTATTGGGAAAAGTTGCTTATAGGGGAAAAAGGAGTATAAAAATATTTAGCGTCTGGAAAATATTTTTACCTATTTCTTTTACTAACTAAGCTGAGTAAAATCAATAAAATATAAAGAATGTTGCTTATATAGAGCGTTCACTGTACTAATAAACTGTCAGTTTTCCTCATATTGGGTTTGCTGGAAGAAATCTCTTTTAGAGATAAGCTCGCTTTTGTGCACTATTATGTTTTTCTTTTTTACTTTAATAGCTTTTTGTGCACAATGAAGAAAAAAAGAATGTGTTTAGTAATCATTCATTCTGTCTCGTTCGTTCGAGCCCTCTCGCTCCCGCCACTCGGCCCGTATAACACGTCGTCACTTTACATGTACTCGTAGTTTAAAATAATAAATATTCAATATTACTAAGTGCCTTTGGACTTTACATCCACTACAACCTGCATACCATAGTAAGGTATATAAATATTATACAGAATGTACATAAAAGCTTTTAAGTTCGTCAACTTTCAACTTTCCGAACCATTCGGCGCCCTTACTCTTGAGCCACAATATACTGGAACCACAGACGAATACAACTATATATATATATATATATATATATATATATATATATATATATATATATATATATATATATATATATATATATATATATATATATACCAATACAACGATGTACAATACGCTTTTCACTGTGTATATATATATATATATATATATAACTTTGAATGGCAAACAAGCTGACGGCCCACCTGATGGAAAGTGGTAACCGTCGCCTATAGACATGAGCAGTACCATGGACATAACAGAGTATACTGTTTCGCCCATGATACCCCCCATGCGTTGCCATTCCTGATGTCTCAAGTGTTATTCCTTTGTACCCTGTAAATTAATGCCATATCCCACCCTTCAAACCGAAACACAGACATGCAAACACAACTGCTTCACGGTTAAAACACACGGTTAAAACATATATGACAAAGCCCTGCATTCTATCTACATATATACTTATATATACACTTACATACAAAATAATTAAAAACAAAAAAAATATATAAAATATGTAATGTATGTAACATTATATATACTTACATATAAAATAACAAAAAATACACAATTTACAGTACTATTATGTATAGAAAACTTAAACTTATTTCTCCTATTAGTGTACGATAGATGCTCTTGACCGGTTTTCATGTTATTTACTCGTAACATACGCAATCCGCTTGCCGCAACTCACACTTGACCGGTATAAATTATATTGTTTGTGTGTAGCAATAAAATTATTATTACCGAAAAATTTAAACTCGCATGTCCTTGACAATAAATATGTTGAATATTACATTTCGAAACTACCTACTGCATTATGTATGCGAACTATTTAGAGTCCAATACTAATGTTGTCTATTATTAATATTCTAGTTCTTCATATTATTATTAAGATAATATCTTATTTTTTTTTATACCACTGAGGTGGTAAACAAGCATATGCCCCACCTGATGGTCAGTGGTTACCGTAGCCTATGAGCACCTGCAATACCAGGTTTATTACGTGCGCTTTGTCGATCCTGAAAAAACCACTTAACCACTTCACCATCATACAACCCGCCATAAACTAAAATTTCATCCTAACCATCTGGACAAGTGGCGGTCCTCCACCGTGCGTTTTTCAAGGCACTTTCTCCCACGCACAACCACTCTTTGGAATCAACTTCCAGCAGCAGTATTTCCGAACCGATACGACCACATAACCTTCAAGAAAAGAGCATAATCCTTTTTAAAAGGCCGGCTGCACACCTGCAATGCCGTAGGTGTTGTGGGTGACCATGGGCGGCGGTAGTCACTGACCATCAGGTGAGCCGCATGCTAGTTTGCCCCCTGTGTTGTAAAAAAAAATTACAATAAGCAATTTTTATGTCCTTTTTCTATGATTAATTATTAAATTATTGTTTCAAATTATTAAAAAACATTTCTCGACCAAATATAGTGGAAGACGCTGACCACGGTTAATATTTACAAATATTGAATTGCCAAAAGTATAAAACGTTATTGTAGCCCACCACCAGTTTACACACAACGCGACTTTATTGTACAGTTAACAAATTTTAGCAGTTGTACGTTAAAGTCGCATGTACGTCATAAAATATAACTGTTATATGTATGTACAAGTGATATTGTCGCTTTTAATGACCCGGTTCAATTTTATTACAGTAACTAGCCCTTCCCACGGTTATGTCCAATTGAATTTAACCACCTGAGCCGCACGACACTTGTTTGTTTACAAACGACGACAGCGACTGTACATTCTTCTATTTTTTTTTTTTATAAATCCTTACTTTTTTTTGATGGGTAATAGATTACAATGAAAACAGGCCAGTTAGCCCATCATGATGAATTCATCAGGAAATAACCATGATAGTTTCCAGGGAGAACCGCGAGGAGGTCGACCTGGTTGGGTATATTGCTAGCAATGGGATTCTCAGTCTCCATTACTAATAATCCCTTTCCCCCCTATAAATCCTTACTAGTATCATAAATGTAAGAGTGAGTTTGTTACCTTATAGCAAGGATGGTTCGTTACTCGCCACTATTAATTAGTCCAGTCGATCGTGGCAAGACAAAAAATATAATTTGGCCAATCTAGCGAAAGATGCTCAGACGCAATGTTCACACTAAAATAAATAAGTAGTTACTAAGAATAATTTTCAATTTCATGTTTTCCCTTTTAATAAAATATAAAATATTACAATACTGCATAATTGAATACTGTACTGTTTCATTTGAGATTTCAAGAAGTATATAAATGGTAGATCGAACACGGTTTCGTCAGTAAGCTGTAAATCTTGGGTCAAGTCGGCCACCCCTGTCTTATAGTAATATCTATATATTTTAATTACAATATCCATATAGATACTGATCCAATAACAAATATGTTAAAAGTCTGCTATCCAAAGGATAGTATTGAATAACAGATTTTTAACATATTTGAAAATATCTGACTGATATGGGCATTATCGAAATGAGTGACGACCTTTTTTTCACCATCAATGTCCAGAGCAACCCAATACATAGATATCGGATCGGTATAATATAGATACTCATGCCTAGTTTGTAATGGTATAAAAAATGGTCTGATGTACGTATTTCCTGCAGGTGTAAGCTGCTGCGTATCCTCGACAGTTCGGTACTGGCATGCGAGCTGGTGGGGAGCGCCCGTCAGGGAGCTGCACAGGACGCTATGGGGCTCGTTGCCAGAGATCCTCGCTTCTACCCATCTCAAATTCACCAGGTATTTATACCACTTAAAAAGTGTTCACGTTAGTTCAATGTCGGAGGCAAAAACAAATCAGAAAATCTTTTTAATAGATGAAAATGGAATGAATCTCCCCTCGATTTTTTATTTATTTTTTTTATTTCGAGAGATCAAATATTACTGGGAGTTCCCTCCTCGCTATTTGATTCAGAGTTGACAATAATATTAACACAAAAAATACATACTTATTAAGAAACTTTTTTTTATGCAATTTAGATTGGCAAACTAGCTGATGGCCCACCTGATGGAAAATGGTACCCGTCGCCTATAGATATGAGCGAGCCATAGACATAAGAGAGTATACTTTTTCGTCCATGATATATTTTCCCCCCACGCATTGCTATTCCATACCTCTTCGTTTTGGAAATAACTCGAAAAAACAAACGCTTGCAAGTAATGATTTCTGATATCATCGGTTTTTCTAATCGCCGTCAATTTATTTTTATTTGGTGCAACAACATTATTGCAGACGTCTGTTACGATTTAAGACAAGTGTTTATACCTTTGATAATACGTTGACACGACGAAACTGGTCAGGTCGTATCCTATTAGTGTAATAAATGCGCTTGATTGTAACGATGGATGGTCGGATATTTGTTGCTGTCTCACGCAAAAACTACTGAACGGATTTTAATGAAATTTGCTACACAGATAGGTTGTATCCTGACTTTAACAAAAGTTAAAAATTTTGTATAAAAGAGACTACAAAAGTCGTCTGTTTGGGTACCTCTATCCCATTCGTGTTTCTGCCGTTAGGCAGTTGTTTACATGGTTGTATTTTGGCTTGAAGGGTGGGATATGACAATTAAATTACGTTCAGGTTACAAAGGCATAATATTTTAGCCTTCAAGAAAGGCAAAGCGTGAGGGTTATCTTGGACGACACAGTATACTGTTATGTTAATGTTACTGTTCATGTCTACTAGGCGACTGTTGCCTTTTTGTTATTGAATTATTACAAATGTTATTAGACTATCTCTAGAAGTTAGTCACAAGAATACAGAGTACAAGAAAGGCACTAGAGCTATGTGCCTTTTTTAAATTGATGATAATGAAATGGTAACCCCGCCCACGCTATCGGTGTACTCTGGCGGGGTACCAGTAAGGGATTATAGGTGACGGTAAAAGCAGGTCAGTTAGCCCATCCTAACGAATTCCACTAGATTTAACCACGATGGTTACCCAATTATGGGACCCAATTATCCACCCCCCCCCCTGCCCGCTATACGCCTACTGGCACCGCATTGATATTTTAAGTATTGAAACCGTTTAGTGCTTGTAATAATTACGATATGGGACATTTAGCGAATAACTCGGTTACTTAACTGTGCCATTGTCTTATTAACAGCTTTGTATCAAGTTCGCAAACAAATGCACCGTTTCTCAGTCATTTGCGATCTCGTGCTAATAGTGGTTTGTCTTTGCTCTGGCACATAAATTAATTAAAAAAAAAAGTGTGACATTTAGGATTGATCGGCCGGCGAAACTGGTTTGTCGAATTAATTGCCAAGTCATTATATTTATTATAGAAATAAATATGTTTGTAACATTAATACGGTCGCTATAAATGTTGATAAGTAATTGTTTAGATTTATAACAAAGTTGTCAAATAGGTACTTCCGTAGACACTAACTAAAATAACTGACTTGTTAGCTGTTTAGAATTATTTTTTGTTTATTTGTTTTTTTTTATTAATATGTGTGCGACTGCCAATACTCGAATATTAATTAATTATTATTATTATTATTTCAATCATTAACTGTCCACTGATAAGCCATAAGCCTTTCCTATATGACGAATTTTGCCAGTAATTGCCACAATTGGCAGGCGGATTGGTAACCGCAGTTAGGCTTTTAGAGATGTTTAAAGAGAGACTCTGCTACCCATCCTACCCTTATTAATAAATAATAATAATAATAATTAACATACATAGCAGTATTATAATAATTCTTGATTAGAATTAACTAATGATAGGGACTTCCGCAAAATAACACCTAGTCTAGAAACGGACTATGGTAAATGAAATTTCACAAGTTTTTGTAGTGAAAGAACTGCGATGGCAGACTTGGCTTTTTTTACATTTTATGTTTTTGATGGAATTTACAAGCAAAAGAATAAACAAACTTGGGAGTTTTGCCAGTAGTTGCCACGCCTGGTAGATGAATTGGTAATCGTAGTTTTTTTTTAATAGAAAATAATGGAATAATGAATCTATCGATATACACTGGCGGGGCATCAGTAATAGATGATAGGTGAAGATGACGCGGTTCAATTAGCCCATCATGACAAATTCAATAATGAATCATTCAGAATGGTTTCCAGAGGGAACCGTGAGGAGGTCGACCTGATAGGGTACGTTGCTGTTAATAGAGTTACTAATCCCCATTTTTAAGAATCATTTTCTTCCCTGGCAATTGCTATTAGGAAAATAATTGTGAAAATGGTGTGGGAAAATGGTTTGATGTATTAAGAGGGACGCTGCTGCCCATCTCGACCATTAAATTCACTTAGTGACCTCTTACGACATCCACGGGGAAAAAGGGGAAAAAACCCATTCTATCCCGGAACCACACGGCAGCTCGTTAACATCCCTACCGAAAAATGAAGCAACGTGACAACACATAATCGATTTGTGTGATCATGAATCCTCGCCGTTGTCCGGAGACACAGTACGGAGTTCATCACAAATCATCACGATTAATGAGTCCGTAATGTAATGTTATTAAGTAAGTAATGACGTTCGCGTAATTATTATGATATTAACTAGGAATAACATCTGAGTCCTCAGGAATGGCAACGCATGGGGGGTATCATGACATATATACATAACACTGGCCGTAAACACCAGAGGGAGACTTTGTACAAAAGTCGTTTGCTTGGGCACCTCTGTCCCATTCGTGTTTCTACCATGAAGCAGTTGTACTTGCATGGCTGTGTTTCGGTTTGAATGGTGGGATATGGCAGTGAATTTACAGGGTACAGAGGAATAATCATACCTGAGTCCTCAAGAATGGCAACGCATGGGGGTATCATGTGCGAAACAGTATACTCTGTTATTTCTATGATACTGCTTATGTCTAAAGACGACGGTTATCACTTTCCATCAAGTGGGCCGTCAGCTTGTTTGCCATTTTAAGTTGCATAAAAAAAGCTTTTACCCGCGACTTAGTCCGCGTGACAGGAATATATTATAAACGTGCAAATGACTTTTTTTGTTTGTTGTCTTATAGTGCCTTAACGTCTTAACCAGTCACTATGAAATTTGCTATACACGTACTATATGACATGGTGGTTATAACCGGTGTATTCCGATCACGTGAACGAAGTCGCGGGTGAACGCTAGCATACAATAGAGCTTATACTAAAACCAGAAACGTATAATATGTAAATTTGAAGAAACCAGATTTTGAGAAAACAAACCGATAAATTTATTTATTTATTTAACTCTTTATTGCGGCAAAAATATATATAAAAAAAAATACAATGACAATTAGAAAATGTCATCTGTTATTTGACGATTTGATCTTGTATTTTTTTTATCTAATATATAAAATTCTCGTCTCGCGGTGTTTGTTATCAAACTCCTTCGAAACGGCTTTACTGAATTTTACGAAATTTTGTGTGCATTTAGGATAGGTCTGAGAATCGGTCAACATCTATTTTTCATACACCTCAATGATAAGGGTGACCCACCGCAAATTTTTTTTTTAATTTTTTTTTGACAAATTTTTTTTAACTTTATTTTTTTATGTTTTAACATTGAATAATACGTACAAATTCAAATTATCACCCTTTAACTATCTATCTCTGTTTTTTAATCGCGATTTTTATATTCCGCAAAAGGGTTGCAAGATGGCAATTTAATATAATATTTGTAGTACGATGAATTTTCATGTATAGTTCTAGAAATAATGTATATGGTAAAACAACGTTTGCCGGGTCAGCTAGTATTTATATAAACATAACGAATACGTGTTGTAGATATAAATCGTTACTATTTACTATTCAAATTCAAGATACGTGCGATTTTAAACTTTATTACATTTAAAATATGACCCATGGATGTATCTATTGATAAAAAATTGTATTTACTAAAGCCGAAATACAGTTACTCAGCCCTGACCTAATAACATGTTTTACGAAATATGTTTATTTTTTCACGTTTTTACGTTGTTTATATTATTAATTTTCGTTTTTAAACGATAAAGTGGAAAGACCTTTATGTGTGTATGATGTGTAACAAACGTACATACATATATACATGTCTGTCACGCCTCTCTCCCATTAGGGTAGGCAGAAACAATGGAACGCCAAATGCTTCGATTCAAACAAACCTCTTTCGCTACTTCCACATTCATCAATCTTTTCATATACGCTCGCCGGTTACGGGTACTTTTAATTTGGCCCTTCTTCAGCACGTCGCCTATTTGGTCAACATAGGTCCGTCTAGGGCGGCCCCTACCGACATCTCCATTCATTCTTGCTCGATAAATCTCTTTCGTAATTCTTCTTTCATCTATCCTCTCCAAATGACCAAACCAACGCGACATTCCTTTTTCGATTTTTGTCACTACATCGTCTTTCAGTCCACACTTCTCTCTTATCACATTGAACCTTACTCTATCTTTTAATGCAATACCACACATACTTCTCAAAGCTCTCATCTCTACAGCATTTATCTTACTTTCATGCAACAAACGAAATAATCCAAAATGCAGTTATAGTATTAATTATAATAATACAAGGTTGACGAGGTCTGGAAAGTGTAAAGGAGATATTGAAAGGAGAGTGAAAGCGGGAAACAATGTTCATTCAAATTCATTTCATGCCATACAGTAAGATCCATTTTGTTTTTTTTTTTTTTAATGAATGATAATGCAATGGTAACCTCACCAGCGCTAACGGTATATACTGGCGGGGCACCAGTTTGGGGTGATAGATGGATAATGAAAATGCAGGCCAGTTAGCCCATCATGGTGAATATATCTGGAATTCAACACGATGGTCTCCAGGGGAAACCGAGTGGAGGTCGACCTAACAGGGTATATTGCTAGCAATGGGACTGGTAGCCCGCAATCCCTTCCCTCCAGATCCATTTTGTTAGTCTATCTATCTATCCTATTTAAGAGCTACGTCTCTCTCTCTCTCTCTCTCTCTCTCTCTCTCTCTCTCTCTCTCTCTGAGCTCTTGTCGTTGGAGCTCTTGCCACTCACTACGATTTTACAGTCTATTATTCATTCATTAATATCAAATTGAAATTTTAATAATGAAAAATGTCGCCTCAGAATCGACCCTATTTCGTTATCGTTACAGTCGTCAAGGTCATCAGTATAAGTTTGAACCCTTACTTGAACCTTCTTTTCTTTCGACGCATAAACATCGACTTACATTTATATTAAAATTTAAATCCACATTAACAATTGTTTATGATTATTAATGAGGGGAACTTATATATTTAAATTTATTAAAAAATTCATACCTTATTAGCCATGTCGTATTTACTTTGTTTTAAATTTAAATATAATATTTTCATATAATGTTTGACATAATATGTCATGTCAGGTGTAAATAACCTGTAGTTAAGTTGTTTTTATTATTTATTGTACTAGCTGTTGGCCGCGGCTTTGTACGCTTGGTTTAGTGTTTCTCCTTGTAAGTTGAAAATTTCAAAAAAAATCAATTTCTAAATTTCTTTTTTAGCGGATGCTTACATTATAAAAGAAACCTTTTTTCAAAATTGTATTATTCTAGGCTTATTAGTTTTGGCTGTGCGTTAATAGCCAGTCAGGACAAACGATTTTATTTTTATAAGTATAGATTGGTGTTACATCTTACTGTAGATTTTAAACGACTATTATTTTATTATTTTAATAACCTGAAATTTTATACATTAACTAATTTATTAATTTAAGATTTTATTTCTTTTAAAACTTGACTTCACTCTTGATGAAATTGGCATAGGTGTATAACCCGGGAGTAAATACTTTCGGAAAAATCTTATAAATCGTTTCAGGATGCCGAAGAAAAAAAAATTTAAATGCGTAGATTAAATGTCAGCTAAATTCGAATCCACAATTCAAATGCGTAGATTAAATGTCAGCCAAATTCGAATCCACAACACAAATGCATAGATTAATTGTCTGCCAAATTGGAATTCACATTTCAAATGCGTAGATTAATTGTCGACCAAATTGGAATTCACAATTCAAATGCATAGAATAATTGTCCAAATTGGAATTCACATTTCAAGTGCGTAGATTAATTGTCGACCAAATTAGAATTCATATTTCAAATGCGTAGATTAATTGTCGACCAAATTGGAATTCACATTTCAAATGCGTAGATTAATTGTCGACCAAATTGGAATTCACAATTCAAATGCATAGATTAACTGTTATATAACTTTACAGAAGTAACTCTCACGACGAAAAACTGATGCGGTTGACGGCAGACGAGCCTCTCCAACTGGGCGCCCCGCCGCGGAACTGCTACCCGCTCGTGGTGATACTGGCGAGGGACCAGAGGGACACGGCGGAACTGAGGCCCGACGATACTGTGAGCACTTACGATATATAGTAACTTTTCAACCGGCTTCAAAAAATAATTTTACTATTATAACAAAATTGTAACTGGACGATATCTGTACATGGGAGATATTTAAGAGAAATTGATGTGAGTGGTCTTAACAAGACTAATAAAAACCAAAACAATTTTTTTTAGAAATTTTATGTGTCTGTTTGTTTCTTCCGGTATCACTCAAAAGCTACGAAATTGGATGCGGTTTACACAGTTGTATTCCTGAAGGTTTAACTTAAAAACTGGTGTATATTTTACCTTGATACACCCAAGTAGCGGGAAAAAAGTATATCAAAAACCATACAACGCGAATCTTCGAAATTTGTGGGAGACGGAATTTATCAATCAATCAACAGGGAGATCTCATGCCCGCCAGGATGACGTGTTGGCGGGTGAGGTAGGGGCCTCAGAGTATACCCCACTACCCCGGCTTCAACTCCGGAGGCGACAACCTCCGGGTCGTTGAATTCTTCAGCCGGCAAACACTGATGGTCTATGTATGCCGGCGTGGTGTCTCGGAATTTATGTAATATGTATTAAGATATGTTATCCGCTGTTTGAAGGTGGCGTTAGTGAGCGTTGTCCATATAAGGGACGATCAGTGCCCGCTGCCCAGCGGCGTCATAGCGCAGTATTTAAAACAAGCTAATGGACACCTGTCCTGTTTAAAGGTAAGAGTTATTTTCATCATATTAGCTGTGAATTGTCCACTGTTGGGCACAGGTCACCCCATAATGCCATGGGGTTTTGCCAGTTATATTTATAAGAGTTATATAAGAAGCAATATTTGTTATACACAAAATTCTTAATCGATAAATGTTATTACAATGTATGTGAATTCTTTAATGATAAAATTAAAGAATTCATTATTTATATTTACTTACGAGAGGGAGACTTTGTACAAAAGTCGATTGTTTGGGTACCTCTGTCCCATTCGTGTTTCAACCGTGAAGCAGTTGTGTTTGCATGGCTCTGTTTCGGTTTGAAGGGTGGGATATGGCGTGAATTTACTGGGTACGGAGGAATAACACCGGAGTCCTCAGGAATGGCAACGCATGGGGGGTATTATGGGCGAAACAGTATACTCTGTTGTGTCCATGGTACTACTCATGTCTATAGGCGACGGTTACCACTTTCCATCAGGTGGGCCGTCAGCTTGTTTGCCATTTGCTAAGTAGTATAAAAAAAATATTAACATTACTGTGACATCGTTCTTTTATTCTTGCCTGACATTTATTATTATTATTTATTTAAATGTATTTAAAATTAGAATGGGATAATGAGTAATTGTATGAAATTGACTTGATGTATAATTTAAAACTATACCATACATACATATCTGTCACGCCTGTCTCCCATTAGGGTAGGCAGAAACAATAGAACGCCAAATGCTTCAATTCATACAAACCTCTTTCGCTTCTTCCACATTCGATTTAAAACTATCTGTGTAACTATATATTTTTGTATGTCGTACAGGCTAAACATGTCGAACGAGATTGTATTGTTAACATCTGCTTGTATTTACACGCATGTTTTACAAATAAATAATCTTGAATATTTAACAGTAAGTAACTAGATGAAATATGGAAGATTAAATATGGAAAACGAAAACAATACAAAATTCTCATAATTATGTGTATATGAAAGAATGGAGCAGACGGTATAATGATTAATAATGATGCTTGTTTTCACTGATTGTTTTGATCCTTTTTTTTTATATAACTTATAATGGCAAACAAGCTGACGGCCCACCTGATGGAAAGTGGTAACCGTCGCCTATAGACATGGGCAGTACCATGGACATAACAGAGTATACTGTTTCGCCTATATTACTCCCCATGCGTTGCCATTCCTGAGGACTCAGGTGTTATTCCTCTGTACCCTGTAAATTCACGCCATATCCCACCCTTGAAACCGAAACACTATACTACTGGAAACAAGTATTCGTTGTTAGAAATCAGTCATTGAAATTGGTGTCATTTTGATTAATTTGTGTACAATGTGTATTTTTTATTATAATAATAATTAGTGTTTTAAAATAAAATAATTCTCAATTACAATTTCTAAAAAAAAATTACACTTTTTGTAAAATTTTTAATCGAATCACTTGACAACAATGCAAAAAATCGGCTTTGTTTTCTTTAAAAAAAAAAAAAATAACCAGTAATCACTTGTGGCGCACCATTAATGGCTCATTTTTAACCGATTTCAAAAAGAAGGTTCTCAATTCAGTTTTAATTTTGTTTGTTACCTCTTAACTCAGTCAGTTACTAACCGATGTGGAAATTTTTTTTATTTTTTTTATCTGAAAGTATATAACTTACAGATAGGCGCTACAGAATTTTTATCAAAATCATTTCAATTGTTTAATTTTGAAGTCAAAATTAGTGGTTTTGTCGCAATTTAAGTTATTTTTCTTTTTGTGTAAAGCAATCTTAAGTATTATACTCGACTCCCTCGGACTCCTTATATATCTCAAGAGATATATAATAATAATATTTAATTAGACTACATAAGGCCCATTTTGTTAGTTACAAATTGACTTAACCTATGTTAGTAAATGAGCGGTCATAACGCTCTTACATTGATAACCTGTCCTACCCAATATTTTAGGATGGGACAGTCCATTTTATAAGCAATTGTCTTCAGGACACCGTTTGAGCTAACACGCGCCCTACCCAACAGCGAAACGATTCGTTTGCGCCGTATTGCGTAAAAATCATCCGTACGCTTCCGTGCAAACATGTATACTCTTAAAGCCAATCCTATGTACTGGCATTAGTTTATAATTTAGTCGTCCTCCGTGGCGCAGCGGTCAACACGCCTGCCTGTGACGTGGAGGCCCCGGGTTCGATCCCCGGCCAGGTCATGATGGAAAACGATCTTTTCCTGATTGTCCTGGGTCTTGGATGTTTATCTATATATGTATCTATTATAAATATAGTATCGTTGAGTTAGTATCCCATAACACAAGTCTCGAACTCACTTTGGGGCTAGCTCAATCTGTGTGATTTGTCCGTATATATTTATTATTATTTATTAATTTAACTGCATCCAAGGTAAACACGGTGGTTAGTTGCATGAACAAAGTAGTTTATAATGTGATGCTTAACTTTCGTAACGGCCGTAGGTACCCGTTGCACAATAGAAAACACCGTTATCAAAATAGCTTTATATTGTTATAGCCAATAAACAATCGCTCGATCGGAACTTTACGCGCTGCTGCTGCCGGTTATATGGCCACTTTCCGATTATATTAATCGGTTTTTGCGTTTTACCGGCGGACGTGTACTCGTATAAACAACTTTTGAAAAGAACCGTATCATACCGTGTGTAAACTAGAGGGAGACTTTGTACAAAAGTCGATTGCTTGGGCACCTCTGTCCCATTCGTGTTTCAACCGTGAAGCAGTTGTGTTTGCATGGCTGTGTTTCGGTTTCAAGGGTGGGATATGGCGTGAATTTACGGGGTACAGAGAAATAATATCTGTGTCCTCTAGAATGACAACGCATGGGGGTTTCATGGGCGTAACAGTATACTGTTATGTCGTCAGCTTGTTTGCCATTTTAAATTGTATAAAAAAAAAACCATGTCGGAACCTACCACATAGGCGTGTAGGTCCCGGCATACAATATGTCACCCACTTCCTTTCCCGTGAGTGTCGTAAAAGGCGACTAAAGGAGCGTGTGGTGGAGGGATGAACAGCAGCGTCCCTATAAAAACATCAAAACCAAACTCCGATTGCCAACCCGCTTGCCAAGCATGGCAATGTGTTATGTCTCACAGTGGACAATTCACGGCTGATACAACATATAACATTTGAAAAAAAGCAGCAGCCTAGTTTCCCGCCCGTTCGTCTCAGCTGAAATTGATTTCAGAACTGAGCGGTAGATTTAAAAAAAAATAGGATGATAATGAAATGGTAACCTCGCCTGCGCTATCGGTATACACTGGCGGGGTACCAATGAGATGATAGGTGAGGATGAAAGCAGGTCAGTCGGCCCATCATGAAGAATTCCACATGAATTTACCACAATAGTTTCCAGGGGAAACTGCGTGGAGGTCGGCCTGATAGGGTGTATTGCTAGCAATGAGGCTATTAGAACCCATTACTAATAATCCTTTTCCCTGTACTGCCCATATTGTAATAACCTTCGACGAGTTTTTCAAGCGATATTACAAATTCGGTAATAGAGCGTTACGATTACTCGCTAACAAGTCAGTCCGGCTTTACCTCAATATTTTGTAACTAGCTTTTACCCGCGACTTTGTTCACGTAACCGTGATATGTTTACTGGCCACGTTAAAAGTAAACCTATAGCCTTCTCACATCACATATAGGCCTGTCGTAACTAAATCATCAATAATTTACCACGATGGTTTCCAGGGGGGTCCGCTTGAAGGTCGAACTGCCATATCAGCCATTAACTGTCCACTGCTGAACATTGGCCTTCCCTTGAGGAGTTTTGCCAGTAGCAGCCACGCGTGACAGGCGGGTTACCGACCGCAATAAGCGGAGGGGGGGGGGGTGGAATTGTTAGTAATGGGGATTAGTAGCCCCATTGCTAGCAATATACTATATCAGGTCGACCTCCTCGTGGCTCCCCCTTGAAACTATCGTGATTGATTTATTGTTAGATTCGTCACGGTGGACTAACCTACCAGCTTCATCCTCACCTATCATCCCTTACTGGTGCCCCGCCAGCGTATACCGATAGCGCAGGCGGGCTTACCATTTCATTATCATCCGTTAAAAAAAAACGCAAATAGGCTTTGGTGATGTTTAAAGAGGAACGCTGCTGCCCATCCCTCGTCCATTAATCCCCATTATTAACGTTTCCCCCTTGGTTGTAAACAGCAACTGTACATAAGCGGCGACGCGGTGAGCGAGGCGGAGTACGAGGGCGCGGCGGGGGTGGCGGCGGGCGCGGCGGGCGGCCCGCTGGCGGCGCTGTGCTGCGTGTGCGCAGCGCGGCCGCTGTCGAGGGCACTGCTGCCGTGCAGGCACGCGTGCCTCTGCGCCAGGTGCTTTCGTGAGTATCTACCTTTTTTTTTATGCAACTTAGAATGGCAAACAAGCTGACGGCCCACCTAATGCAGTGGTAACTGTCGCCTATAGACATAAGCAGTACCATGGACTTAACAGAGTATACTATTTCGCCTATGATACCCCTCATGCGTTGCCATTCCTGAGAACTCAGGTGTTGTTTCTCTGTACCCTGTAAATTCACTGCCATATCCCACCCTTTATACCGAAACACAGCCATTCAAACACAAAGAAGTTGAAAATTTCTTACCTTCTATTTTAGCCAAATTTACTGAGCATTAGCCAGTAATTGTTACGCTTGACAGACGGATTGACACCCGCAGTTAGGCTTTAGAGATGTTTTAAGAGGGCCACTACAAAATATCCCTCTACCACTAAACTACCCTAGTAGCCTTATACGATATCCATGGGAAAGGAAGGGGTGGCCCATTCTATGCCGGGACCACACGGCTAATACTCATTCGTTCGTGGAAAATCCTTTGACTCCCTAAAAAGCTATAATATCATACACTCAGGTGGTTTCCGAATATAATACGATCTCTGCATATATCTGTTTGATTAATTCTTATTGTTCACGCTCGTTGTTGATTCACGTCACGTGTTGTAAACGCGAGCTACGCATGAGAGTGGATACGTTAGGGCCACGCTACACTACTAAATATATTATTATCCTAGCCTACTGGATAGATAGATAGATAATTTATTTGCATTACTTACTTACAGCACACAAATCACAACATACATATACAAAAAAAAAGCGAGATAACATAATTGATAAAAAAAATACATAAAGCTAAATACAATTTTCGTTTATGAGTGTGCTATAGCATACTAATATTATAAATGTCAAAGAGTTTGTTTGTTTGTTAATGTATAGTGCCTTAACGGCTTAACTGATCATGAAATTTCGTATACACGTACTATATGGAGTTTTTAATGGATGATATTTTTTTATTTATTAATAATGAAATGGCAACCCTACCCGCGGTAATAGTATATACACTGGTGGAGCACCAGTAGGGAATGATAGGTGAGAGTGAAAAGGCAGGTCAGTTAATCCACCGTGATGAATACACCTGAGGGCCTACCATGAAATGCGTTCCGAAATTTCGGAGCCAAACGAAACGCAATTTTGATGTTAAAATTACATAATACATGCCGTTTGGAGATATTAAAAATGTTAAAATATTGTTCCTTTGGATTTTTATGATAGGGTGTATAACGAACAAAATGTTAAACTCCATTTATTGATCCGATTTTGGTATAAACAAAAACACGAAATTGAGTCCGAAATTTCGGAATTTCATTTCATGGTAGATCCGCCGGAATTCGACACGATAGTTTCCAGTCGAGCCACGTTGAGGTCGACAGGGGTGTATTCCTAGAAATTGGAATGGTAGTTCGCATTACTAACAATCCTTCCCCCCATTCCAGTTTTCAAGATTAGCCTGAGCGAACATCCTGACTGGATTTTTATTAAGATAATAAAAATTTATAGCATAGGGAGACTTTGTACAAAAGTCGATTGCTTGGGTACCTCTGTCCCATTCGTGTTTCAACCGTGAAGCAGTTGTGTTTGCATGGCTGTGTTTCGGTTTCAAGGGAGAGATATGGCGTGAATTTACTGGGTACAGAGGAATAACACCTGAGTCCTCAGGAATGGCAACGCATGGGAGGTATCATGGGCGAAACAGTATACTCTGTTATGTCCATGGTACTGCTCATTATCTATAGGCGACGGTTACCACTTTCCATCAGGTGGGCCGTCAGCTTGTTTGCCATTATAAGTTAATAAAAAAAAAAGCTTCGCTTCGCTGTGTACGCTGCGTCGTCATCCAATAGCCCCCCATTAATATGCAGCGCCCATAGCTCACGGATAACACATAAACGGATTCAATAACTAATGCCATTGGGAGCCAATGCCACTAACATTGCCACGGCCTTTACTATTGCCTAATACTGATATATCTCGTTTGTCCTGTTCAATATTTTTTTTGTGATGGGTGAAAATGGTATGGTAACCCCCCCTGCGCTAACGGTATACGCTGGCAGAGCACCAGTGAAGGGTGATAGATGAGAATGAAAACAGGCCAGTTAGCCCATCATGATGAATTCATCAGGAATCAACCATGATAGTTGTCAGGGAGAACCGCGAGGAGGTCGACCTGGTTGGGTATATTGCTAGCAATGGGATTCTCGGTTTCCATTACTAACAATCCCTTTCCTCCCTCCTGTTCGATATTGATTTATGGAGTCATATCTCTGTTTATTCGTTTATTAAGAAATCGTTAATAATGTTAACTACCTGTCCCGTTGCTAGCAATGGGCATATTGCATATTGTCAAGTCGACCTCCACGTGGTCCGCCCTGAAAACTGTCGTGCTGAATTCCGGGTGTATTCGTCACGATGTCATCGTCGCTAACTGACCTACTTTTCACCTATCATCCCTCACTGGTACCCCGCCGGCGTATATCGTTAAGGCAGACGGGGTTACTATACCATTATCATATATTAAAAAAAAACTGGTGCCCCGCCACGTATACAGTTAACGCAGCGGGATTACCATTTCATTGTCATCTATTAAAAAATTTATATATATAATATTACCCCATCAAACAAAGTCAATAGGGGGGAAGGTATTGTTATTAATGGGTAGATTGTCCCCATTGCTATCAATATACCCTATCAGGTCGACCTCCACGCGATTCCCCCTGGAAACTATCGTGACTAATTTATTGTTGAATTCGTCACGATGGGCTAACTGACCTGCCTTTTCATCCTCGCCTATCACCTATCACTGGTACCTCGCCGGTTTATACCGACAGCGCAGGCGAGGTTATCATGCTATTTTCTGTTAAAAATTATCGCCTATTAAAAAAAAAACAAAGACAATAGTAAAAACTGCTCAGAGATATTCTGTTGTATTGTAAAATCTTTATTGTACATAATTTACATTGGACACATTAATTAGTACATTACTGCAGCGGCCAGCAACTGAGGCATTGATGGACGAACGTGAAAATGTGGGCCGAGGTGTAGCCGAGGCACACATACGTGAGTCCATCAATGCCTAGTTGTGGCCAAAGCTTGTATAGTAATTTTCTCAAACAATGCGCGGAAATCAAAAACACAATTTTACTTTTTAAGTTCAATGACGAATAACGAACAATAATAATTTTTCACGCGCCATAATGTCCCTTTGTTTTTTTTTTCAATAAACAGCTTTCTATTTGCAAGCCAGTTCGAAATTTAAATAAAACCTTTTATTAGTTCCCTCCTTGGTAGCCATGTTTCGAAGTAAAAGGTCATTCCATTTTTAAATTACAGGACAGATATGAGTTTACATAGTAATTTATCTGGCCGCAAAACACGACAGATATGGATTTTCATACAACTTTTGCCGGCCGCTGCCCGCATGTATCTGGCCAGTACGGAAATTTTGATTTATCTCGAGGAAGATTGTCAAAATAATGCTCACATTTCCAAGCATGTTTGAGAAAAAGATTTATTATACAATGGAGATCTATTTAAAAACAGCTATTACAAATGACGGTGTATGTTCTTACAGCGAAGCTGGACAAGTGCCCGATATGCCGGAGCGTGATCACGAGCTACTTCTGCATCAGGAACGACGACGAGCCCCTCGCGGAGCTGAAGCAGCAGCCGTTCTTCAACCGGCGGCTGCTCAACCTGTTCCACTACCACTAGCCACCGGCGCCGTGCCACGTGAGTGGATATATCTTCTTGTTTTCTTCTTCTTCTTCTTGGTCGATTTCCCAAAGCTAAGGGTTATTTGTTATTGTTATTGCTATTGTTTTTTTTTATACAACTTAGAATGGCAAACAAGCTGACGGCTCACCTGATGGAAAATGGTAACCATCGCCTATAGACATAAGCAATACCATGGACATAACAGAGTATACTGTTTCGCCCATGATACCCCCATGCGTTGCCATTCCTGAGGACTCAGATGTTATTCCTCTGTACCCAGTAAATTCACGCCATATCCCATGCTTCAAACCGAAACACAGCCATGCAAACACAACTGCTTCACGGTTGAAACACGAATGGGACAGAGGTATCCAAGCAATCGACTTTTGTACAAAGTCTACCTCTGGTCTGGTCTTCAACAGTTGTCAACTCATTTCATTATTTTTTTTTTTTTTTACAAAACCGCTACTGTTTATTTTCAATACAATTATTTCTGTTTCAGGAACATTCGATATTATCATGAACGCTTCAAGCGAAGACTATGAACTGTCGCCAGTCATGTTAAGAGTTAAAAATAACTTGTGTTGTGTAATCAAGTGTTATACAGAGAGACACGCGTGTGATTTAGATGTTACTAAGTGTTAATATACATACACGATATAAATATATTTACGATATCTGTGGGGAAAATTCTAGAATGTATATACTCTGATCAAACATTTAGCCTATTAGTGGCTATACAGAAGGAAAATGTTAGCGCCCTTTCAAGGGTATTTTCTTTCACTAAAATATTTTTCCCTAAAGAAATAATGGTCGAAAACTGACAAAAAAAATTAAGATTACCAATGGCAATATATATCAATAGTTATAATTGCAATATATATATATATATATATATATATATATATATATATATATATACATTTTTTTTTTTTTTTTTTTTTCAAGAAATTTTGTGTGCATATTCGGTAGGTCTGAGAATCGGCCATTTTTCATACCCCTCAATGATAAGGGTGACTCAAGCAATCGACTTTTGTACAGTCTCCCTCTGGTAAAACTTAATGGTAAGCGGTTACCGTATCATATGAGCGCTTACAAATCTGCGCGTTGCCGATCCTAAAGAAACCTCATTATCCTGTAGGTACCATTATGTATTGGATTTTACATTAACAATAAAATTCATCATGGCCGCACAGAAGCTAAATAAAATAGTTTTGTTCTACGTTTATAACTAAGCGAGTTGATTGTCCAATGATTTCGATGTATAATTATTGTTTTTAAAAATTGTTAATTTTTAAACAATGTCTAAATAAATATGGAAGATTAATGAACTCAGTGTGTGTGTTCCGTTTCCAACAATTGTTTCCGACTTCATCCGAAAGTCTCCTTCAGGGGACGTTCAGCGCTTTGCGTCACAGTAATAATAATAATAACTTTATTGCATAACCATGATTGTAACAAACTAAACACTGGAAATTACAGTAAAAGTAGGTACGTCAATTCATTTGTACATTTGGATCAGTTTATACATCTGTGTCTGAACTAGGTTACAAAACCTGTATCTCAGACAACAGCGCTCAACCCTCATTACATAGTGTAATATTAGTTCAGCTAAATTTTTAATGCTACATATAGAATGTTGATTTTATATAAAGTTAATTTATCTAACTATATTTATTGGTAATAATGAAAATTGTGAAATATCTCGTCTCACAGTGTGTTAAGTCTTTCGTAGAAAACAAAAGCACAGTGTGTTCATTAACCTCCCATTTTTATATACATATATAATTATTAATCAAAATACTAAAGTAAAAAAAAAAAAACGTAAAAAGTGATTGACATGTGGAAGAGATGGGATTTATTGAGTATTGGCCTAGACAGTGTAAATGATTATGAATTAAAATGAGCTTTATTTATATACAGTTAAAGGTTAGAATCAATTAAGAGACTTGCTTTTTTTTTCTTAATTTTACTACAGTTTTAGCTACCATGTGTAAATTTACTAATAATTATAAAGAAATATAAATAGTATTTAATGTATGACGTTTAAACTGAATCTTATACATGACTACATGTATGAAATATGTTTTTTTTTTCTCTTATGTACATATCTTAACATAGTAATGTTTTACTATATGTATTCTAATAATAATAGTTATGTATAACTATTTAATTCAATAATACTTATCAGTAATTATTGTATATTGGTGACCTCTACGTAATTGGAGGCACATCGTATTATTTCATACGGTCCCACGTTCAGTTCTCGGTTCGGGGACTTTTGTTTATTGTCACAATTTATATGTATTCTGCGTTTTTAATCTATCTATTAATAACCCCACTAAAACCCTCGAGGGATGATAAGTGAGGACGATGTCGAATTAGTTGGTCCATCGTGACAAAAACACGATGGTTTAAAAATGTAACCGCGTGGACGTCGACCTGACAGGGTATATTGGATCGCAATGGAACCGCTAGTTTCTATCTCCCTTCTCTGTCGAACCAAGCATTGATCTGTGTATCATCACAGGTCAAATAATAAACTTATTATTATTAAATTAATATAAACTTTTTAATCTATTCAAGATAAAGGTTGGTTTGAAAATTCTACAAGCTTCGAAATTCATATATATATATATATATACAGTAACTTTTGCTTGGAAAAAATTTAAAATGTATTACTTAGTAAATATAAATTAAATATGTATTAGTTAATTTTAAACTTTCGCGTTGTTTACACATATTTCAAATACACTGTTGGGACTTAAATAAAAAGTCATTTGCTTGGGCACCTCTGTCCCATTCGTGTTTCAACCGTGAAGCAGTTGTGTTTGCATGACTGTGTTTTTGTATGAAGGGTGGGATATGGCAGTGAATTTACTGGGTACAGAGGAATAACACCTGAGTCCTCAGGAATGGCAACACGTGGGGGGTATCATGGGCGAAACAGTACACTCTGTTATGTCCATAGTACTGCCCATGTGTATCGGCGACGGTTACCACTTTCCATCAGGTGGGTCGTCAGCCTGTTTGCCATTCTAAGTTGCTTAAAAAAACCTACATACGTGCTTCTTTATTGGATTTTTGAGTCCCAATAGTGTATTGCAAATATGTATTTAAGATGAAAATTGTGAGTGGGTGAAGAATTTTGAACTGTGATATAGTATGCTTTGTGTATTTGCTTGTAAATAATAGATTATTTAAATTTAAGCGTTACACAACAAGTGAACCGTTCGTATGTATTTCATTCTATATACTTGGCACAAATAGTAATATTGGCATGTCTTTTTATCGACATAAAATAAATATAGCTAATTATTAAGGATTTTATCAATACTATATGTATGTATATAAAGTCGTAACTGGTCACTATCTGTACATGGAAGATGTATAAGAAAAACTATTATATGGGGGTTTTATGAACGCAATAGAACCCGAAACAATGGTTTTTAGAATTTCTGTCTGTTTTTCTGTACGTTTGTGCACGCTAATCTCAGAAACGGCTTAACCGATTTGAATGCGGTTTTCACTATTGCGTTGCGGTTTGCTCCACATAATATTTTGTGTTTGTTTTATTACAATCGGTTTATAAATAAAAAAAATAAAACCTATTATATATATATATATATATAATAGGTTTTATTATATACATTGATTGATTTTTGTCACATTTTTGTCTGTTTAATTTTTAAATTACTAATCTCTATTAAAAAAACATTTCAACTTTGTTACTGATTGTGCCAGGAATAAAAAAAAAATAGGTTACATTTAAGGCTGCGGACACACCGAATGAAATATTTTATTAAAACTAGTAACACGGTGTGGCCACGGCCTAAGACTAATTTGATGTGACTCTTGACAAAAGGTAGATTAAAATGAGGAGTAGTCAGTGTTTCTATTAGCACGTATTTATTATATGTTAAATATATAAAATGTATACAGGTAACGCGAAGGGTGTAACAAATCAGATATATAGGATACTAGCTTTTACTTGCGACTTCGCTCGCGTGACCAGAATAAAAAGTAACCTATATCCTTCTCCATTCCGTACAGTACGTATATACCAAGTTTTATAGTGATTGATTAAACCGTTAAGGCGTTATAAGGTAACAAACAAACTCACTTTCACATTTATAAAATTAAGGATGGAGATGAGTTCCAAATTCCACCAAGTGTGAATTCCACCAAGTGCCAACAATCCCCAGCATCACAGGACTTTATAATGATAATTGTTACTCATTGACGCCTAAACGGCTGGACAGATCTGAATGAGATTTGCTAAACCTACAGATTAATATTGTTTATACTGTGGCGTCATAGTGTCTAAGAAAAATAAAATGACGGGAAAGCATAAGAACAATGGATTTAAAAAAACTATACGAGTATAGCTAAGCTGATTTATAAAATTAATTTACAATAAAAAAAAAATTTGAATTAGGAATTTTGAATAGAATAAATGATATTCCTAATTCAAATTGGAAATTCTAAGTAAGATATCCTCTCACTAGCCAGTATTAAAAATCGGCAATTCCTTAAGAGCTGTTGTTCAGTTTCACGAAGTCTAATACTTGATTTTAACTTATTAATATAATTATATCCTATCCACTATATTATGTAAGGTCAACCGAGGCAAGTGTGACGCAAATTTATTGGTACAATAGTTTTCCTTCAAATAATTCTACTCTGTATTGATAAAATACAAAGACTTTTGTTTTGAAACGTTTATTATTTTATGATAATTTGTTTAATCAAGCAAATTAACACATATATCTTTCTATTAAGTGAGAAAATATTACAAAACCTATGAGAGTCGAGGACTGTCACACTTGCCCCGAACCTGAGGTAAGTGTAACACTTACTATTTTCTTCGCAGTTTACTCCAGTATTTGTGTTATCTGTCAAAATTTCTGTAAAATTTACTCATGTCAACATATTTTATGATCTGCTGCAGTGATATTAATTTCTATTTTTACGAAATAACGGATTTTTTATCAAATGACGATAGTGTAACAGGAGTCTTACAAAATAGTGATGTCATTAGGTAATTATTTTATCGACAATTTAAGAAAACAGAATATCGATAGTTTAAGAAGGATAAGTGTATAAATTAGGATACGACACAAACCGTAGATATTGTCATGTTTGTATTATATTATTTTTATTGAAACTTTCCTTTTCCTTTTTTTAGATGGCAGTTTTTTTGGATTTCCTTTGTTATTTTTTTTATTGGTTTATCGGATGTTGCAGCAAATGCCGAATCAACCGTATCATCGTCAAGTAGCCATGTATTCCAAAGATACGTTCCCTTAAAAATTATAAGCGGTTTTACTTTTTGACCCAAAGAATTGCATGCGAATTGCAGTTGTGTTGTCGTGGCCTGGTGAACTAATGGTTCTAGTGCCCTGAAAACCTTTGAGCCCAATTATTTTTGATGTTCCAGGATTCTGACAGAAGCTTGTCTCATCGAGATTCCAAATTTGATCGCCTTCTAATCTTTGCTCCTTCACAACTGTTTCAAGTAGGTCGTAAAATTTGTTAGTCAGAAATAGGTCTGCTGCTTTTTGTATTGCTATTTCCACCCCTTGAGGTTTTTTAATTGAAAGTTTGTTTCTGTTTTTGAACCCTCTTATCTAATCTTCACGTATCCAATACGTTCGTCGTAACAGAGTATCGATTTCGTTACGACGAACGTATTGGCCAACTAATGCTCTTACTTCGCGTTGAGTCAAACCAAAGCTATGTCTTTCCATGATGTGAAGCATTGACGCAATATTTTTTTCAAACTCTGGTGTAAATACAGTAGGCCTTCCATGCGACTTAGATTTGACACCTCGATGACCTTTTACGTGTGCAATTATAGTGGGTCTAGGGACACCGAAAATTTTTGCAGCTTTATACGCCGTTATACGTTGCTCCTGTACTGCTTTGACAGCCTCCTCCAATATTTCCTAAGAGTATTTGTCGATAGTTTTTCTAACATAGTTCCTTACGATTTAAAACAAAACAAATAAATTATCATAGAAAGAACGTAAACACAAATAAATTATGTAAATACTATCGATAACCTAATTTCTTTTAAGTCGATTTATAAAAATGTCGATATTCTATTTCGAGATGTTCATTACTAGTTATGTTATTCTCATAGAAAATTTGTGGGGTAAGCGTGACACTGTTACACTTGAACATGTTAGTTTTTTAGCGAGGTAAGTGTAACTGTAAAGATATTTTAAGGAATAGTGGATTTCAGTTTACAAAGACATATTAAATGTAAAGCCCTAATATTAATTTGTATGACTTACCTTTTATCTTGTCGAAATAACTCGTAAACTTCACACAGTAACTAAAAACAGAATGCTTGAATGGAATGCGATCTGTTGTCAGTTGAGTAGTTAGACAAAATGTTGTCTGTCTTTAAAACAGTTGACGTTACGTACGCCATTGTGACACTGTAAGATAGCTTGAAAGTTCCTTTATCGTCCAATACATGACGGTTTGAAGAATATAGTCTATTTACCCTATTATTACCAATTGTTACACTTGCCTCACTGTCACACTTGCCTCGGTTGACCTTATAAATTTTGTCTATTGTATTAAAATAGTTATTAGTAACGTATTAGAAGTTTGTCCTACAATTTAGCAATAATGAGTCGTATTAGTGTTAAATTAAAATCCATTCCAAGTATTCCTACACTATCATTGTTTCAGTTTATTATTTGATCGTGTAATAAATTGATTAACAGCGTCTAGATGGAGTGACAGCCTATAAACGCTTCGCCAAAAACAGCACAACTTTTTATTCTTGTTTGACATTTGTATGATAAACTAAACACGACTAATTCGATTCGTCAGTGTGTACGTTTGTAGGGATACCAAAATATTATAATTATTTCTTGCAACACCGAAAAATGGTGCATTTTGTTTTATATTAAGAGTATTACAAACTACTGCCCCCTGGTTATGTATCTCGCTAACAGTACACGATCACTTGATAATGCTTTGTTACTTATCATTAATAATAGTTTACTTTAATATAAAAAAAAAATAGTAGATTTAATCCATCCAACCCACGAGGTGCATAATCAGGGAGCGGTTCAGACGACTGTTGGCTGACCGGTTATTAGGACGTTTATAACACTCGACACTCCATCTAGACACATATATAATTAGACCATGAAATCTGCATACCTACCGTTAATTACAGTTGTATCAAAAGCAATAGCTTTATAACGAAATAGTTTTAAATTGAAATAGCTGGAGAGCTCGTGATAAATTTTAAAGTGTTTGGATAGAACCTAAAACCTACAAGTAATCGATGACAATACAGACATAAACAGCTGAGAACGGAATATAAAAAAAAAGCGTTTCATCACAATAAAAACATTTACAATTCTATAAATTCGGCTCATAAATTTCCAAATATAAGATCTATCATTCCATATTCAACTTACATCTAGGCATGTGCTTTTATCAAGTCTTATAAAAACTTGCAAACTATTTTTAAACACTTTTCCGAGTGCCTCCTTAAAATTTACAACCAGTTCTCGGCCTATAATTTCACTATTACTCCTTAATTGGATTGAGCTATAAGATTGATCATTTCAAATTTCCTACCACATTCTTAAAACGAATGGACTGCATTAAGTTTTATTTCAAATGAAAAAAAAAAAGTTATTTTTAATTGCAAGCAAATTTTAATGCCTCAGATAGTCTATTGATTTTTTTTTTCTATATGTGGATAAAAAGAATGACGTGTTTTGTTTGTAATTTAATTGTTATTACCTCTTATTTGAATTTCGAATTTATATATTAATAATTGCTATTTTTTTTTACATCGTAACACACTGGCGCGAAACGAGAAACGAATAGTGTAGTGGTGCAATAGTTATTTTTCGACCGACTTAAAAAAAGAATCAAGTTACATTTTTCAGTTGTATTTTTCTACGACTGTTACTTCATAGCTGCCTCATTTATAAATCAATTTGCATGTTTTTTTTTTTTGTAATCTGTATGGATATATTTCTTATTGATCCTATTTATTTGAGAAATTTTAATAAATTCAATTCAATAGTTTAGTTTTTCAATCAATTAATTTTACACATAGAAAACAGACTTCAAGTCTGTTTTCTATGTGTAACATAATTTTTATTTATTCTCTTTATACGATTCGTGTCGTCGGTGTGTATCGATTTATAATTTATTTTGTATTTTTAAAGTTTTTTTTTTTTATATACACCAAGGCAAAGTTATTTAGTTGTTTAACCAAAATAGAATGTGTTTGAATATCCAACAAGCTCGCACAGACGTAGTCGCCATCTATGTATTAATTAAACTTTGACGAAGTTCGAAATATGTCATAGTAGCAGTAGCAGTATACGAGCAGACCTGCGGGCATCAACTAGTCCAATACGACACGGCACACGTTGATTAGTTTGTAAATTATTGCCAACCATGTAGTCTTCCAATGTAACCTTACAAAAGACATATTGTAGATCTCATCGCGGTCACCTACCCCGATTACTAATAAAAATATTAGACAAAGTATGTTTTTTTTTTTTTTTAATTACCATTTATCATCATTATTTCAGCCATTTCTAGACTATACAAAAGTCCTTTGCTTGGGCACCTCTGTCCCTTTCATGTTTCTATCATTAAGCAGTTGTGTTTGCATGGCTATGTTTCGGTTTTAAAGGTGGGATATGACAGTGAATTTACTGGGTACAGAGGAATAACACCTGAGTCCTCATGAATGGCAACGCATGGGGGGTATCATAGACGAAACAGTATACTGTTGTCTATGGTACTGCTCATGTCTATAGGCGACGGTTACCACTTTCCATCAGGTGGGCCGTCAGCTTGTTTGCCATTCTAATTTGCATAAAAAAAGTTTGAAAAGATTGATGAATATGGAGGAAGCAGAAGTAGTCTGTTTGAATCGGAGCATTTGGGGTCCAATAGTTTCTACCTCCTTAATGGGAGACAAGCGTGACCAATATCTGTATATGTATCATAATCTATGGCTAAAACTGTTCTTGACAACTCTTCTTAAATGATATATGTCCTATAGACATAAGCAGTACCATGGACATAACAGAGTATACTGTTACGCCCATGATACCCCCCATGCGTTGCCATTCCTGAGGACTCGGATGTTATTCCTCTGTATCCTGTAAGTTCAAGCTTGCTAGATAAATGTACATGGAATTAAATCAAATCCAAATTAACAAAATATTACATTTATTATTACAACACTTATCCAGCTGCGTTATCTTCCTTCTCTTTCTGTCTTTCGGCGTACAGCTGTGAATTCTTCACGGCCGAGTACAAACTGAAGAGTAGATGCAAGGCTTGTATCCTGGCGTTCAGCGTGTTTCCAACTATGGGTATGTCGAATATACCGCAAACCAGGTCCACGTACTGCGATAAAGTGCAGTCGAGGTTCGCTGGCGGGAAACCCACCTCGTTCAGGGTCTCCTCCATGGATTCTGGCCATTCCTCCATTAATGTATCGATATCTGGTGTTTTACTGGAAAAATAAAATTATTAAGTTCAAGCCTGGATCGTGTTTCTGCCATCAGGCAACTGTACTTCATTTCAAAAAAGGAACAACATGGATGCGTCGTTAATTTACAGTCAGTACAGGCTTTAAGGAAAAGCTTTAAAAGTGAGAAAGAATGGTAACCTGAGGTATCGGTATACGCTGGCAGTACGCCAATGAGAAATGATAGGTGAGTATCAAAGGTCAGATCAGATAGTCCTCAATTCCTCAAGATAGTTTCCAGGGGAAATTGCATGAAGGTCCACCTGATAGAATATATTGCTAGCAATGGGACTGCTAGACCCCATTTCTAAATTAACCAACAAACCTAAAAAAAACTGACCCAAGAAAGCTTTTTAATGGATGATAATGGAATGATAACCCCGCCTGCGCTATCGGTATACACTAGTGGAGTACCAGTGAGGAATGACAGGTGAGGATGAAAAGACAGGTCAGTTAGTACACCGTGACAAATCTAACAATAAATCAATCACGATGATTTCCAGGGAGAACCACGAGAAGGTCGACCTGATATAGTATATTGCTAGCAATGAGGCTACGAATCCCCATTACTAACAATCCCTTCTCCCCCCACCCAGGAACGCTAGATGGACTGAGGTCGACTCTGTATGCTGTTCACGTCTCTAGACCAGCTATTCCTAAAGTGTGTTCTGCGGAACCTAGAGATTCCGTAAAATCACCAGAATTCCGCAAAATTATTAAATACAGTGAAACAATTTCATTCTTCACATTAAAAATTAAGGGAAACTATAAAGTATTTTTTTATGAGTCAAAATGGTATGGTAACCCCGCTTACGCTAATAGGATACGCTGACGGGGCACCAGTGAATGGTGATCGATGAGGATGAAAACAGGCCAGTTAACCCATCATAATGAATTCATCAGGAATTAACCATGATAGTTTCCAGGGGGAACCGCGAGGAGATCGACCTGGTTGGGTATATTGCTAGCAATGGGATTCTCAGTCTCCATTACTAACAATCCCTTTTCCCCCCAATTAACTATTAAGTATTATACTTTTAAAATATTTCTAATAAAAGCTTTTTGGTCTTATTTAAATTACAGTGCTTTTTTTTTTTATTTATAATCGTTAGATATGGGGTGCCATAAAATAAAAGGTGTTTGGTGGGCATTCCGTTACATTAAAAGTTTAGGAACCCCTGCTCTATACTACTTTTTCAGGTCAGCCGTCAACTTGTCTGCTGATGAGTTATATAAAAGAAAATTATAATAACAAAAACTGCACTCACGCAGTGTACGTAACAGTGGGCGCCGGCTTGGACAAGTGCAGCTCGCTCACATCTTTGATCCACCGGTCTATTGCTTTTGCATTCTTCTCCGCATTCTCGATCTTCTTCGTCAGCTGCCGAATTAATTGTACTTATGTATGTTACCAGTAATAACTTATGGAACCGAAACATGATCCTACACGATTGCCCGTATGCAAAAGCTTCAAATTCTTCAGCAAGCTATAGAGAGGGCTATGCTCGGAATTTCTCTGCGTGATAAAATCTGAAACGAAGATATCCGGAAAAACCCCAACGTAACCTACATGGCCCGAATGATGAACAAACTGAAGTGGCAATGGGCTGGTCACATAGCTCGAAGGACCGATAACCGATGGGGAAGAAAGGTTCTTGAGTGGGGACCCCGTACGGGCTAACGACCTGAAAGGCATTGCAGGGAGTCAGTAGATGCAGGTGGCTCAGGACCGTTTTTTATGACGCTCTATGGGGGAGGCTTATGTCCAGTAGTGGACGAATAATGGCTGAAACGATGACATATGTGTAATTCAGTTAATTTTAAACTTTCGTGTTGTTAAATCAGGTATAATTAATTAAATGGATGACAATGGAATGGTAAATGACACCAAAGCAAGATGATATGTGAGAATGAAAAGGCAAGTCAGTTAGTCCGTTGTGATGAACACACCTGGAATTGAACACGATGGTCCCCAGGGGAACACGTGGAAGTCGACCTAATAGAGTATATGTATTGCTAGCAACGAGACTGGTAGTCCGCAAAACTAACAAACCTTTCACTCTTAATCAGGTATGATTTTTTTAATACGTGATAATGGAATGGTAACCCCGCCTGCACTATCGATTTACGCTGGCGGGGCACTAGTGAGGGATGACAGGTGATGATGAAAACAGATCAGTTAGCCCATCGTGACGAATTCCAACAGAAATGACCACGATGGTTTCCAGGGGGAATCGCATGGAAGTCGACTTGATACCTTATATTGTTAGCAATGGGTTCATTAGACCCCATTACTAACAATCCCTTCCCTCCCAATCAGGTATGTAGGTACTATTTACTTGCAAAAGCATCGCGTTAAATCCCAATAGGGTATTTAAAATATATGTACAATTCATTGTGTACATAGGCTTATTTAAGGAACGGGGGATGAGTGGGCCTACGCAAGTCTCAACTCTCAAGGGCTTAAGTAGGTACTGATACCTAGAGGCGAGCCCCTTTGCCTCGGAATCATCACCGGGAGCGACTATCCCCGGAACTCTGACAGCATTGTCTTTGATGGCTGGCTTCTTATATTTATGAGTTTCAATAGGGGAGCTGGATCTCTACTTCTTTTCTTTTATATTTATTTCTCTTTGGGTTTCCTGTGGGCCGTGCCTAATAACACTTTTTTTTTAATGGATGATAATAGAATGGTTACCCCGCCTGCGCTATCGGTATACACTGGCGGGACACCAGTGAGGGACGATAGGTGAGGATGAAGCTGGTCAGTTCGCCTATCGTGACTAAGAATAAATCAATTACATTAGTTTCCAGGGGGAACCGCATCGACGTCGACCTGCAATGAGATTGTTAATTCCCATTACTACCAATCCCCTCTCCCTCCGCACGATAATACTTACCACAGTCGACTTGGCGCTGCTGGTCTTCGAGATGGCACGCAATTGCAAATGTAGAAGAGCAGAGTCGCTCTGCTCGGCGGCGGGCTCGTCCAGCACCGTCAGACCTGCAAAGTATAACATCAATATATATTACAACATCAAAGGAATTCGAATAGCAACAATACAATTAACTCCTACCACGTTGGATTAAGGCTGGGTAATAATATTGCCGTGTGATCCCGGCATAGAATAGGCCACCCCTTCCTATCCCGTAGATGTCGTAAGAGGCGACTAAGAGAGGGCGAAGGATCGGCAGCAACGTCCCTCTTAAAACATCTCCAAAGCCTAACTGCGGTTGCCAATCCGCCTGCCAAGCGCGGTAACTACTGGTAAAACCCGCTAAGGGGGAGGCTTATGTTCAGCAGTGGACAGTTAAACGCTGATATGATGATGATGATGATGAATTTTATATATTTTTATTTATTTATTTCTCATTGCATTCCGTAATGTGATTGGTAAATATTTAAACAGATTTAATTACGGACCCTGTTGGTCGCAGCCAGTAGAGAGAGGAGGACTACCTTTTTTACTTTATGAAAATAGTTCATGTATTACCAGAGGGAGACTTTGTACAAAAGTCACGCCATATCCCACCTTTCAAACCGAAACACAGCCATGCAAACACAACTGCTTCACGATTGAAACACGAATGGAACCGAGATACCCAAGCAATCGACTTTTGTACAAAGTCTCCCTCTGGTGAAATCATCACTCACTAACCACTAATCACTAAGCCACTCAAGAACCTTTCTTTGCCAGCCATTGTCGGTTCTTCGAGCTATGTGACCAGCCCGTTACCACTTCAGATTCTAATGTACTCGGCATAACAGTGAATTTACAGGGTACAGAGGAATAACACCTAAGCCCTCAGGAATCGCAACGCATGTGGGGTATCGTGGGCGAAACAGTATACTCTATTATGTCCATGGTACTGCTCATGTCTATAGGCGACGGTTACCACTTTCAATCAGGTGGGCCGTCAGCTTGTTTGCCATTCTAAGTTGTATAAAAATATTATTTTCGAAAATTCTATCTAATAACCCATGCAAAACCGGGCCGGATCGCTAGTCTGTTGAATAAATGTTAAAAGTTAATCCCGATAACTGTGACATAGTAAAAACATGCATTATATTGTATAGGTAGGCTATTTTTATTTATTATCCAAGACTTTCACAAGCTACACGCAACCGACAATTCCGTGTATTGACGGCTTTAAACACGAGACTCTAATAAATAACCATTGAAATATACTTAGACACTTTCATAATTTTGAAATCCTAGAAAACGTAAACTGCTTACTTATTCTTTAGTATAGAGTAGCTGTATGCGGTCATTTAATTTAGGACATGCTTCGATTAAAGCAAATTGTCAGCGATAATTATTGCTTTGTGTTTATATTTTTAAAATTTAATATACTTTTAAATTTTTTTCATCATTCCACTTTATACGGACCGAAGCACGTAACTACATTGGAACCACTAACGACATTGGCCTCCTATTATTATAAATCAAAATATATACAATTGTTGTGTGCAACTACCTATACAAAATCAAACATATACACATAGGTACATGAATGACAGAAATGTAAAGAGGTGCGCACCAGTGATTCACTCGATATCAAAGAACTTTCAAATTGTTATTATAATACTAGCTGACTCGGCAAACGTTGTTTTACCATATACATTATTTCTAGAGCTGTACATGAAAATATATCGTACTACATTTATTATTTTCAATTGCCATCTTGCAAACCTTTTTCGAAATATAAAAACACCAGGGGTTGATCATAAAAGGGTAAAAATTTGAACCTGTATGTATTTTTCAATGCTTAGTTATAATAAAATTAAAATAAAAAAAAATTAAAAATAATAATTTTAGGGGTGGGTCACCCCTATTATTGAGGGGTATGAAAAATAGATGTTGGCCGATTCTCAGACCTACCCGATATGCACAGAAAATTTCATAAAAATCTGTAAAGCCGTTTCGGAGGAGTTTGGTAACAAACACCGTGACACGAGAATTTTATATATTAAATAACAAAAATTAAAATACATTTACCAGCAATAATACATACCTAAATTGTCAATGTGCTCGAGAACATTTTCGGAGAGCGGCCCGCCGCGCACGTTGGCCGCCGGCGTGGACACCTTGAGGAAGGCGTCGATGTCGCCCACCGCGGGCACATACTCCGGGATGAACGGTTGCAATTTGAACTCTATGTCAATTTTCTGTGGGGTGTATCTGGAAAAACCATTCGCCGCTTGTTAAATACGCAGCCTCACTTCATTTTTATAATCACCATTTTTAAAGATTTTTTTTTAATGGAAAGGGATAATGGGCGAGGATCAAGGTCCGTTGATCCATCGTAACTAATTCAACAATAATTAATCAGGACGATTTCCAGGGAGAATCGCGTGGAGGTCGACCTGATATAGGGTATATTGCTAGCAATGGGGTTGTTCAACACCATTATTAATAATCTTTCCCCACCATTCCCCATTTTAAATATTGTTCTTTGTATAGTGAGTTAGTAATAGACCTAGCTACGTTTCAGGGAAAAGGATATAGGTTATAATATTAAAGATTGGGGGGAGGTATTTAGGTCGACCTCCATACGGGACCCCCTGGTAACTATTGTGGTTAATTCCTTATAACCCTTATTACCGATGTTATTGAGTTCTTCATGCTGGACTAATTGACCTGTTTTCATTCTCATCTATCACCCTTCGCTGATGCCCTATCAGCGTATCCCGTTAACACAGACGGGGTGTCATTCCACTTTCATAATAAAAAATATATTAAAGATTTTTCTTAATACAGTGGACAGACCTACAATAAATATCAGGGAGGAAGGATTTTTAGTAACTAGTATTTCACACTATCAGGTCAACCTCCGTGTGGTCCTTCTGAAAACCATAGTGGTTATTATTTAGTAACGGACTTAAATGAAATTTGGTACACAGATAGATTATATCCTAAATTAGAACATATATATATATATATATATATATATATATATATATATATATATATATATATATATATATATATGTATATATATATATGTATATGTATATATATTTATAAAGTTTGACCCAATAACAGATATATTACCTATCAGTTATCCAATATATAATATCAGAAAGAAGAACCCACTCACAATAAATGGGTATGGGTGATATCGCAATAGGTGGTCATCAATCTCCAGAAGAACTCGATATATAGATATCGGATATTATCCATTACTATATTATATACTGATTCTAGCGGGCAAAACCTTGAGATACAGCTAGTATTATAAATGAGAAATTTGTAAAGATTTGTACCAGAGGGAAACTGTACAAAAGTCGTTTGTATGTACACCTCTGTCTCATGTGTTATATATATGTATTGTTATATAGATTCATGCGGGCGAAATCACGAAATATGGTTAGTATATACATAATTATCACCTACAGAGATCGCTTTTAGCGATAAGGCCGCGTTTTCTCACTGTGAACATTTCTTGTAAATGTTTGTATCTATTTATAATAAGTTTACTATTGTAATCTTTTGGAGGAAACAATAAAGAGTATCTATCTATTTAAAGTGACAGTAGTAATACTGCAATGATGCGTTTATAACGCTGGCCTAATTGATAACAAGGTTATGAGTGGGAGGCCCACCCACTATCCTGCAATAATGCGAATCATAACTAGGATAAAGTATTAAAAAAACACTACAGACATTTGTAAACTAGTTTTACAGAGTTAAGAGAATAGAATGTGTTGCCCTAACGATATCCCGCGGTTTAAAATATCTGTAGTCCCCTTGGCAACGAATCGCAGTTGCACATCATGTGTTCCATGGATTCCGATTTCTCCCCGCACAGTCTGCACAGTGTGTCCGAAGATAGACCCAAAAATATAAAGAAGATATATTGCTAGCAATAAGGCTGCTAAATGCCATTACTCACAATTCCTTACCCCCTCCCTCCATTCCCGGAACTGTCTTTGGATTTATGGAGTATATTATTTACTCTTTGCATATAACTTTATCTATACGGATACAGACGTTATGGTAATGGCATACTTCGTCTAAATCGGCTCAGATTGCGTGCATACAAGTGCGTGATCAAGCAACAGACATAGAAACGCCATAAATTACCATAAAATATGATTATATAGAGAAACCATTTGGATACTTGTTCTTTTGCTACTTAACTATTTGAGTATCGGACACATAACCAATAGATTATTTTACCAGAGAGAGACTTTGTACAAAAATCGTCTGCTTAAATACCTATGTCCTATTCGTATTTCTGTCGTAAAGCAGTTTTGTTTGCATGGCTGTATTTCGGTTTAAAGGGTGGGATATGGGAATGAAATTACAGGGCACAGAAGAGTGAATGGAAAAGCAACGCATGTGGGGTATCATGGGCAAAACAGTATACTCTATTATGTACGTCTATTATAACTGCGTCTAACCTAACCTAAGTGTTTTCGACAGGGGTTCGTGACTCGAAAAAGTTTAAGAAACCCTGATTTTGTTGAGGTAAAAAAGATCGGACGCAACCTTTATATATTTTATCTATGGTCTTGTCTCTGTGAAAAAATAGATGTATGCTTTATGGTTAATTGTCTTGAAAAAAAAAATGTAGCTCTGTATTTGCGGTAAAAGATTTATGTCTGGTTATAAAGAAATAAATTATATAATGTAAGAAACATGCTAGAAAAGATTAAATAAGTGATTATAAAGAAGAACAGTGTTATATTATTAACATTCACAAATATTATTAGATTAAGGTATAAAGTTAATATAATAAAAAGATATTTATTATTTCAATATCTTTATCAACTTTTGTTACGAACCAATAACGTCCCATTGTTAAGTATAAATCTAGTCCTACGAGAAGCCATTTGCAACCTCTTGCATTAATTATGACATGCTAAGAATTAGGGGTGAGAAGAATTTATCAATATCTAAGTTTATATTGTAGTTGGAGTATCTATATATTACAGATATATTATATATATATATATATATATATATATATATATATATATATATATATATATATATATATATATATATATATATATATATATATTAGATATATTATAGGTATTGACCCAATAACGAATATGTTAAACATCAGTTATCCAATATAGGCGATATCGAAATGGATGATGAAGTTTTATCCACCATCGATGTCTAGAGAAACAATGGTTTTTTAGGGCAAAGCAATAAGCTGAGTTGTGACCATTTTGTGTTACTGTGGCACACGCATGAATGGAAAAAATTTTTACTAATTTTATGCATTTTGTTTTTGTTTTTTTTTCTTTGTACATGTAGCTTTTTTTTGTCTTTTTTCACTGTGCATTTGTGTCTGTTGCCGTTTGTGTGCTGTAAGCAATGCAAATAAATTATTTATCTATCTATTTATATATTTATTTGTGTGTATTTATTTATGTTATGTTGTGGATTTATTTATTTAACGGATTATTACCCACGTCTCCTAAGACTAAAAAAACTTGAATTGAATAAGTTTTGTCATAGCTTGCATGATAATAAACACATTTTTACTAATATTATAAATGGGAAAGTGAGTTTGTTTGTTTGTTAACTTATAGATATTTAGTATACACATACAACATGGGATGGAGAAGGCTATGGACTCATTTTTATACCGGTTACGCAGGCAAAGTCGCGGGTAAACGTTAACATTAAAATTCTATCTTACTTCATGATGTACTGGAAAATGTTCTCTATCTCGGGCGGCACCTTCAAGTCCTGGAATTGCTTGGGGTCGTAAGCGCCCTCCGCTGGGATGACGACGCCAGCGCCGCCGCGCTTCCTTCCACTCCCGGCGACTGGATCTGGCTTTTCAGCTTCTAGATCAGCACTATCCGATTCTGTAATTTAATTTGGATTTGTTAGGCGACCTCCGTGAGTTCTGTGACGTAGTGGTGGGGGCGTTGCTTTGCGTAAAAGAGGTCACGGGTTCGAGTCTCATTTGGGCCTCTATAGAAAACGAACTTTTCTGTCTTGGCTCGAATCTGTTTTTAATTGTCCATTTTTAAATATATCATAACACTGGATATTTATGCTCGAGGACAAGACGATAGGCGTGGTTGTTTGGTACTTATTAAAAAAAAATATGTAATGTACTTACTAGAGGTAGGTAATAATAATAATAATAAGCGTATATTATATCCACGCTACGATCAATAGGAGCAGAGCATTGAAGGGAAATGTTTGGAAAACGGGAGAAGTTACTCCATTTTTAAGCATCCGTCGCGTGTGCAGCCTTAATGGCCACTTTTTAAAATGTAAAGATGTCCACCCGTGCGACGCCGGGCCGGGCCGCTAGTACTGAATAAATCGGTAAAATAACAATATTTAAAAAATAAACACTGTCAGCAACTGTGCACTTATAGAGTATTATTTTTGCCAAACATTTTTATCTACATCTACACTTCTACACTAATATTATTATAATATAAATATTATAAAATAGAAAGATTTGTATTGTTGTGTGTATGTTTGTAATGTATAAACTCAAAAACTACTTTGCCGATTTCAAAAATTCTTTCACCGTTAGAAAGCTACATTCACCCTGAGTAATATAGGTCATATTTATTGCTAGAAAAGATTAGGGAAACTTTAGTAACGTAACTCAAGGTGTAAAAAAAAATGTTATAAAATATCTTTCATCGCGTGCACTTCGGAAACTATTGGTGATAGTACAAAAGTATGTTCTACAATATTGAAGAAAATATCAATAGTTACAAAAAACTTAACGATACTATATGTCCAACTATTATCGTTATGTCACAATAACCACTTTTAAAAATGTTGTAAAAATGTTCACCCGTGCGGAGCCGGGACGGGCCGCTAGTCATTAATATATTCGTCTATCCTGTCTGTTCAAAATTAACCTTTTTATATACTTTGACAATTGTAGTTTATTATAAAAAATAAAATTGATAAACAATTGAAATAGAACAAAAATATACATATAATACATCAAGTCAACAGATTGCATTTTTATTTTACAATTAATATAAATAATAAATAATAATATATACATAACAAGAACCAGCATATTTTACAAACATAAATTAGTGGTCCTTCGAGCCGGATATGAACCAGCGACCCAGCGATCTTTCCAGAAGGATTCTTTTTTTATAACAGCTTTAAAAATAAAATATGTCAGTTGTGTAAAAATAAAATGTGATCTTGTTGATATTCCTTTCATGTACAGATACATGACAGATATTCCATCGCGGTCTCAATAAACGCGTTTGATTGAATAGGGCCATAAACCCAAAAATAGACTTGGCATTTCCTTTGGTTTCGGCCAAAAGTTCAATTCCTTACTGTTTACAGTAAACACTGCGCGTTTGTATAAATAAATACTAACGTATCGTAAAGATTTTTATACGGTATGTATTTTCACGCCAAGTGCCTTGTGGGATAGACAGAGAGAACTGGGTACCAGAGACTTATTGAATCTACTTTCTTATTACATTTCAAGCATCACGGGTTCAAAGAACTGAAAACTGAACTACTGAACCGATTTTAATAAAACTCCTATGAAACTAATTTATAAATATATCCTTTCATATAAAAAAAAAGAATTTTCCAAGTAAATTTTCAACTAACGGAGTTATGAAGTAACAAATATAAAAAAGTACATAGTAATTTGTTTTTTGTGTTGGATGTAACACCGAGTTCGGGTGTAGCGACTGTTTTTAATGAATCATTTGTAACAAATTGCTAGAAATCCCATGCAGATATTACGACCGAAGTTGGCCGCCAAAGAGACACCAAGATTTCTTTCTTTCACAAACATTTCTAACCTTTTGTTTACATCAACACAGATGGTCAGCAAGTATGGAGACCTTTACCTATTGTTTATAGATATCAGCTAAGTAGGTAGAGAAGCGTGTACGTTTCAGAGTTGAACTTATGGTTCAGTTACAAAGTGATATTCTGAGTAACAACTGAGTTTAGTAAACTTTTGAATAAGTATGTAAGTATGACTGCGTCGACGCACATTCACTGTTAAAGAAAAGGCGGAAAGCATTTCAAAATTGAAAAACGGTGAAAACAATGCTGATTTGTGCGAAGAAAAAACTATACATGTGTACGTGCCTGTATCTCTATACCCTTGCCTGTAACGACTTCCGGATATAACGACGAAAATAGAGTGGTCCCTTCATCGTCGTTATACCCGAAATCCACTGTATGTACACATTAACAGAAGGAACTTAGAAGACGGGCCGTGAAGGGAAGCCAAAAGGAAAAAAATAGACATGCGTGTCAATTTCGAATTTGATAAATAATAATATAAAAACTATAAAAAATACATGTGGCCTGTACTCCACATAGAGTTATATAATTTTATCACATTTTAATTTAGTAATCAACTTTTTTCTTTAAACTCACCCGAATTTGATGATTCCGCTTTCCTCATTGACTGTCTGACGCCGGTTTTGGTTTCCCTGGTCACCGTTCTCGATGCTTCGGCCATTTTCTCTGGAGGCGGCGAAGTGTTTCTTTCTGGAGACTAAAAAATAATATATAATTAAATTGTATAACAAATACAATTACTCTTTTTATAGCAATTATTATAATGAGGATTTAATTAATTATTTATATATATATATATATATATATATATATATATATATACGTAAGAATGAATAGGTACCTATAATTGAAACACCTGTGTTGATCTTTTGTAAAAAAGCACAGGGCCTGATCATTCGACCCCAAAATGGTAAAAAGGGAAGGTAAGATTTTTGCCTGGAAGGGCAAAATATCTAGATCAAATACTGTATAAGCAAATATGCTTTCTTATGTTTCGATTCAGGCTAGTAAACAATCTAATTTCAGATACGAGTAAACTATGCCAAGTTTATTTATTTATTTATTTTGAGGAAAACTTGAACACAAACAAACAGAACAACTTAACAATTAAATATATATAACAACAGTAAACCAATTAGAAGCTATTAACATATAGTTAACAAAAATTTATATTAAGTACAGTCTAGATAATTAATGACTTGGCAAACACAAGCTCAACATCATTGAAATCATTGAGTAAACGTTTTTTCTTATATAACTGCTGTTACTGTTAAATATATTGATTTCATTATCCCCACTACATACATCATTAAAAATGATTTTGTAAAATTACCTCTTAGTTGTAAAGAAAACAAGGCGTAAAGTGCACTTGGGCATCATATTGAATTCTGTAAAATCACGACACTCTATCTATAGGCAGTAGACTACTTTTAAATGAAGCATGTCTTTACCATTTCAAGTAGCTCGAGCAATCTTACCCGATCATGCTCGGATGCATTGTCCAAAAACTTATCGGGTTCCGATTCGGTTTCGCTGTCGGAGTCGAAATCGTGGCGCGCTGTGTGCCTCACCGGCGGGTTGAATTTGGACATGACCGCCTCCACTTCCTCCTCAGAACTAGGACTTTCTATTTCTCTTGCATTCACAACGACGGTCTCGTCGTACATCACTCGGGCATACTCCTCCAAGTCGACTTCGTTTCTCGCCGTATTCACTGACAGCGTTTGGCAGTGTTTGTCGCTGGTTGCCATGGCAACGCCACGACCACGTTACACCCACTCAGTTGGAACTCCTCGGTAGAAATCCACGATCCAAGCTGAACACTGGATGAAAGTTCGTCGAACTGGTACTATGTTTTTCATAAAAGATACATGGTACTGACTGGCACTAGTTGTTGTGGAGTGAGAGCTATTCCCGTTTGTCATTCATTTACAATTAACTTGCCTATTTGTTTCGTGGCTTGCGTTGTATTTTGATAGCAAAAAAATATATGCATCGTTTCATTTATTACACACTCTTTTACCCGTGAATTCATCCACGTGACAAGGATTTTTTTACACAAATTAAAATGGTAAACAAGCTGACGGCCCACCTGATGGAAAGTAGTAACCTTCACCTATAGACGTGAGCAGTACCATGGACATATTCACTTACATAATTCACTGCCATATCCCACCTGTCAAACCGAAACACAGCCATGCAAACACAACTGCTTCACGTTAGAAACACGAATGGGACAGAGGTGTCCAAGCAAACCACTTTTGTAGTCTCCCTTTGGTATGTTATTGTATTTAAAGATATATTTATTGACGAATAAAAAGCCTATATCCTTTTCCATTCCACATAGTATGTGTATACGAAATTTCATAGTGATTGGTTTTTTTTAATGGGTGAAAATGGTATAGTAACCCCGCATGAGCTAACGGGATACGCTGGCGGAGCACCAGTGAAGTGTGATAGATGAGAATGAAAACAAGCCAGTTAGCCCATCATGATGAATTCATCTGAAATTAATGATGATAGTTGTCAGGGAGAACCGCGAGGAGGTCGACCTAGTTGGGTATATTGCTAGCAATGGGACTCTTAGTCTCCATTACTAACAATCCCTTACCCCCCCCCCCATAGTGATTGGATAAGTCGTTGCGGCGTTTTAAGGTAACAAACAAACTCTCACATTCCTAATATTAGTAAATATACTATGTAATAATTAAATAGATATTCAAGAAATGCTCTGAGCTCACTATACTGTTATCTATTGCACGTGCTTATCAAATATTCTCATTATCTAAGCAAATTGCCTACAAAATTTGTTACTATAATTACTTAATGTGTTACTATAATTGTCACATATTTTTCACCACATCTGCCCTTCGTACGCTTTCTGTTTTTACCCAATATTTAGCTGGTAGAGAATGCTATATGGCATTAAGCTCGCCATTTGTACAAAATTTTACTGTACAATAAAGAATAAATAAATAAATAAATAAAATTTTCAACTTAGCTTGTCTATTTTAATATTTAGACCTAAATTTCTATGATACGTACTAAATTTAACTTAGTATATTTATGGTTTAATAAACATTAAGTAGGTAAATATATGTATAGTTTTTTAATGGACGATAATAGAATGGTAACACCGTATGCGCTAACGATATATGCTGGCAGGGCATAAGTGACGGATGATAGGTAAGAAGGAAAAGGCGGGTCAGATAGCTCTTCATCACTATGCTGAATTCCAGTACACTTGGAATTTAACACGATAATATCCAGAGGGGACCAAGTACCCCCCAGCATGGGATTCTTCAAAAGGGGGGTAAAGAGGTTTCTTCAGGGTCGGCAACGCGCGCGTAATGCCTCTGGTATTGCAGTTGTTCATAAGCTACGGTAACCACTTACCATCAGGTGGGCCGTATGCTTGTTTGCCACCTCAGTGGTATAAAAAAAAAAAGTAGAAGTCGACCAGACACAACAAATTTGTTTTAATTTAAGATGCCTAGACTTCAGGTAATTTAAATATCAAAATAATAACGTATTGTTATTGATGTATAATAATCAAATTCCCAACAAGATTTTTCTCACAATATAGATAGACAAAAAGTCAAATTGAGTACCTACTGTTTTTAAGTCGGTTAAAAAACAGAACAAATTACACAATATAGATACTAAAGCTTCAAGTTGCTCAGTGTGCTACAGAGAGAGATATGCTCGGAGTTTTTTTGCGTGACAGAATCCGAAATGAGGATATCCGCAAAAGAAACAACCTGATCGACAGCTCGTAGGGTAAACAAACCGAAGCGACAATTGGCTGGTCATAAAACTCGAAGAACCGACAAGCGATGGCAAAGAAAGTTTCTTGTATGGCAACCCTGTACAAGCAAACGCAGACGACCTCACGCTAGGTGGAGCGACGACCTCAAATGCATTGTAGTAAGTTAATGGATGAAGGTGGCTCGAGACCTTAAGTTAAGTTAAGCCTATGTTCAGGAGTGAACTATTAACAGCTGGTATAATTTTAAATAACACTGCCACAAACAAATTAAACAAGTTTCTATCGTAAAGCAGTTGTGTTTGCATGGCTGTGTTTCGGTTTGAAGGGTGGGATATGGCAGTGAATTTACAGGGTACAGAGAAATAACACCTTAATACTCAGGAATGGCAATGCATTGGGGGTATCATGGGCGAAACAGTAAACTCTGTCATATCCATAGTACTGTTCATATCTATAGGCGACAGTTACCACTTTCCATCAGCTGGACCGTCAGATTGTTTGCCATTCTAAATTGAATTTAAAAAAAAAAACAAATGTATGGGACAACAAACACTTTCTACGTAAACTGAAATCTAAATAGGAAGTCTAATAGGATGTTAAATGAAAACAAAGATGGAAAAAAATGTCAACTTTATTTAACTGAAATATCTAATCTACAGCGATGACGCAATGACAACGAAATTCTTTTGTTAACTTAACCGTTTAATTAAGTGAAAATAATTATCTCGTGTTATTGTGTTCTCACACGTCGTGTGAAACATTATATTTAAATCTTATTTCTTTTGACTAAACACACTAGGAGTCAGACGCCTACTATATATAAATATATATTGAAAAATTATATATATATATAAAACTAGTAATATAATTGATTCAACAACCCGCCAGTCGCACAAAGCTGGTTCCCATAATTGTAAATCAATTGGAAAATATCTTAGCATATCCTTTATCGAATTTTGATCAACTTGGATAAAATAAAAAAAAAAAATAGAATAAAAACTTAGATTACAGATAAAAGTAATAATATGAAATAGTATCAGTAAACTTTTAAAATTTATTTCTCTACATACGTACATATCTGTCACGCCTATCACCCATTAAGGTAGGCAGAAACAGTGGAATGCCAAATGCTTCGATTCTTTATTTTATACGCTGTTATTTCGATAAAAAGACATGCCAAGTTATTTACTAATTGTACCTAATATAAAAAAAAAAATTCGAATTGTCTATTACAGATATACCTAGAGACAATTATGTAATGTTTATTTATAAATTATCAAGATTAATTCGTGATTAATTTCATGGACGGCGCCAACTTTGTTTAGAGAAGCTAAACTACGAAATTTGACATTACAAAAGTTTTATATGATTTATTTACTATTATAATTTTCGTAAGCACACATTATATTTTAATGTAATAAATACCGGTTTAACTTACGTGCAATTGCATCACTAGTTTCGGGATCAATTCGTAGTCCTTAATCATAAGCGACTGTGACGCGAGCACGAGCCTGATTGGCAAGTTGACAGTCGATTTAATTACACGTAATTTAAATCAATAGTTATTATATTAAAATACAATTTTCAATAAGAAAAATATATTATATAGGTATATGTTTTTATAGTATATATAATAGTTAAGAGGGTTGTCAACCTTACAATTCAAACAGATGGCATTGTTTAAAACTGTTTAACTATTGATGTCAATGCAATAAAATAACTTTTTTTTTTGCGTAAATATAAAATAAATATATGTTACTAGATGAATCAAGGCTTCAATGTAAAATAACAATATATTTTGTAAACAATATTGTGAATATAATTTATGGTCAATAGAAGTTTACATAATCGGAAAAACTTACACGCAATACGAGACATCAAACATACAATATATAAAATATAAAAATATCTAAATCTACATTCAAACATTGGGAAATGTAATAAGTCAATGATTAATATATGTAGCAGCACATTTACTTCACAACTTACGAAATTTACTGAATGCCATTTTATTCTTGAAATAATTCTTTTACAAATGGTAAGGATATGAAATAGCCGAGTAGTTCCAGCATAGAATAGAACACCCCTCCCTTTACCCGGTGTGTCGTAAGAGGCAACTAAGGGAGGTCGAGGGATGGGCAGCAGCATCCCTCTTAATAAAATATCTAAAGCCCAACTGCGGTTACCAATCCGCCTGCCAAGCATGGCAACTACTGGCAAAACCCCCGAGGGGAAGCTTACTTCAGCAGTGGACAGTTAAAGGCTGATATAATTATAAAGAATATGAAAAAATGTAGTGAAGTGTCATACAAGAGTATTTAGATGCCTCTACAATCATAAAAAGTAGGACATTGTATTATATATGTGTGTTTGTATGTATGTGTAGTGAGAGATATGTATCAATAAGTGACATTTCTTTAAGTAATAACACTATAATCATGTCATTTCTCTGTGAACTACAACAGAGTGAATGAATCCACTAGTAGGTAAGTAAATGTGCCACTATATACATCAATTATAAATTAATGTTTTCAAATAAGTATATTATTTACAAAAATATTACCTATTCAATTGTTCGTCATACATGATAACAAAAATATTCAAATTGTAAAATCTATACCACAAAATAAATATCTAAAATGTACTACTATTTTGAACATGTCTAGTGTCTACAAAATATTTCATATTTTATACAACAGTCCAAGATTAAAGAACACTATATATTTAAAGGAGTAATTGACATTTTAATTTACCATCGTACACATTTGAATTATGTCCAGCATAACGAGAAATGTGCAGTATTATAAAAAGAGGAGCAAAAAATTTTGACATTGGGGCTAATTCTGAGACGTTATGTACATAAACCTATCTCTCAAACTATAATTGTAATATAATAGTTTTGCATATTATTATTTTATGAATGGTCATAAAGTAAATTTATAACAAGTTTGACTTAAATTTATTAGACAATTTCTAGTTTTCATATTGGTCCTTATAATAAAGATTTCGCTGCAATATCAAATTGAATTTTTAATTTTAGAAGCAGGTTTACAGAAATAGCGTCCCAAAATCTACGCCATTATGGCTACCAGAATTCGAATTAATATATCACAAATGACAGTCTTCGTTTACAATTAAACGGAAATTTATTAGACCCTAAAATGGTTTGGCACATACTATATAAACTTTATGCAACTTATTGCTGAATAAGCACAAAAGCATCCAAAATATCCAAAATATCATCACTTTCTCTCACAGACACGAAACGAAGCAATGTTTAGATTTGTCCAAAATTAGATCAGCCGACTTTATTGATGAGTTCATCGCATATCGCCGTCAGTTCCTCGTTCGCTTTTGTTTTTTGTGCGAGAGTTTCCTCCAGAGATGTGATATGCAAATCCTTCCTCTTGATCATGGCGTTTAACTTTAAAACCTCAGCCTCGTGTACTCTATTCATCTTTTCCAACTCTTGGTTGGCGTGATTAAGCTTTGAAGTTGCATGTTGTTTTAATAACTCGTAATTACTTTGCATTTTTACTAAATTCTCTTCAAATTCTTTAATAGACTTCTTGTATGTGTCTTCATTGGCTTTACAAGTCAAAATAATTAGTTTACTCTTCTCATATTTACTATGTAAATCGCTAAATGAGACCTCCATACTCGCCAAGTGTGCAGTTTGCTCATCTCTCTCTTTTATAAGTTTCATTCGTTCTTCATTGTGAAGTTTTTTGTCTTGCTCTGTTTCAGCTATGAGGCTGGCGATCGTTCTCTCATATTCTTCTACAACTGCTGCCATGCTTTTATTGGTTTTTGTCTTTTCAGAAAGTTTATCAGTCAATTCATTGACTTTCTTTAATCTTTCTTCACATTCAGATTCCAAGGTTCGCATCTGAGATTCCAAGTTGAACAATCTGTTCTTTAACTCTTTACTCTCAGATCTTAAGTTGTACACATTTATTTCCTTTTCAGCTAACAACTCTCTTAGTTGAGTAAGAGCTAAATCTGCTTCGTTCTGTTCCCTTCTAACTTGCATGGCTGTAGTATCATGATCGATGAATGAATTGTTTGCACTCATAGACAGAAGTCTATCAATAACAGCTATGGCAGGAGACGTGAATGTGATAGACCGTCGATTGGAATTGGTGGGAGTTGTAGATTTTCTAGGAGACACGATTGAATTGACAGCAGGTGTTACAACCATCATTGGTTTCGATGTTGTTATATTAACATCTATCTCTGCATTATCCTCAGATATGCCACTCTGGTTGACATTAAGAGTAGAAGGTCCAGCTACAGGAGTTACAGCAACAAATGTGTTCACTGATTTTGACAATTTCTTAGGTGTACTTTGTCGTTTTTGAATTTTGTTTAATGCTGCTAATACACCATCAGAAGACATTCTCTTCGCGAATAAAGGATCAAATTTTAAGAACAAACTTTCTTTGCCACTGTCAGCTACTACATTGCTTTTGTTTTGATTTAAAAGAAATTCAAAAGCTTCTGCATCAATGAAAAGTTCACCAGCTTCCAAATTATCTGCATTTGTCTGAGCTGCCAACTCTGCGAATTGAATCATATCAGCATTATCATAAACAAAATCAGACATTTTGTTATCATTGAAATCCTCTGCTTCAAGAAAGGGTCCTTCAACTGTATCTTCCTCATCAGTGTGAACTTCCCGTACTGTGTCATTTTTATCATCAGTTGTTTTTGAAGAGCAAGTTGTAGTACTTATATTTATAGTTTCTTTTTCTTCAATGTTTAATTTCAATCTCTCGTCCGAAGAGACTATATTTAAAGATGCAGCATTAGAAACAATATCATTTACGGATTTCTCCTCAATATTAAAGTTTTGAGATTCTGTATTTTCCTTAATGATTAAAGATTCTGAAGTAATCCCGTTTTTGTTATCATCAAATGATTTAGGCATTTTTATATCTGGAGGTGGCGACTGACATATTTTCGATTTTGTAGTAAATGAATTAAAATTATTGTCATCAATTTCAGGTATGTTAAACACATTTCTAGATTTGATGCTTTCACCAGATGAGGTTGCAGCAGAATGATAAACAGATTGCTCTGAAGAGGATGTGTCTTTATACTCACTCGACGTTTTATTCATTTCCACCGATGAGTTATTTTCAATAATAGCAGTTGAATCAAATTTATTTTCCGTTGAAATGTCTTTTACTTCAGATAAATTATCTAAGGTATTGTCCAGTGTAGGTCCATCCACTGTTTTATTTACTATTTCTGCATCTAGTGTTTTCTCATTAATATCATTTACTGTTAGTATGTCATTGTTCAAAGATTTCACTTCGCCACTGTTTTCAACATCTATTGAAGTTTTTAAATATTCATGATTTTCAAATGGAGAATTTGAAGCAGTATTAAAAGTATTATTAAATGTTTCCTTTGTTACAATTGGAATTTTTCTTTCAGATTGGGATTTTCTTTTATTTTTATTACTGTTGTTTTTTGTTACATCTACTTTCTTTGTCACAGATTTAATAGACTGTTTTGGAGAGTCCAAAGGCGGAGATAATCTAATTTTTGTTTTGGTAGCAAACGGATCATCTATCTGATCAAAATTAAAGTCATAACCTTTTGAAATTATTTTGGGAGAATCTGGCAGAGGTTGAGTATCTATCTTTTCAAAATCATCAACACTATCTGTAGATGTGGTTTTCGAAACATTATCAATTGATATCAATACATATGGACTATTATTTTCGGAATCTAATAATTCTTCGTGAATATCATTTTCTGTTATACCTGCACTTTTACTTTGGTCTGGAGTAGAATGAATTGTTTCCTCTTTTATATTTCCTACTTCTTTTATACTTAATTTATCATGATTTAATTCTATATAACTTTCTTCTCTTGAAGTTTCTTTTTCAACTAAATTTATGGATTGTTCTTCAGAAATCACAGGCTCTTCAGCAATATTAGTAAGACTATCATTAATCGACACTTCTTTTTCACGATTAATAATCTTTTCTTTAGAATCTACAGTGAGATTCACATCATATTTTTGATTCGAAGTTTCGATGCTTTCACTCCCTTTTATTTCTTCGATATTAATATTACAGTTAAGAGGATCAACATGATTAATATCTGAGATATTATATGTTATTTTTTCTTTTTCTTCTTTTATAATTTCTTTAGATACACTCTCATTAATTTTAACTTGTTCATATTTTAACATTTCAGTAATATGAACTTGTTTATGTTTACTTGGTGTATCTTGTAGATTAAAGTTTAATAATTCTTTATTTGATTCAAAATTAGCAACATATCCCACAGTAATTTCATTTTCTGACTTTGTTTCTATTAGATTTAGTTTCTCTTCTGTAAGCTCTAATTTAATTCCTTCATCAATCGGCGATTCTACCACCACATTATTTTCTAAAGAGTTAAATTCTTTCAATTCATTAGAGTTTTTCGAAAATGTGTCCTTGAGTTGTTTTTCTAAATTAAGATTTATAACAGGCATTACTTCCTTGTCCTCAACTTTATTGAGCTCATCATTTTGCAGTATAAACTTTATTTTTTCTTCATCTTGGTTATCGCCTAATGTACTTTCAATAAAATTGGCAGTCGATCTTATTTCATTGATTGTATCCATTGGCATCATCTCAAATTTATTTGCGTCTTCCATTTTAATATTAGTATTCAAATCACTTATGACATCAGGAAGAGAATTAGACTGTAAATCAACATTTTTAGTAAATGTATGATGAGATAGAATGTCTTCCACTTCAAGATCTTCATCAGGCAATGGAATATCTACTGGTAAATTAGTATTATCAGCAGGAATCTCATTAATAGGTCCATTACTTTCAACATTAACTGGCACTGAGTTCAAGATATTATCTGTAACTATATTTGTGATATTTTGTGCTAGAACAATATTTTCATCAGGAATATCAACAAAAGTATTAATTGATACATTTTCAGGCACAGTCGTTATATTATTTTCGACAGGAATAATATCATTCTTATTAGAGATTGCATGAATGTCATCATCAGAAAATTTCATCTCAGTAGTTACATTAGCTGTTTCACAATTATCTGGTAATTTTTCAGATAAGATGTTGCATTTAGGAGTTACATTTTCCTCATTAATAATGACATTAGTTGTTACACACTGAGAATCTAATTGTACTGTATTTTCAGTTATTATTATTGATGTAATTGATCTATCTGCTGATTCTTGTAAGACTGTATGATTTAAAGAATCATTTGAAATTGTAGCATATAACTGTTCATCTACTCCAATGGATTTTGTAACAGAGTCTATTTTCACTGGGATGTCATCAATGTTTCTAACAGGTAAATTTTCAGTTGAGTCGATCTCTTTACAAAGTTTAAATTCCTCTGGATTGGACTGATATTCAACAATTTCATTTTGTAATCCTTCTGGAACTATTTTAGTTAAGTTTGAATTATCATTAACTATATTGGATGTCTCTTCAACATTACGAGCTGTAGATATTTCGATATTTTCAGTAATGTGACTCTCAACTGATTTCTCAATAGAATCTTTGAGTCCAATAGTATTAAATTCTTTAGTAGCATCCATCTGATTATTTATTTGTTCAATAAAATTCTTTATTGGTACATCATTTTGTTGACTTGTACTGTCTAAACTTGGAGGAAGTGTATCATTCAGAAGTTCAGTTTCATTATTTAAAGTTGTTTCACAATCCATAAATTCATTTTCAGATTCTGTTAGATTACCCATTTGCTCTATTGTAATATCAGTAATTGTTTTATTTTTTACTATAGACTCATTGCATGAAATATCCATATATTCATTAGTAGAATTTAAATTATCTTCTTGATTTTCATTTACTTTATCATCAATATTAGTAGATTTCTTTAATGGAAAATTAGGTAATTGTTTAGATTGTTGATAAAATAATTTATGAATAGGAATCTTTTCTTGACTAAATAAAATTGTTGTCTCATCTTTCCACAAAAGCTCTTTTTCAAGATCATCACTGAAAGTTATGCTGTCTTTAAGGGGGCTACTTCTTTTAGATGGACTGCCATCTTTATTTCGGTGAGCAGCAACTGGTGTTGAAGCTGAAACTACTTCAGATGCACTCACTGCACTTTCTGTTAGTGTTACATCAGACGGGCTAAGTATATCTCTCTTTACAGGGCTGCCATGCTCTTCAGCAGGGGGTATAGGACTCTGGGATGATCGAAACATGTTCAGTACACTTTTTAAACCACGCATAATTGGTGAGCCACCATCTTGTTTTGGAATTTCCTTTGTCGGTGTTGTTGCCTCAGGTGTATGTATAATAGAAGATGAAGAACTTGGCAGTGACAAATTTTCATCTATATCAGCCGTCACAGTAATATTATTATCAGCTAAAGTTAGGGTTGTGTCCAGTGGTCTCAATACTGATGTATTTCTATTGTTGTCCAATGACAACTCAGTTGTATGCAATTGCAAGGGATGTACTTTGAATGATTTAGACGTATTTTCAGATTTCATTGTAGAATTAAATGAACGGGTCAAATTACCATTACCACTTAAGTCTGTGCCAAATTCTAGACTTCTGCTATCAGGACAATTTGCTGTATAACTTTTAGACATTGGGGATGATGCTGGTGTAATGGAATACCTTAATTTCATGTTGAGCTCCGATACATCCAATTCCTCATACCCTTTCTCAGTGCATGGTAAAACATTGCTATGATGGAAACTATTCTCCTTATTGTCAAAATCACTCTCAATGTGGTCAATATCCATCGGCTCTATGTTGTGAGCCATCTTACTGATTTATTTCACTCTGCTGCGCTATAAATTTACATGAGAATGCACCTGTGCACTTTTATATGCGTCACAACGAACGTTCGTCACTAATATCTGCGTCTCACAATTATCTGTAGTCAGATAAAGAAAAAAATTAGTTCAATGTTTACAGTTAGTCGATTTCAATGAATTTCACTTAGATTTCTAGCACGTAATATAAGCAGCGTCGCGCTATGTATGTCATTTATAAACAAAAATGTTAGTGATCTGAACACGCAACTCACTCTAAAATCTATTTTTAACTTTTTTGACTTGTACTGCACTGCACGCTATACAACAGTAATTCTATTTAACTCGCGCGCCCGAGGGAATCTTGCCAAAAAGCTATAGAGAAAAGCAAGGAAACCCAATACAAATACAGACACCACAAGTTCGAACAAAACCGTTTGAAATCCGAACTTTTCTAACTGTCAAGTATGTCAAAAACTTTCCTAAAGACATTGGTAAACTATAAAGCAGCTTGACTCAAGCATATATTTTGTCGTTTCTAAAACTGTTCATAAGTTTCTTTTCTATTTTCCAAAACAGCTTCCATAACCACAGATATAGTAGTAGTTCTAAATTTATAAGTTATTAAAGTTAAAAAAATAATAAATAGTCAGATATTTAGATTTTAATTTATAAATTTTAAGTATGCGTGATAACTTTTGGCAAAACTTTCCAAGGAAGAGGCCTATATTTAATAGTGGATAGTTATAACGGTCAATATCATCATCATGTTTATTTGCCACCTCAGTGGTATAAAAAAAATCAAACGACGAATCAATAAATTAATTCATTAGCAGTGTTGAGTATATGTATGGATTAAGTATAAATTGGTGTACAAAAAGAACTCTGTATCATGTGATTTAACATAGTATCACTAACATCATGTACGACCTAGGAACAAGGAGTTACATAAAAGGAATGATAAAAAAAAACTGCAAATCATATGATTGCCTCCTTTCTTCTTATAAAATATAATTAGTAAAAAGATTACGAGAGATACAACATCAGTTGCTATTTTTCATAGACTAGTGTATAGAAAATGTTTTCAATTATTTATCAATGACAAGTATACAAGCAGGTTGTATCTGAATTTAGTAGGGTTATACGGCCGTATAAACATTTTCTATACACTGATCTGTTATAAATTGACAACCTTAGAAACTGATGGTGTATCTTTCGTCTTCTTTTTTAATTATATTTGCATAAGAAGAAAGTAGACAATCATATTGGTTTACAGTTTTTATTTTATTATTTCCTTTATGTAATTCTATGTTCTCAGAGTACGACAAAAGGCGCTAAGCTTCATCTTACGCAAAACCTTATATTAGTTATATTACTTCCATGAGTTATGCGTACCGCACTATCCTTATTCTATGAAAACTATCCATCAAGCTATTATGTGTGCTTCTTAAAGCTTGATCGTTTACAGAGCAAAGCTCGATTCAACTATTAGTGTAGCGACTCTGAAATTTATCTAAATTTATCTTTAAAATTAAAATTTCAATTAGATATCCCAGAGAAATCTTTATTGTTTTAAGGACTAATTTCAGCTAATTTTTTAATAGATTTGTTGTGGGTTGAATTGAAACGACAAGGTTGGTATATAGAAATATATATTTCAACTGGCTTGTAACTGATTCTCAATTGAGTTATAACTAGTAATATTAACAAATAAAAATGATCTTATTTACTAAATACAAATATAAAAAAATCAAGATAAAATGGTAATCATTTTCTTCTTTCATTTTTGTGATTTCATTGTCAGTCTATTAGTCTTCAGACATAGTCTCTGTAATCACTGATCTATGATCAGCTCTTTAATCTGTAGTTACATCTCACACCGTACAGTTGTTTTTACTCTACATATCCATATATTTACGTATTTTTTTTTTAAAATTCTTTAATAATATAAAATTTTATTATAATTTTAAAATATACTGTACCTTTTATAATCTTTGTTTAAAACGCCACTAATTATTACTACTATTGATGAAGTGAGTAAATATGAATACATTTTTTACTAACGCATTAATAATGATATTTAATGTGATAACCTTGAGGTTACATTGTGTAGTTTACTTTTTATACAAAAATAACACATAGGTATTGTATTACATCAGTTAAAACTTTATACTATCTATAAGTAATATAGTATTGTTGAATTCAGTAACATTATTATTTTAAATTACGTTCCACTCGAATACGTTGTAGTATAACCGGTAATTAATTATTAACCAACAGTCTGAGTCCTTTTGTGAATTTAGCGACCGACTGAATCAATAGTGTGTGAAATATATTATACACAGTCTTGAAACAAGTTTAATTCATCGATTTGATATTGTTAAGCCGCATCTCTCAACTGAAACGCACACTAATACGCGGGTATAAATTGCAATAAAAATATAATTTACGATAGTGAAAGCAGTATTTCTTCTATGTGCCAAATACTAATTTAAATTTTTTTTTTTTACATTTAAGCATTGTTATACAAAAAGTTGTACTTTGCTAAAACTAATTAATTTTTTTTTAATTAATGCAGTGTAAATGACTTCATTTATTTTACAGAATGAAATATGGACATAGAGCATAATGTTACAGTGAATATATTATTTTTTGCAAAATCAAAAGAACTCTCTGGAATCAGAGAGACGACACTCCAACTACCTAGAAAGATCTCATATAAACAACTACTAGATCTTATTGTACAGAAGTACAACCTTGAAACAATAAAAAACAACATTTTACTTGCCAAAAACGAAGTCGTGTGCGAGGAGACTGTAGATATAGTAATAAGTGATCGAGACAGCATAGCTGTGATACCACCACTTAGTGGAGGATAAGACTGACAATGGATCACCTCAAGTTAACAGTTGATGCACTATCTATTGATGCCATCAGTGACCTGGTTGTGGACGAGAGCTGTGGAGCAGTCTCTATCTTTGTTGGCACAACCAGAGATAATTTTGATGGTAAAAAGGTGAGGTTTAATATTAATATTATTCATCAATATGACCTCGGTATTATATTATAAAAAGAAAAACAAATTGATAAGTTGCAGTATATATATATATATATATGTATGTGTATATATACATATTATATGTATATATATATATATATATATATATATATATAATATGTATATATACACATACATATATATATATATATACACTCACATGTGTGTGTGTGTGTGTGTGTGTGTGTGTGTGATATTTCACATGCTAATAAGTAGAGGTGGATTATGTGTAGAAGTATCTATATATTGTAGTCACAATATGTATATATTTTTTTTTGTGCTATGTATTGGATTTGAGTTCCCAAGCACTTGCATTTGTGCTTTTGGTGTACACTCGCGTATGCCAAGGTTTGCAGGTGGTTGACTTATAATATGGATGATGGATTTGGGCTTCAGTATTAAGTGGGTACTGAAAGCATGACTTTTAAGATGTCCTTTCTCATGTGAATTAATGGACGATGAGTTATCATGGTAAGTTTTACGATTTACAGGTTGACGGAGTCGCTAGAAAATTTTTGGAGAAGGTTTGAGAGTTTATGAAAATACATACATACATACATATCTGTCACGCCTGTTTCCCATTAGGGTAGGCAGAACCAATGGAATGCCAAATGCTTCGATTCAAACAAACCTCTTTCGCTTCTTTCACATTCATCAATCTTTTCATAAAAGCTCGCCGGTTTATGAAAATATGTATATATTTGCCCAATAAAGGGTATATTAAATACTGGTTTCAACATTAAGAACCCAATGGAAATTAATGTAGATACTGATGGATATGGACAGTATTAAAATGAATGATGATCTTTTTTCCATCCTCAATATCCATAAGAAATCAATTTATAGATATTAGAGTGATACTAATGATTGCCCATGCCTACTAATAACCAAATGTTTTTATATATAGATATACACAATATCTAACACACACTATTTTTGTGTATTCAGGTGGTGAGATTGGAGTATGAAGCATATGAGTCAATGGCTTTAAAAGCCATGAAAGCCATATGTACCGATGTGAGGAGCAAGTGGCCACCTGTTCACAATATAGCTATATACCATAGGTTAGTTTCTTTTTATGCTACTTAGAATGGCAAACAAACTGAGAGCCCACCTGATGGAAAGTGCCAAACGTCGCCTATAGACATGAGTACCATGGACATAACAGAGTATACTGTCTCATGATACCCCCCATGCGTTGCCCTTCCTAAAGCGTCAGGTGTTATTCCTCTATACCCAGTAAATTTACTGCCATACCCCACCCTTCAAACCGAAACACAGCCATGTAAACACAACTGCTTCACGGTAGAAACATGAATGGGACAGAGGCATCCAAGGAAACGACTTTTGTACTAAGTCTCCCTCTTAGTTGCCTTTAATATATTTTATTAATTTATGCTACTTCTAGTGTAATTATTCCATGTTATAACTAGTATTGAGATCCTTAGATGACAGTAGTTTTTAACTATAGTGATAATAATATGCCTAGAAGTAGCTGAAAAATCCAATTGAATAGCATCAAAATTAGTTTTGACAACCTATTCTATCATCCCACTGTTGGATATAGGTTTCGTGAAGTATACAGCCTGCTATTATATATTAGCCATGTAGCTCCCGGCATAGAATAGGCCTTTTCCGTGAGTGTCGTAAGAAATGACTTAGGGAGCTTATGGTAGATGGATGGGCAGCGATGTCCAATCCAGTTTTAAAACATCACCAAAACCCAACCATGCTTACCAAGCATGGTAACTACTGGCAAAACCCCCTTTATGGGGGAGACTATGTTTAGCAGTGGACAGTTAACGGCTGAAACAAAAAAACCTATTGTCATCCTGGCTTAGTATAAAGTGCGGTGACTTAGCATAGAATTTATTTAAAAATATAAAAGATAGACAAGTATGTTGTATAATTTTTTTTTATACCACTGAGGTGGCAAACAAGCATACGGCCCACCTGATGGAAAGTGGTTACCGTAGCCTATGAACACCTCTGGTATTGCACCAGAGGTATTATGCGTGCGTTGCTGACCCTGAAGAAACCTCTTTACCCCTCGCCTTTTTGAAGAACTCCATGCTGTAGTCTCTGGGAAAATTTCGGCATTCCACAAATTCAATAAGTACAAAAGTTTTATAGTTTTTTTTTTTTTTTTGTAAAATAAATTAATATGCCAAGAATAATTTACTAATTGCGACAATTATATACAACGCACTGTATGTGCTTTAAAACTGATATTTATGCAAAACTCTTTCCGAACAAGTAGGTAAGTTAATGAGCTATACAAGGTCGATACTCAATTACAGCGCAATTTGCTGCAAGTACATTGAACGTTATAAATTTTTGTTTCGCTTTGTCTGTCACAATAGTTAATAGCCATATGGATACAGTACAGGTTGTATGTTTTTATGTTATTATTATTATATTTATTATTGTATGTTTTTGATGGGTGAAAATGGTATGGTAACCCCGCCTGCGCTAACGGGATACGCTGGTGGAGCACCAGTGAAGGGTGATAGATGAGAATGAAAACAGGCCAGTTAGCCCATCATGATGAGTTCATCAGGAATTAACCATGATAGTTGTCAGGGAGAACCGCGAGGAGGTCGACCTGGTTAGGTATATTGCTAGCAATAGGATTCTCAATCTCCATTACTAACAACCCTTTTCCCCCCGGTTGTATGATGTTGTAGTAGTTATTATTCATGAAACTGTATTCGTATTCATTTTTAAATATATAAAAAACAGCAAGTTTACCATGTGGTCCCAGCATAGAATAGGGTACTATAGGAGGGCGAGGGGTTGGGCAACAGCGTCCCTCATACTAATTACTAACTATCCCTTCTCCCCTTCAATTCCAGGTTAGGCAACGTACCATGTCGCGAAGCGTCCGTCGTGATAGCGGTCAGCAGTCCGCACCGGCGCGACTCCCTCGACGCTGTGTCCTACTGCATCGACCAGCTGAAGGCGAGTGTGCCTATCTGGAAGAAGGAGGTCTACGAGGGGGACGCACCCGTGTGGAAGGAGAACGTGGAATGTGCGTGGTCAAGTACATGTAACACTAACGGGCAGAAGGTCTAGGTTTCATATAGTTGGTGGAATAGACTTGGTACCCTTACATCCTAAACAAGTGGCAAGCAATTCCATCATTGATCATCTCTTAAAATTATTGATTCCCATTAATTCCTCTCTTTCCATGGCTAGGTATAATAGATAAAACTATTTGAGAAATCAGTTCAGGGTACGATAGGGCTGATATACCTAAAGAAGGTAAATGCCCTTAAAATTAAAAAAAAAATAGATATTGACTTGTTAGATGATAAACGTGCTTGGCTAACCATACACATGATGATAAAGATCATTGTTTTTCAACCATTTTTATGTCGCGACCCTCGAAAAAGTCAAAAAGTTAAGTAAAAAGTCTTGTGACCCCCGTCACTATATAATTATTATAATTTTTTTTTTTATTATTTAAACGTTTAAAAACTAATAAATGATTTTAGCTATTACTAGAAGTGTATAATGAATGGAATTAGTACTCAAAGGATTTGAAAATCGTTCGTAATAATCCGAATGAATTGCTCAGTCGATTAATTAGTAATCGAATTAGTAAAGTCGCTCATCGCTACGTTAAACAAATGTTTTGAGGTCTTATTATTTTTCAACAGACTGCGACCCACTTTAATAACAAATGCGACCCTCCGGTTGAGAAATGATAATAAAGATATATCCAATTTATTTCCAGTTATTCACCCCTTATGTCTCGAGACATGATCTTAACAGGGTTATTTTTCCATGTGTTTTTGTTCATTAGGAAGAATATTTTAAAACGTTTTATTAAAATATTCTATTAAAAAAATATTATCGTCTAAGCTGTTATAGTATAAGACACCTAAAATAGCTATCCTGATTCGCTTTCCCCGACTTACGTCCATAGGTGTATTTAAGAGGCGGCCGGGTGTAGCGTGCCCACCCTAGAATTTTCTAGTGCCCAACTCAAAGTGCCAGTCGAGCACTTTGAGTTGGGCACTAGAAACTTTTTAGACTTTTAACTACGCACATTTTTTTTTAGAGCCTACCCCCCCCCCCCTTGGAAAATAATCCTAAATATGCCAATGCTTTCATCTCCATTCTTATGGTATTGTCCTCTAATTTACCGTGACGTAATTTAAATTTTATCAAAAAAGATGTATGTGCCATGTTCATACATTTTGTATGAAATGTATTCATTAGAAAAAAAAGAGAATATTTATTGCCAACAACAAAAAGAGCTACATTTATTAATAATAGCGAACAACCTTCATATTTCTTATTGCCAACGTGGCTGCCACTTGGCGTGTGCTACAGCAAATTAATTAATAATAACAATAATAATTCTTTATTTGGAACAAAAACATTGGTTACAATATTATTGAAAAACGATGATATCCGCAGAAGTATAAAACTGTGTCGCGAATATCAACGCCCTCCTCCTCATTGCAGGATTCCAAGACAGACATTTAAAATGTATGGTAGCTAGTTACATCAATGAAGACATTTTGTTATATTTAGCAACCAACTACAATACTAATAAACTACAATAATTAAAAACAATATATATAATTTAAATACAGTAGCCTACATGTTAACTTAAAAACAGAAAAACAAAAAAAAAAAAATTGCTCGATATTATTACGAAAAAATATATATAATGAAACATAAACCATGGATGTAGCTCATACAATTATGTATATTCACATACATACATTAGAATGCCTAAATATGAAAGTAACTGAAATAGTTTTCCATGCACATTTGACGTGATAAAAAACTTGGAAAAAATCCTTCATTACATTTAAAGCTCATATTTTGCAAATGTGATTCTTTTTTTATTTAAAATTGAATTGTTAAAAAAATAATTCAAGATGCTCTTTTTAATGTTAGCTCAATTGTTATTTTTTTTTTTGGAATAAGCGTTTAAAAGTTAGATGTAAAGTATGAAGCGATGGCACGCAGACTTAATTCCAGAATGTTCCTGCTGTTAAAATTTCTAATTTTATAATTATTATAGATATTGATAATCTTTTATAAATATAGAAAGTAGATATAATTTTTATATTTTAGATTTATACATTTTATAATTGCTTCCTTTGCGTTACTGAACGCTATATATACATAATACTATACATAAATAAATAATATATTATAGGATTACCTATTAATATCTTAATGCAATACCTCCAATAATAATTTAGGAATAATTGTGTGATACGTATAATCATTTATAAATTACTATTAATTAATTACTAATTACGAAATCGCATGAAATGCATAATATATTTTATTTTTTATACAATATCATATCATATGGTAAATAAATAATGTTATTGATATATTTAAGTATATAAAATTTTTTACATATTTTACTTAACTGGCTGTTATCTTGTGGAAGTGCATATCATTGGTTATTTGTTTAGAATTATTTTGTTTAATTCCGCTACTATTAGTATGTGTGTGACTGGCAACACTCAACGATTGGCCACCACTATTACTACCAGAAGCTTAACATATTCATATTATCCATCAATATTTGACTGCCTTTTTGATCGCACATTTGCAGTTTAAGCGCCGAACGGTTAACACTAGGCTCCGAGCAGTGATAGAATAATTTGTCTGAATATGTCTCGTATAGAAGTGAAACACATGTCACAAAACATGCGTGAATTAAATGGTAGTCGGAGATTGATAGCTAATATGGAAGGTTGTGGAACTTCTGGTAGTAATAGTGGTGGTCAATCTTCTAGTGTTGCCAGTCATGCATATACTAACGGTAGCGGAATTAAACAAAATAATTCTAAACAAATAACAGGTACAATTTTGTCAATGTTGTATTTTGATATAGTGCAATATAATAGTAGTTTAAAAAATAGTACCATGGGTACACTTAACCGGTTTTAAAAATCAATTATATAGTTACTGTAGAAGATTTAAGTGGTACCATTTTGCAGGGTTTTTTTTTTTTTGTTGTTAACATTGTGGTCGATTCTGAGCAGCCATTCATCTAAACCTATTTCTGAAATTAAAATTTTAACTCGATGTTACAGAGAAATCATTATTCTGAAGATCAATATGAACTAAAATTATAATAGATTTATGTTAAAATTAATATAAATTTATAACTACTAATACTATATAGCTATTAATACAACTTAGAATGAACAAACAACAAACAAGCTGACGGCCCACCTGATGGAAAGTGGTAACCGTCGCCTATAGACATGAGCAGTACCATGGACATAACAGAGTATACTGTTTCGCCCATGATACCCCCATGCGTTGCCATTCCTGAGGACTCAGGTGTTATTCCTCTGTGCCCTGTAAATTCACGCCATATCCCACCCTTCAAACCGAAACACAGCCACGCAAACACAACTGCTTCACGGTAGAAACACGAGTTGGACAGAGGTACCCAAGTAATCGACTCTTGTACAAAGTCTACCTAAGTTCTATATTAAAAGCATATGTACAAAAGCATTAATAAATAAATTTAGACTAGAATGCCCTAGAAATCAGTAATTTTGTGTAACTGTCAAAATATTGACCTTAACGTAGGTTTAGAGAAATGACTCATCAGAATCGAGCCCATTACGAATTATTGTTGTTATTTTGCAAAAAAATAATGTAATCATATAAATGTTGTTTACCCATTTATTATAGAAATATATATTTCTTTATAATGTTTAAGTAATCAGTGTTTTGTTTTAATAGTTTGATATCAAGGTAGCACTATAGACGTTAGAAAAATGTTGCAATAATAAAAATAAATGGTTTGTTGACAGTTTGTTTTTTTTTTTATTTAAATAAGTACATTTGCTATTAATTAACATACGAGTATATAAAATACATACTTTTATGCATTAATTTATTATAAAAATATAAATGTTGTTAGAACATCAATAAATTAAAGTTAATATACAATTTCTGACCATTGTTTAAAAATTAAAAGATTTGAAAAGCATATTAAATAATTAAATAAATTATTAAAACTTAACTGCAAAGTTTACTAATGAATACTGTATTAGGAAAAGAATTTTTTAACCAACTTTTTTTATGCTTTTTTTTTTTATATAATATTAATTTATTTGTCAGAAATATATAATAATAAGATGTTAGAATTAATTTTTTAATTTTCAGTATGTTTCACCATATTTAATAGAATGTAAATCTTTGTAGGTGGTATTTATCAGACATCATTATATGCATAGTTTATATAAACATTAATGAAACATGTTACATTGTTTACATTCAAACAATCATGTCTGAAAGTCCTTTCCTTATCCTTACAGGTCCACCTGAAACGGTCCCCATACCACCTCCAACCATAACAGACACGATAGACCCAAACTTGGTACAAATTAATGTATCGAGCGAAGAGTTACAACAGCGCATGCAGAATTTCATAGAGCGAAAGAGACAGCAAGTGAATATAAGCAACATACAAGATTTCATACCTTCGCAAGGTGTGAATGAGCCGGAAGATACGGAGACGTGCGCGAGAGTGAGGACGCAGTTTGTAAAGCGAAGCGATTCTAAAGGGCATTTGAAGAGTAAGATAATATCATTTTTTTAACCGTTAACTGCTGAACATAGGCCTCTCCTGTATACAATAAGGGGAGTTTTGACAGTAGTTTCCAATCTTAGCAGGCGAGTTGGCAATCGTAATCTATTCTATTCTTTCAGAGAGATGTTTTAACCCTTAAATACCTGAAGTTTCAAATTTAATACCGGGGTTTGCATTGTTTCATTGTTAAATAATACATATTTTAATAACCGTAATACCTAAAGTATAAAAAAATGATACCAAATGTTTTTTCAAAACAAATATATAAAAATATCGTTTTGTTTTTTTTTTACTATTTTTCCCCATTAGTAAACAGACTAAAGGATACACTTATATATTTTTTTATTTGATTTAAAAAATCAGGCTTTTAAGGGTTAAGAGGGACGCTGCAGCCCATCCCTCTACAAATAAGTTCTCTTAGTCACTTCTTACGACATCCACAGGAAAGGAAGGACTGGCTTATTCTATGCCGGGACCACACTGCTAATAGAAAAATAATAGAAATTAAAAAACAAAACTAGATATCTTAGTCTTATGAGAGTTTTTGTATATACCACAAAGATGGCAAACAAGCACGGCCCGTCTGATGGTAAACAGTCACTGTACCCTATGGACGCCTGCAACACTAGGGGTGTCACGAGAGTAAGTATAATTCTTGTTTAATAAACTGGAAATCGTTGTGGTATAGTATTTTTTTTATACAACTTAGAATGGCAAACAAGCTGACGGCCCACCTGATGGAAAGTGGTATCCGTCGCCTATAGACATGAGCAGTACCATGGACATAACAGAGTATTCTGTTTCGCCCATGATACCCCGCATGCGTTGCCATACCTGAGAACTCGGGTGTTATTCCTCCGTACCCAGTAAATTCACGCCATATCCCACCCTTCAAACCGAAACACAGCCATGCAAACACAACTGCTTCACGGTTGAAACACGAATGGAGCAGAGGTACCCAAGCAATTGACTTTTGTACAAAGTCTCCCTCTGGTAATGGTGATATCTAGTGAATTCGCCACGTTGAACCAACCAACTCAACTTCATTCCTCGCTACCTTTCCATTTTTATTTATTTATTCTTTATTGTACACAAAAAATTACAAATATATGATATATATTAAATAAAAATGTACAACAGGCGAGCTTAACTCTGTAAGAGTGGGGGGAAAGGAATTGTTAGTAATGGAGACTAAGAGTCCCATTGCTAGCTATATACCTAATCAGGTCGACCGCCACGCGGTTCCCCTGGAAACTATCATGGTTAATTCCTGATGAATTCATCATGATGGGCTATCTGGCCTGTTTTCATTTTCATCAATCACCCTTCACTGGTGCCCCGCCAGCGTATACCGTTAACGCAGGCGGGGTCACCGTTCCATTATCACCTATCATAAAAAAAAAACCCTGTAAGAGTTCTCTTCCAGTAAACCCTAAGTGGAAAGGAGAAAAAGATTTCTTCAGATATCATGACTTTTGTTTACCGAAGTACGCAAGGTCGCAATGTGTTAACTAAATGAATATTTTCAGTAAGGAAAGTCCACAACGAGTGGGGTCCGCAAACCGTCCAGTACACGGACACCAGCCAGGAGTCGAAGGCGAGCAGCGGCCTACCGCCGTCCATCGCCGAGAGGGTGCTCGCCGTGGAGAAGTACCTGAACATAACGCCCGTCTCGCCGGACATATTCAGGAGGCTCAAGGAAATGGAGGATAAGATTGCGCACCTGCAGACCGTGTCGCCGGAGTACGCGCAGTTTTGGGTCAGTTTTTTTTTTATACTAGCTAGGTATATACCGCGTCTCCGCCTGCGTGGGTTCGTACATGAAGTATCCTGTGTGCCAAGTTAAGATTTAATCTACCCGTGTACTAAATTTAGTTCACTAGGTTTTAAATTAATTTATTAAAATTAAAAATAACATTGGATTTTTTTATACCACCAAGGTGGCAAATAAGCATACGCCCCACCTGATGGTAAGCGGTTACAAGCGGTTAACAGAATTTTAACGTATTCAAAAATAGATAGGTCTGAATTCATTGTTTCAGATTTTCCCAATCTGTCCTTTACTACGCTACAAATTATAAGTATTTTTCAGGCCTTCTCTTAACCTACCTGATAGTAAGGCGGGCGAGGTAGGGGCCTCGGGGCGTACCCCTTTGTCCTAGCTTCAACTCTAGAGGCTACCACCTCCGGGTAAATTATAAATAATGATACTAGCAATATAGCTTCTCAGTACTACCAATTCTTGATGAATTCATCATGATGGACTAATGAACCTGCTTTCATCGTCACGGTGGTAATCGAAAAAAAATACAGTCGTACTGAGATCCTCCATCTTTATGAAGTTGGTTAAAAACTAATAACAATGCTTATAATTAAATTTACTTTGAACAAAAATTGTTCTTAACACAGTATAAGAACTAAACTTGCCACACTAGAAGGAGACTTTGTACAAAAGTCGATTGCTTGGCTACCTCTGTCACATTCGTGTTTCTACCGTGAAGCAGTTGAGTATGCATGGTTGTGTTTCGGTCTGAAGGGTGGGATATGGCGTGAATTTACAGGGTACAGACGAATAACACCTGAGTCCTCAGAAATGGTAACGCATGGGGGGTATCATGGGCGAAACAGTATACTCTGTTATTTCCATGGTACTGCTCATGTCTATAGGCGACGGTTACTACTTTCCATCAGGTGGGCCGGCAGCTTGTTTGTCATTCTAAGTTGTATAAAAAAGAAAAATTGAGATATATTTTTTTTTACAGCGAAGAAATGGTAAAGAAGATATAAAACAAGAGCATTCGACAGACTACGCATTCTCGGCGGACGACATCGCAAGAAAGATTGAACTGTTGGAAAGACAGGGGTTCACGTAATCAGTAGGATACTATCTTCACGCTAAGTCCCTTGAAGGGTGGGCAGTATTATTATATGAAAGTAAATCTACAACAGGTCCAAATAATTCAAGAATTAAACAATTTTGTAGTGTTATTTTTATATCAGCCATTAACTGACCACTGCTGAATATGGAGGGGGGAAGGGGGGAGGCAGTAGTTGCTACGCGTGGCGTACAGGTTGGCAACCGCAGTTAGGCTTTAGTGATGTTTTATAAGGACGCTGCTGCCCATCCCTCGACCGTTAAGTTCTAGTCGCTTCGTACGACCCACTGAAAAAGGAAGGCCTATCTTATGCTGCAACCGTACGGCGATCATTGGATTTAAATATATTATGGACGAGAAGTACCGAATAGCATTAATAATGCCTAAAACGTATTGCATAATTATTCTATACAGTAGATCAGTGTTTTTCAACGTATGGGTCACGACACCTCAAGGGGTCGCGACCCATTACGCAATCTCTTGGGGATTCGCGAAAACTACCTCAGTAAAAAGAAACAAAGTTATAAAATATCTTCTATGGATTAGAGTATTCAGTCCCTAAAATATTTTTCTTTTTTAATGAGTGATAATGGAATGGTAACCCCACCTGCGCTCGGTATACGCTGGTGGGGCACCAGTGAAGGATGATAGGTGAGCATGAAGTAGGTCAGTTAGCCCATCGTGACGAATTCAACAAGAATTGTTCACGATGGTTTCCAGGGGGAGCCACGTGGAGGTCGGCCTAATAAGGTATATTGCTAGCAATGGGGCTGTCAAACTCCATTGCTAACAATCCTTTTCCCCCTAATAGAATGTATTACTAGCAATGGGTTCCTTAGACCCCATTATTAACAATCCCTCCCCCCCCCCCCCTAGAATAATTTGTAACGTTATAAGATGCATAAAAAAAACGAAGGGTCGGGGTCGCGAAATATTTTTTCATACTAGGGAGGTCGGGTCATGAAAAAGGTTGAAATACACTGCATTAGATTATTCAATTGAAATTTGTGTTAATTGATTTAAACCTAAGGCCGCCAAAATGTAACATTCTCGCTATAAAGTACTAGAGATATCTGTAATCAAAAATTCTTATGTGTACATATTTACTTGTATAAATATATTTTTATATCTCAAATAAGTATTTTATTGCATTTATTTGCTTATTCAAATTTGTGACCAGGCTCTTTAGTCAAATGGCAAGCGAATTAATCATGATAGAACGAGATAGCAATATCGGATGTCTCATTCCAACTCATAGACTTGCTAGCGATGTCCATTCCATCGTTGAATTCCCTTGTCATTTGTCTAGAGGGCCAACTGTCAAATTAATTTGGGAGGGACACAATTATGTATCCATTAATTCACATGTAACTATCTTATCGTATCGCTCTATTGTTGATAATTAAGACTATGCAAACAGTGACTCTAAGAACCGACAACCGATAGGGAAGCAAGGTGCTTGAGTGGTGACCGCGTACGGATAAACGTAGTATAGGACGATCCCTTCACTAGATGGAGTAACGACCTCAAATGCATTGCAGGATGTCAGTGGATGCAGGTGGCTCAGGACCGTTCTTTATGGCAGTCTATGGGGGAGGCTTATGTCCAGCAGTGGACGTGTAATGGCTGAAATGATGATGATGACGGACACAGATAATAATATATTAATTTATTAAACTTTAATTAACCTAGATAGTGTAAATGGCGGATTTTAACACCATATGGCGTTATCCACCAGTCGGCCATAGACAGGAATAACAGAAAATAAAATTAACGCTGCAACATAGTATACTTGTAATTGAATAAAAAAAAATACAAGTACCATAAATAGAAAATTGCTATTTATTTACAAAATCACACATTCAATTATGATATAAAAATTATGGAATATTTACAGAAAATAGGTAACATTTTTTAAATAAAAAATATATTAACACGACCCTTTTTAGTTGGTAACGAATTTATGTCATGAAAGTATGCCTTGATGATAATGTAAACTAAACAATTGATACGGCGTATCTATAAAACTTTAGTAGTTTTTTTATTCTCACCATTTTTCTCTGTTTAAACAGAATGTATACTAATAAACAGAAGACCTTAGATTAGGCGTGAAGGATATGTATGTATGTTAGTAGTGATAAAAAATTATTTGGTTTGCTAGCGAAGTTTTTAGATATCTTAGATTATATAGATAGAGTGTCTCCATAGAAATGCTTCGAGAAAAACGGCTCAACTTTTTCATACAATTTTGCGTGGCAAATAGCTATGAGTAATTAATTCCTTTATAACTTCTATATTTATCTTATAATTTCTGCATCTTTTTAATGACTCATTTTATTTATTAAATAATACGTCAAACTACATTTTATGCGTATTAATCAATTAACCTTTCTTTGCATAATGGTGGAAATTTCCATCATAACATTAAATGCCGAAAAATTATATAAAAGAACAAGTTCACTTTAAGTTGATCGTGTCTGGATACCTTTTTAATGTCCATTGCAGAAAAAAATATATAGCTGTCTAATTTCTTTTTTTACAATTCCCCTTTTAACATGAATTATATCACCTTGATTTATTTCACCAATAAAAAAACATGCAAAAAAGGGTTAATCAATTCGTCGTTATCGCTAGCAAATCCATGAATTGGGCCTCTAAGAAAACTTTTAGATATTGTCTGTTACGCTAAATTCCCAATTTAAATAAAAGTGACAAAACAGTATAATAGTTAAAAATAGATTTGTTTAGCTTTTATTGATAAGAAGATTAAGGTTAAAGGAAAATCAAAAGCCTCTTCATTTCGACATAGTTTCTAAACCGTGAGCTTAATAAAAAAAAAAAAAAAAAAAAACAATATCGACCTGTACAATTACTTATTACCTACTTCTATACAAGCATGAATGGTTCTAAATTTAAAAAAGTAGTCGCAATTCTAAAATTTAAAAGCGGTATAACAGTCAACTGGCTACTGAGACTTCAACGTCAGAGTGCCGAGGGATTTCTCCGGTGTTGCCAGCATTCGTGGAGTGCAGTAGTCCATCGCCATCGGGCGAAACAAGCTCGATTGCCACATTTGTTGTATAAAAAATAAAGCTTCATTCTTTTACATTTTGTATAATTTATTATTCAACAACAATTAAATATGTAAAAAAAAATTTTAATTATGTGCAAAATAAATTATTTAAGAACAGAGTGGTATGATTATAAGTCCTGGATTAAATATTGGATTCATATATAAGGCAAAAGCCTTATATATGAATCCATGCGCAGCCTAATATTCCTTGAGTCCGCAAAAAAAAAGGTAAATTAAATTCGACACTTTTTTACATTTGAAGAAACATTTAATTACCTTACTAAGGCCTCTAAAGCATAGATTGGTTAAAAATCGTCCAAATTTTAATCCAGCCCTGATGATTAAAATCTATTTACAATATGAGCTTAAAAGTGAGCTGTATCGTCTATAAACCCTAATAATATACACAAATCCTATTAAAATTAATAAGTTCTCTGTACAAAACATTAAACTCACGTGAGACGCATACGATAGGCCTTTTCGATAACGGCATCGTAAGACTCCTATCATGTTTCTAGTTATGAGTACTGAATACTCAATCAATGAAACTCTCAGTATCTCCTATTTTGTCAAGTCCTCACGTTTTCATGTCACTTGTAACACATATATCACATTTTTATAGTTCAATTCGCTGGTTGCGGCTGCGGTTGCGGTTGCGGTTGTGGTTGCGGCTGCGGCTGCGGGCGCGGTCGACGCAGGTAAAGTACGACTCCGAGCGCCCCGAGCAGCGCCGTGATGAGGTAAAGGTCCCAGTTGGACAGGAACATTGAGTCGCCTGACAGGAAGATCAGGCCCAAAGGACTCTCGAACAACGACTGAAAATACAATTTATTTACCATTAGAGAATAATCAAAATTATTATACAATATTTTTACGATAATATTGTATCATGTTGAAATATATAAATATATCAGAAAAGAACCAATGCCATGCCAACTTTTAGAATAAAATACATTTTATAAGAATGCTTCTCGGGCGCCGTGTCGGCGGCCAGGTCGTAGCATGTAGCAGCACACGTAGCACGCAGCACGCAGCACGCGGCACGCGGCGGCACACTCACCTCGTAGAGCTGGTCGAGCGCGACGAGCGCGTTGAGGCGGGCGAGCGCGAGCGCGGCGGGCAGGCGTGCCTCGGGCGCCGTGTCGGCGGCCAGGTCGTAGCATGTAGCAGCACACGTAGCACGCAGCACGCGGCACGCGGCACGCGGCACGCGGCGGCACACTCACCTCGTAGAGCTGGTCGAGCGCGACGAGCGCGTTGAGGCGGGCGAGCGCGAGCGCGGCGGGCAGGCGTGCCTCGGGCGCCGTGTCGGCGGCCAGGTCGTAGCATGTAGCAGCACACGTAGCACGCAGCACGCGGCACGCGGCACGCGGCACGCGGCGGCACACTCACCTCGTAGAGCTGGTCGAGCGCGACGAGCGCGTTGAGGCGGGCGAGCGCGAGCGCGGCGGGCAGGCGTGCCTCGGGCGCCGTGTCGGCGGCCAGGTCGTAGCATGTAGCAGCACACGTAGCACGCAGCACGCGGCACGCGGCACGCGGCACGCGGCGGCACACTCACCTCGTAGAGCTGGTCGAGCGCGACGAGCGCGTTGAGGCGGGCGAGCGCGAGCGCGGCGGGCAGGCGTGCCTCGGGCGCCGTGTCGGCGGCCAGGTCGTAGCAGCGCTTGGCGAGGTGCACGTCACGCGCCAGCCCCAGCCCGCGCTCGTGCATGTAGCCCAGGTTGAATGTCGCCTGCGGACCAGTGCACACCTTCAACTACCACTATGTATACGGTATGGGCCCAGGCCCAAATACGACAGTTATTGGAAAAATATAATGAACTTCTTACAATGTTTAGAGGGCATTCAAGTACCTAGTCCAGTCATTATTTTTTTATGAAGTAATGTAATATTACTATAGTACATTACTGCAGCGGCCAGCAACTGAGGCATTAATGAACGAACGTGCAAATGTGGGCCGAGGCGTAGCCGAGGCACACATACGTAAGTCCATCAATGCCTAGTTGCGGCATAGGCTTGTATGCTTGCTCGGCCCACATTCACACATTCGTCCATCAATGCCTCTCTCGCCGGCCGCTGCAATAATGTACTATACCTACATATTTATTAGTCTCAGCAAAACATAAAAAATATTCTATTCGAAATGGCCACCTTTGGCCTTTAATCTGTCTGGCCACGAATCTATGGATTTATGCACTGTTTCCAAGGGATAATTCGCCACTGCGTGCCCCAAAGATTTTTTTAAGAAACTCAATGTCGGCATGTCGTTCAGAGCAGGCCATGTCTTCTAAAACTGACCATAATTTGAAGTCTGGGCTAGATGTGGACCAGTCTTCAACTCTTATAAAGTCCGGAACGTTGGTTTCAAGCCAGGCTTGGGTAGTTCGTGCCTTGTGGCCAGGTGCAGAGTCCTGCTGGAAAGTCCGCAGTATATTTTTAAAAAGTGTATTGCTGAGAGGTTTCATAACACGATCCAAGAGTGTATCTTGATACACTTTGGCCGAAGTTTTTATTCCTTTTTCATAATAATGTAATTTTGTGTCTCCTTGATAAGACACGCCCCACCAGGACATGTCCTGTATATTGACGATAAGCACCGAACTTCAGATCTTGTTTTATAATACGCGACAGAGTTTTAATTTCTCGCGATAAGATTTTTTTGCTTTTTTACGGGATTTCGAAGAATTCTGGCTTTGACAGCATTAACAGCCTTTGTAGTTCTAACAGAATGCGGTCGCCCCGATATATAAATTTAACGACGTGTTATATATCAATGGAGAAGGGGAAGGTCAAGTCTTTAAGAATTATATTATGTCACATTTCACATTACTTGCCTTATGGAACTCATTTGCCATTTCATGTCATACAGATACAAATACCAGAATCAGAGATAACATTCTTTAACAGACGTACCTGCGCATTGTGCAGTTGTTCTGATGCTATCCTGTAATGATGGGCTGCTGCGTCCAGATCCTGATGGGTTCCCAGCCCGTAATAGTGGTAGTCTCCCAACTTCACTCTGGCGGCTGCGCAACCCTGAGACGCCGCACGTGACCACAGCTGCAGCGCCCGAGGGTATCGCTGCTCAGGTGGGTAAGGTCCTACTACTCCTTCGTCCAAGATGAAGGCAGCATTGGACTGTGCTACCTCTAGCCCGCGTTCAGCAAGGGCGAGGTACTGGAGGAGGGAGGAGGAAGTCGAACGAGCCCTCCACGCCGCATGAGCGAGCATCAGTCGTGAACTCCACGGTCCCCGCTCGCAGACATTCTTGAATAGCTGGAACAATTAAAATAACTAAAGACTTGTACAGATTAAAGAGAAGTTTATCTGGTAAACTACTAATCCATAATCCAATCCAATTATTCACTTGTGTTCAAGTTTCTATAACTATAATACATAGATTATGAATGGAGACAAAAAAACTAATTAAAAATTAATTTATAGAATAATAAAATTTATATATATATATTCTTTATTGCACTTGTAAGTTACATATAAAATAATGTATTTATAAATGTTGTGAGCAAGGGTGGACTTATCTCTGACAGAGATCTCTTCCAGTCAACCCAGTACAGTGAGAAAGCATTTCGTTAGCGGCCAGCTGAAGTGCTACAACTATTAATACATAAACAAATATACAGTTAAATAAAATATTAAAATATATAATAAAATATTACATAAATACATACACTATAAATACATACAATACCTACCTACTTATATATGTTAAAATAAATTAATATACTACTTACATTAGAAATTTTGTTTAATGATTTTAAGATTTGACAGTTCAATTAGAAAAATACAAAAAAAAAATATTACTCACGGGAAAGAAAATTTATTTATAGTTTTTTTTTTGTTTTTAATGAATGTATAATGGAATGGCAACCTCGCCCGAGCTAACGGTATACACTCGCGAGGCACCAGTGAGAGATGATAGGTGAGAATTAATAGGCAGGTCAGTTAGCCCATCGTGATGAATACACCTGGAATTCAGCACGATGGCTCCCAGGGCGGACCACGTAGAGGTCGACCTGACAGGGTACTTTGCTAGCAATAGGACTGGTAGTCTGCATTACTAATAATCCGTTCCCCCTAGTTTTTATGGTAGGCTTAGTTGTTGTATCATATCACATATGTTGAATGTATCAAGAAGTCTTTTTAACTGTTTTTTTTTATACCACTGAGGTGGCAAACAAGCATACTGCCCTCCTGATGATAAGCGGTTACCGTAGCCTATCAACGCCTGCAATACCAGGGTTATTGCGCGCGTCACTAACCCTGAAGAAACCTCCTTTTGAAGAACCCCTTGCTGTACTCTCTTGGAAAAACCACGGCAAGAGAGCCCATTCTATAACCTGAGCGTTCGAGGAAGAAAACATCTCTGAAACCGCATTGTACGCGACCATCTACACTAGTATGGAGAGTGGGTATGAGGCTGAACTTCCTGTCGGTGGTAGAAAATGGGCGTGGACATAGAGGTGCCCACGACGGGCAGTAGTGCGGCGGCGGCGGTACCTCGACGGCGGTGGTGCAGGAGCGCAGCACGCCGAGCCCCTGCGCGTGCATGTGCGCGAGGTGGTACAGCGCCAGCACGTGGCCGGACTGCGACGCCAGCGAGAAGTACTTGTTGGCCTGCTTGAAGTCACGCCGCACGCCCACCCCTCCTGCCATTTACAATACACACCTTTTAACACTAAGTCCCGCACGAATACCCCGATAGGGTTCACAATTATCAAATAAAAAAGACCTAAAGCTTTAAAGCAAAGGACCAAAGCGAGGTGGTCGTAATAAAGGGGCATTCTAGTATTACGTAACGCAATTTGGGGAGGGGCGGATCTTTTAAAACGTTACGATGCATTAAGAGGCGGAGGGGGGGAGGGGGGTCGAACAACGCGTCTTGTAACATTGTATTATTTATTTAAATAAATAAAAAAATAACTAAGAAATTAAAATCTCCCAAGTTGGCAATCTTTTTTTTACGTGGAATTTTATATTTCACGTGGAATCCCTCATCTGTATTACACGTTATTTTTTTTTATTCGTTGCCAGTATTCGTTAGTGTGATTACTTTTAGATAAAAATGATCGCTTGGGTGATGGGTGTTATGTAACATTTAGGGAAGGAAGGTTAGTACAGAAAATGTGTACAATTTTGCGTCTTACATGGGAGGGAAGAAGGTCAAAAACCTTCAAAAATATTGCGTTACGTAATATATGAACGTCCCCTAACGACCAGAAATCCTGTGTTGTAACTCTGTGATAATGAAGTAAAAATATAATGTGCAGACATCCTTTTTATCAACAGGAAACATTCTCGTCACACATTCCCACTACTGGCGGTTCAGTAATAGACAAAATCTTCAATGGCAAAAACATTAAAAAAAGAGAGTGGTGAGGCCCCAATCACAATCCCAAAGCAAAGCTAAGGTTGTTTTATATAAAGCATGTGTAGGATATCAATCCTAGGGTTCAAATTGTAAATAAATTTAATCAATAATTAAAAAAAAAAACAATAAGTATTTTACAATAAAACAAATAAATTTTTAAATTGTCCAAGTTAACAAACACTCTCTCTCCAACGCCAACAATCACCGGCGTGCATATCTTGCGAATGAGTCCCGTGACCAAGCGTCATGTTATAAATATATATATATATATATATATATATATATATATATATATATATATATATATATATATATATATATATATATATATATATATATATATACAAAATGTTAGTTTGTCTACTTGTTTTTAAAACTCAATTATAAGAGTTGACATATAAACATTGGTGAGTATTATCTCACCACACATGGATCATAACTCCTCCAACCAAAAATCCTCATGGATTTTATAAAAAAAAAACTATCAGAAAAATGATTTTTATTTAAATTAAGAATTTATTGAAATGCAAAGACTTACCAAAGTACATAAAACCCAAATGCAGCTGTCCCTCCACCCAGCCCTGGTTGGCTGCCATCGTGAAGTACTTGAATGCCGAGGTCGTATCTTTCGGTACTCCACGTCCCTGCATATATACATAATAACATTTTTACATTTTTTTTATTTATAATTAGTTTTTTTTTTAATGCACGATAATGGAATGGTAACCCCGCCTGCGCTACCATTAGGTATACGCTAACGAGGCACCAGTGAGGGGTGATAGGTGATGACGAAAGCAGATCCTATCGTGACGAATACCACTAGAATTGGGGGGAAGGGCTTTTTAGTAATGCGGATTACCAATCCCACTGCTGACAATATACCCTAACAGGTCAAACTCCCCGTGGCCCCCCTGGAAAAACCATCGTGCTGAAATCCAAGTATATTTATCACGATGGGCTAACTGACCTGCCTTTTCATCCTCACCCATCATTACTCTCTGGTGCCCCGCCAGCGTATACCGTCAGCGCAGACAGAGTTAGCATTCCATTATCATCCATTAAAAAAAAACACCCTCTAGAATTAACCACGATAGTATTCAGGGGGAACCATGTGGAAGTCAGCCTGATGAGGTGTATTGCTAGTAATGGGGAAATTAGACTCTAATACTAACAATCTCTTTCCCCCAATTAAATTGTGTTAAAAAAAAACCAACTTCAAATGTGGCAATACCAGTTATTTTGATTTTTAAAACTAAACTATGAAACTGATTTAGATTTAGAGTCCTCAGGAATGGCAACGTATGGGGGGTATCATGGACGAAACAGTATACTTTGTTATGTCCATGGTACTGCTCATGTCTATAGGCGACGGTCACCACTTTCCATCAGGTGGGCCGTCAGCCTGTTTGCCATTCTAAGTTGTATAAAATAAAAAAAAATAAATAAAAAAAGATAAAATTTCTATGGGATAAATCTATAAGCATATCCTTTCAGATAAAAGTAAAACCAAAGAGGTCCATTAAGGGGTGGGGAGGGTAGTGATAGTAATGCGGTTTAACACCCCATTGTCCCCCCTGGAGACCATCATGCTGAATTCCAGGTGTATTCATCATGATGGGCCCTTACCCATTATAATTATTCATATACCATTAAAACAGGGGGGGGGGGGAGGGTTGGTTAGTAATGAAGACTAAAAATCCCATTGCTAGCAATATAGCCAACCAGGTCGACCTCCTCGCGGTTCTCCCTGGAAACTATCATGATTAATTCCTGATGAATTCATAATGATGGGCTAACTGGCCTGTTTTCGTTCTCATCTATCACCCTTCACTGGTGCTCCGCCAGCGTATCCCGTTAGCGCACGCAGGGTTACCATTCCATTTTCAATAAAAAAAAACAGGGGGACCCCCCTCTGTTTTTTTTTTTTATTGATTATGATTTACCATTTCATTATTGTTAATTTAAAAAAAGCAGTATCCTGTTTATGATTATTCCTCTCCATCCAAAGGTTGCCTGCAAGAGATCACTCTTAGCGATAAGGTCGCCCATTGTTTTCTCATTGTGATTATTTCTTGTAATTGTTTATATTTATAATAAGTTTACTATTGTAATCTTTTAGAGGAAACAATAAAGGGTATCTATCTATCTATCCCTTCATTTTATAAAATCATCACCATCATATTATTTACTGTCATTGACTGTCCACTGCTGGACATAGTCTTGCCATTGGGAGTTTTAGCCTGTAGTTGCCACGCTTGGCAAATGGGTTGGCAATCGCATTTAGGCTTTGGTATTGTTTTACAAGGGATGCTCCTGCTCATCCCTCGAACATTAACTTCCCATAGTTGCTTCTTACGACACCCATGAGAAAGGAAGAGGTGATCCTTTCTATGCCGGGATCAAACAGCATGTTAAAATTCTGACCTGTAAATACATAATGCCCAGTCCGCTCTGCCCCACAGGATTGTTCAGTTCGGCCGCCTTTTTGAAGTAACGCAGTGCGGTCTCGTTGTCCGGTTTGATACCGTCGCCACCTTCTAGATAGATCTGGAAGATCACACGCACTATATTAAGACAAAGATTACACATGTTTTTAGCCAACTTCAAAAAGAAGGAACATCTTTTTTATGCAACTTAGAATGGCAAACAAGCTGATGGCACCTGATGGAAAGTGGTAGCCGTCGCCTATAGACATGAGCAGTACCATGAACGTAACAGAGTATACTGTTTCGCCCATGATACTCCGCATGCGTTACCATTCCTGAGGACTCAGGTGTTATTACTCTGTACCCTGTAAATTCACTGCCATATCCCACCCTTAATTCAAATCTGTTACCTCATAACTCTGTCAGTTGTAAACCGATTTGGTAAACTCCTTTTTTTAGCTGAAAGGATATACTTAGATTGGTCCCATTGAAATTTCATCAAAATCGGTACAGTAATTTAGTTTTGAAATCAACATATTTGGTATTGCCACAACAGAAGTTGATTATTTTTTTTTTTTGTAGAATCTTCATTTGTAGTCTTTCTCAACCAGTGCGTGTGAAATGAAAAGACCATCCGTACCTTTCCCAAGAAGGCGTTGGCGACCGCGTTCCCAGTCTTGGCGGCCTGTTGGAAGTAGTGGAGCGCTTTGTTCATGTCCAGGGTGACGCCGCGCCCGCCCTGGAAGTGCAGCTGGCCTAATCCCACCTGCAAGGGGGAAAAGGGGTTGTTAGTAATGGAGACTGAGAATCCCATTGCTAGCAATATATTCAACCAGGTCGACCTCCTCGCGGTTCCCCCTGGAAACTATCATGATTAATTCCTGATGAATTCATTGTGATGGGCTAACTGGCCTATTTTCATCCTCATTGATAACCCTTCACAGGTGCCCCGCCAGCGTATACCATTAGCGCAGGCGGGGTTGCCATTCCATTTTCATACAATAAAAAAAATCCCACCTGCAGTAACATAATAAATACACATATATAACATTCGTTACACGCGTTCATGTCGCCTAACTTCAGGCTGCTGCTGGAAATTAGTGTTTTGCTTTTAAGCAAAACTATCACTGAGCTGTAGCCTATTTGGGTCACTGCGACACACATGGCGAAAACATAGTTTCGTATTTTATCTTTTGTTTTATATTTAAAAGGGTGTAATTAATTTGATTGTATAAACACATTTGTTAATTTACGTGTGTCATAAATGGCTCAAATAAAGTGTTTATCTATCTATCTATAGAAATTCACTTTTAAACTTGTGTTCCACAAAACATGAACTGATAAAATATTATCATGGAAATAGGGAATCAGTTTCTACTCGATCAAGCATTACCTTGAGCAGAGCTGTGTTTAAGTTTGCCCAAACACATTCAATAATACGCTCTTCTAAGAGGCTATTGTAATGCATAGTGACGCTGTACCGTCAATTCTAATAGTTTCTCGAATTTGAAGCCTTAAAACCGCACGATTCGTAGTCTATCTGTCGGATATTATCACGATCTGCTGGTGGTACTTGGTAAAATTGCTGTACTTTTTTTTTTAATGAGTGAAAATGTAATGGTAACTCTGTTATCGTGAAATCTGTTATTGGTGAAAGACACCAGTGAAAGATTACAGATGTAGATGACAGCAAGTTAATTAACATCGAGACAAGGTTAACAGGTCATCAAGACAAATTTAACAAGATTTATAGTTTCTAGGGGGAACTGTGTGGAGATCGACCTTACGTATATATTGCTGTTAGAGATTGCTATTAATAAGGATCTAACTTTTTTTTGCTAGCAATACACCTTATTAGGTTGACCTCCGTGCGGTTCTTCCTGGAAACCATCGGGGTTAATTCTAGTGAAATTCGTCACGATGAGCTAACTGACCTGCTTCATCCTTCCCCATCATCTTTCACTGGTACCCCGCTGGTGTATACCGATAGCGCAGGTGGAGTTACCATTCCATTATCACCCATTAAAAAATAAAAACTTCGCCTTTGCTTGCAAAACACCTTATCAGGTCGACCTCCACGCGTTTTACCCTGGAAACCATCACGGTTAATTCTAATGGAATTCATTACGATGGACTAAACGATCTCCTTTTCCATCCTCACCTGTCGTCCCTCACTGGCGCTCCGCCAGCTTTTACTGATAGCGAAGACGGGATTTACCATTCTATCATCACCCATTAAAAAAACATGCTTTCATTGTCACCTATCATTTTTTATTGGTTCCCCATCAGCGACAGCATCCGTAAGACTTCATTATCAACCCCCCCCCCCCCCCCCCCGCTCCGGGCGTACAGTATGAGTATAGCGTGTGGTGACCTGCGCCTGCACGTCGCCCTTCTCGGCCAGCAGCTGGTAGTACTCGATGAGGTCGGTGTCGAGCGCGCCACCGGCCGCCTCCTCGTCCAAAAGTCGCGCGCGCTGCACGCCTGGACCGCCGCTTGCCGACACCTGGCTGGCTACTGCTCAACACAACAATACAACATTTTTTTTATTGGTGATAATGAAATAGTAAACCCCACTCGCGCTATCGGCATACACCGGCGGGGCACCAGTGATAAATGATAGGTGAGGATGAAGCAGGTCAGTTAGCCCATCGTGACGAATTCAACAAGATTTGTTCACGATGGTTTCCAGGGGGAGCCACGTGGAAGTCGACCTGATAGAGCATATTGCTAGCAATGGGGCTTTCAAACTCCATTGCTAACAATCCCTTTCCCCCCACATTACAACAATTACCAGCTCCATTGCTAGCAATATACCCTGTCAGATCGACTTCCACGTGGTCCCCCCTGGAAACCATCGTGCTGAATTCCAGGTGGATTCATCACGGTAGGCTAACTGACCTGCCTTTTCATCCTCACCTATCATCCCTCACTGGTGTCCCGCCTGCGTATACCGTTCCCGCAGGAGAGGTTACCATTCCATTATCATCCACTGACTATGATGTATTGTTCCCCCTGGAAACCATAGTGGATTAACCACTATTTCTTATTTATTATTTTCGCTCAATTGATCACTATGAGCCAACTGATCTGCCTTTATTCTCAACTGTCACCCTTCACTGGTACCCCACCAGCGTATACCGATAGCACAGGCGGTGTTAATATTCCATCTTCACCCATTAAAAAAGAAAAACTTACTTTTTATTACTTTCGTCTTATTTAAAGTTCAAAGAATAAGACAGGAAAGTCACACCAAAGTTGAGGTGATATTAGAGACGTTGCAGGTATATAGAGCAGTTACGAGAGACAGATATCAATGGAAAAGATTGGAAGAGGATTATGCCAACTGACAAACAGACATTTAGAAACAAACAATTTATTTTATACCACTAAAGTGGCTAACAAGCAGTGGCGTAGCTAGGTAACCAAAGGCCCTGGGGCAAAAAATAAACCAGCCTAAGAATACAGGGGAATTCCCCGCAAGTTTCAAACAAAGATGTTCGAGACTTGTCGGGAATTCCCCCGTATTTTTTCAAATAAGTTGCCATTATTAAAGTCGCGTTCCTGGAATCTGATTTCTTTATATTCCGAGTAAGTGAAATTTTCACTAGTTCAATTTATAGTTTGTAAATCAGAGTCCGAGCGACTCCTGAGCTTGGGGACCCCGGGATACTGCCCCGTCTAGCCCTTCGGTAGTTACGCCACTGCTAACAAGCATAGGGCCCACCTGACGGTAAACGGTTACCGTAGCCTATAAACGCTTGCAATACCAACCTCTTTATCCCTTTTTATCATTCAACAAAATAACTTCAAGGAATAATTTGAAATCAGTACCTAACTATGACATACCTTTAGCAGCTACTTTCATGTACAGGTCCATGGCTTTAGGGCAGGAGCTGGGTACAGTGACACCGGACCAGTGACGATACGCTAGCGCCATCTGCGCGAAATCACTGTCACCCAGTGCCCCTAAAGTGTAGTGTACAAGCGCCTTAGCTTGAGACACTGGGACCCCTGTCCCAGTTGCATATAAAAAGCCCATACCCTGCAAATTATATAATATCAGATTACAAAGACAAATTAAAAACTTATTTACTTATAAGTATGTACTATTAAAGTACTATAGTGATAGTGGCAACCATGACCTATAGACATAAGCAGTACCATGGACATAACAGTTTTTTTTTTGGGTGAAAATGGAATGGTAACCCCGCCTGCACTAACGGGATACGCTGGCGGAGCACCAGTGAAGGGTGATAGATGAGAATGAAAACAGGCCAGTTAGCCCAACATGATGAATTTATAAGAAATTAACCATGATAGTTTCCAGGGAGAACCGCGAGGAGGTCAACCTGGCTGGGTATATTGCTAGCAATGGGATTCTTAGTCTCCATTACTAACAATCCCTTTCCCCCCAGACATAACAGAGTATACTGTTACACTCATGATACCCATTTTGTATGAAAAAAAAAAAAACATCCATATAAACTGTCACGTTTTTAATAGTGCTAGGATTAATGTTGTTAAAACTTTGCTTACCGCATGAGCCTCTCCATTTCCCTGTTCAGCCAACTCTTCGAATATTGCTTTAGCAGCCTCTATGTCCATATCTACACCCTCTCCGAACACATGCGACCAGGCCAATTTGATCTTAGCCGGGATATAACCCCGGTCGGCCGATTGTTTCACCTGCATAATAGCTGATCGTATATCTGGGGATCGTCGCCGGAGTTTTGCAGTGGCTGCATCATATAGTTCTTTTGCTGAAAACAAAATATATAAGTATATAGAAATCGTGAATCCCTAGGAGAATAATATAAACTAGCAAATATTCTCGCCATAACTTCACAGTATATATATGCAAACATTTTGTATATATGCAGGAATCCTTAACTGTTTCTTAAAAACAGCAATCTTAATAATCTTAACACTAGATACAAATACAAACTTGCAGTTCCCAAGTCTCATTTAGATAAAGTTAATAGGTCCTTTATGGGAATGGGCATTTAATGTTATAAAAAGATATTTAATCTAATACTACTTGAAGAAAGCCTATTACATTCTAAATGATTACTTAAATGACAAGCATGCATAGTGTTAGTGGATCATGCACGGGCTTTTAAGTATCATGTAATTTTAGACAGTACATTTAAATAAATACACAAAATATTAACAGAGATATAAAATAAAAAAAAAACTACCTTCTTTTAATTCAGGTGTCAATTCTACCTCTTCTTCTTCAGGTAACGGTGGTAAAGTATTCAGAATATCTTGGGGATGCTCTCCCAACTTCTGCAAAAACAAATTTCTTTCAATAATTTACAAATAGTACTCAAGTGTGGCATAATTGAATTTTAGATATAAAAGGGTCTAAGATGCATATCAAAATTTTTGTAAAAAATGAAATTCACTTTTTAAATTTTTAAAAGTCAATCTGAAATCTCTACAATTAAAATTTTATTTTGATATCACAGCAAATTTTATTCCAAGAACAACAATATGAACAAAATTTCAAAAACATTGAAGTCCAAAATTATTAAAAATTTCATTTATTCATATAAACTGTCCATAAAATAGTTATGTCATGAAACTGACTATTAAAATACTAGTTTTTTTTTAATGGATGACAATGGAATGGCAACCCCGCCCGCACCAGCAATATACGCTGGCGGGGCACCAGTGATAGATGATAGGTGAGAATGAGAAGGCAGGTCAGTTAGCCCATCGTGATGAATACACTTGGAATTCAGCACGATGGTTTCCAAGGGAGACCACGGGGAGGTCGACCTGTTAGGGTATATTATTAGCAATGGAACTGATAATCCGCATTACTAACAATCCCTTCTCCCCCAAAATACTAGATTAAGAGATATGTTTTGAAATGTGGCACCTTAGAATTACCCCAATATCACACTAATAATACCTTAATATTGATCCTTTTTGTATTAGATCATATATCTAAATATTGTTCAAGCTATTATATTTTAAAATATATTACAAAAAAAAAATAGGATAATAATGATAATAATCACCTCTAGTTCACTGGCTGTGGAATCTCCATCTTTAGGATCGTGTATCCAAGTAGGCTCTGTGTGTCTGAGAAGACTCTTCTTCAGCAGCTTCAATGTATACTCCATTTGTTCTAATTGGCTATCTGCTGAACAAATAGAATAGATAATATACTTAGTTAATTAATACAATTATGTATACATTTATTAAATCATGTCATAATAATAAAAGTCCATATTATAATCAGTGTATGTGACATGCCAAATTACTGAACACATTTTGATAGAATTTTGTAGTGATTACTTAGTACCTGGTTCAACCCAGATAGGATACTTTTTATAAAAAATTTACAATGCATACAAAATTGCAAGCATAATAAGTGTTTAAAGCAATAAGAATAACATGTTCAAATATTTATTGCTAAGGTATAAAAAATTTCAAATTATAATAATGTAATTTAGGTTACTACAAAAATACTAAAATTGTGGTAAGCGGGTACCCTTAGGGATGTAAGCTGTTTACAAAAATCATTAGCAATTGTCACTAATCACAAGCAATTTCTAGAAAGTAACCTTTATTATTATCTTCATCCTTTGGCTCTATCTTGGTTTTCTTGAAGGCTTCCGCATATTCCTGGAGTGTGAGAATCTCTTTATTCACCGCTTCCGTGAGCTGTTTCATGTAATCAGAGTCCCCCTGAGCATTCGTATCCAGGGATTCGACAATGTCATCTTCGTCTTCCGATTTTTCACTTTCTTTACGAGATTCAGGTCCCAGCAGCTCACAGGCCACGAGACAGACACACATCCACAAAATACACAATTCTTTCCGTCCCATTTTTACGAAATAACAACAATAACAATAAAATAAGTTAAAGATTACGTGTCCCTAAATGACACTTATGAGGATCGAACCGGTATATAGTATAATATATATTATTCTACCACTAATAAATTAACGGGTGTATTTACTACTTCACTTTTATAAATTGCTTTAGTTTTCCTTCGGGTTGTGGGACGCGTTTCCTAAATATTTGAATTTGAGTTTGGATTATTTTGATAGTTTAGAAGATAATCTTTGGAAGTATCTATATAGGCAGATAAATAGTAGATTTAGTAGTAATTACCCAGTGCGCATTTACTACATTTTACTTTTCTAAGGGCAATAATGTTAAGAACCTTCTTGGTTTAATGGCAGGCGATATGCATTCTAGCAGCGCTTGTCAATGTAAAATAAAAAATAATAATAGAATAAAAATGACGGATTATCCTTTTGTCTTAGATACTATGAGCATTGACTGAACTTGCTAACTGACTAATATTAACTAGTGTAGGTAACCAAAATCCTAGTCCTGGTTTTTCTTAATACTGATCCTGATCCTGGCGTTGCTTAATACTAGTGAGTGCTACTACCAATTTCCTATATTAAATAAATGTAGTAATATAGTAATATTTTTCATACTTTATTTAAATAAATAGTTAAATACTATGGTTGGATTTGAAGATTTATTTTATACATTGGTACTGTTTTCTGACCACTTACATAAAATAATATTATAATTTTCTTTTTTTAATTCCAGAAGATTGTACAACGATAGGTATTTAAAAAAGGGCACATTTTTCAGTCATAATGTTTGATTACGGCTGTTATAAAAGTTGTCACATAATCTACGAAAATAATAGAATCCACACAACATGGCTACACTGATTATTACGTCAATCAAATCTATCTACAATCAAAAAATTCGTTTCGTTTATGTTTATCCTTAAATAGGAGCTAATGATTTAAAAACATTTCTATATTGCAAAAGATAATACGCTAGTATATTTTGATTATTCAAGTTTGGTTTGGTAAACATTTGCCTCCATTTCCGATTCTGAAGATAAATACCTAGTTTGGTATCTAGGTACCTATTAAAATTTATATAAATGAAACGTCAAAAAGACAACCGACTACCAACAACGCAACAGCTGATTATTTGACATTGCAAAAAAAAAATAGCTAAAGTTTGCAAAAAGTAAAAACAGAGAGCGAAGCAAAAAACCAATTCAAGTATTTGATTATTGAATTTGTAACAGTAGTTTTATTCTGCGTAGACATTTAATTCATTAATAATACTGAGAAAATAAGCGTCTAACCTATAACGATGCTTCGTATACCGGTTAAACGCAGAATACACCCACATAACTCTTGGATACGTTCGAAAAGTTCAAGTTCGAGCAGTTTCATAAGAAGTACCTTTATAGATTACTTTGTGAGCCAGCATGGACATAAACATGTAAAATCTAGTCCTGTAGTGCCGTTGTTTGATCCCACTGTGCCCTTTGTAAATGCTGGCATGAATCAGGTAAGTGTTTTACACTTGAAGTCTGTTTGTTTTTAAGTAATAATGTAATGGCAACCTCACCTGCGCTATTGGTTTAGGCTGATAATGTGCCAATGAAGAATAATAAATGAAAATAAAGTCAGAATAATTGGTCTATCATGACCATCAATTAATCATGAGAGTTTTCCCGCGAGATCATATGAAGGTCCACTTGATAGGGTATATAATAATAATAATAATCTTTATTATCAGGTACTTAACCTATAGAGGTACAATTGTATTAAAACATGCTTGGATAACATATAAAAATATAACAATCAAAACATACAAAAAAAAAAAATTAAAATATTTAGAAAATTTATAAAAATATAGTAATAGCAGTATTTAATATATTGCTAAGGATATCCACTTCCTATAAATTAGGATGCAATCCATCTTTATTAACAATTACTCTTTCAATTTTAGTAGTTGATGGTCACAATATTAGTTAGTACAAGGCAAATTAGATTTTACACAATTTTTGCTAAAAACTATTTATATCATCTTTACTTACATATTAATTTTAAAATTATCAACTTGTTCCAAACTTTGATTACTCAGTTAATTGTTCAACAACAGAATTTATTTGCTTTTCAGTTCAAAGGTGTATTTCTTGGCACTGTAGACGCACCATATCCTCGAGTAGTGAACTCGCAGAAATGTATCCGTGTTGGAGGCAAGCACAATGATCTGGACATAGTTGGGACTGATGGACATCATCATACATTCTTTGAGATGCTCGGCAATTGGTCTTTTGGTGATTACTATAAGGTAAAATTTATTGTAAATACCAAAAACTTTGTGTCCACATAAATTGCCTTTATATAATACACCATTCAGATTAATGCATTCAAATGAAGACTTTAAATGGTAATAAATGAACAAACAAACACTCAAAGTTAGTATTAATAAAGATTGTCTGATATCTAATAATGGAAATTCTGCTTAGTTTTGGGACTAAATACATAGATCTGATACATGTGGTAATACTTATTTATTACATGCTTTTACTTGCAACATTGTCCACCTCACAGAAGTATGTTCACTGATAAGGATAAAAAATAGCTTAAATCCTCTATCCCATAAAGTAAGTGTATACCAAATTTCATAGTGATTGGTTAAACTGTTGCTTTACTGCTCAACTGGATACCATTATTGCCTGAAGACTAAAATTTTTTTTAATGAATGATAATGGAATCGTAACTCCACCTGTGCTATTGATATACGCTGGCAGAGCACCAGTAAGGGATGATAGGTGAGAGTGAAACAGGTCAGTTTGCTCACTGTAACGAATCTAACAATAAATCAATCGATTGCTTCCAGGGGGAACCACAAGGAACTGGACCTGATATAGTATTTTGCTAGCAATGGAGCTGCTAATCCCCATTATTAACTATCCCTTCTCCCCCCCAGACCATAATGTTATGCCTCTGTAGACTGTAATTTCACTACCATCATCATCATTTCAGCCATTATCTATCCACTGCTGGATATATGCCTCAGCCATAGACTGCCATAAGGAGCGGTCCTGAACCAACTGTATTCACTGACTCCCTGCAATGATATTTAAGGTCATCACTCCATGTACTGTTTGTCTGTATGGGATCGCCACTAAAGAACCTTTCTTCCACATCGGTTATCGGCTCTTCAAGCTATGTGACTAGCCTATTGCCACTTCAGCTTGCTTCTCCTTTAATTCAATTTCAATATAGTATCGCACTATTCAAACTGAAGCAGTAGCTGCTTCATGGCAAAAATATGAGTGGGACAGAGATGTCCATGAAAATTGTTTTTTTTAGTCTCCCTCTAATTTTCATTCAAATCCATTCAACCAAGTATGTGTGATTGAGTGACAAACAAACATCTTTGCAAATATTAAAAGCATCAATTGATGGATTGTGAATGGTTCCAGAAAGAAGCATGCCGCATGGCGTGGAATTTACTACTGGGTCCGTACAGGCTGAAACCTGACAATTTGGTTGTTACGTACTTCTCCGGTGACGCTGCCATCGGTCTTACTGAAGACAGAGAGTGCAGAGACATTTGGAAACAAATTGGGTAGGTGGTATTACAGTTATTTATTATATATTTACAATTTATTATTAAATAGCTATACTGATATTTCAAGAATGGTGACAATAAATAAATAAATAAAATGCCTGTAATAGTCGTTTTCAAATATGTATATTTGGGCATGTGTGCGTTTGTTTGCCCTTGCCGATTGGGTAGTTCGAAGTTTATTTTACTGGATTTGCAGTAATAAAGAATTTGTTGTTGTGTGAGCAACTGAACTATATAAATTTACAATAATTTGAATACATATGAAAGGAAGAGGCGACGATATATAATGCAAATCAATTATAACGAATGACGTGAATGTGGCTGCTGATTAGTAGGTCGTCGTAATTTGCTTCACACTTCATGTTCTTTTTAGCAACCATAGATTATGCAGTATAAATGTAGACGTTTTATATTTCCTTTATTATATCTGTTATATATACTATATAGCTGTATTTAACATAAGCTTTCATCGAATTTTATTGGTCACAGCGTGCCAGAAAGCAGAATACGTGGATTGGGCGCGGCCGATAACTTTTGGGAGATGGGCGCCACTGGTCCGTGCGGACCGTGCACCGAAATACATTACGTACATCCAGACGGCAGCCTCACCGAGATATGGAACCTCGTGTTCATACAGTGTAACAGGTACATTTTTTGCAGTCAACCTGTGCAATTAGCTTTTTTTTATACCACAAAGATGGCAAACAAGTGTACAGCCCATCTGTTGGTAAACAGTTACTGAAGCCTATGGACACCTACAACAGTAAGGGTGTCTTGTACACGTTGCCGACCCTGAAGAAACCTTAATATATCCTTTTTGAAGAGTTCATACTGTAGTCTCTAGAGAAAACCTCTGCAGGGAGCTCATTCCACAGCCTGAGCATTCACAGGAGAAAATTTCTCTGAAACCTCACTGTACGTACTGTACTACAATATATTAACATTTATTTACTAGTTTATTACTAGCATTTGCCTAAGGGACGTTTAAGTATTATGTAAAGCAATTTTTGAAGATTTTACACTATCCCTCCATCCCAGGTAATGAGCCGTAACATTTTTCTGTACAAAGAATTTTCCAAATCGGTTTATAAATGTCGCAGTTATGAGGTAATAAATATGCAAAAAAATACAATCGAATTGAAAAACTGCTCCTTTTTTTAAGTTAGTTAAAAAACAATATATTGTTACATCCTATTACTAACAAATCTCCCTCTCTCCTTACATGGTGGTTATTAAATAAGTTGGAGTGTTCCAGAGAAACAAACGGCTCAGTATCAAGCCTGCGACGACAGCACGTGGACACGGGGATGGGTCTGGAACGGGCGGCGGCGCTGCTGCAGGCCGTCCCTAGCAACTATGACACCGACCTCTTCCAGCCGATCATACGCGCCATCCACAAGGTATATAATATCATAATTATCATCTCAGCCATTACCTGTCCACTGCTAAATATAGGCCTCTCCCATAGACTGCCATAAGGAACAGTCCTGAGATATAAGGCTATATAATTTTTTTTTAATGGGTGAAAATGCATTGGTAACCCCGCCCGCGCTATCGGTATACACCGACGAGGCACTAGTGGAAGATGATAGGTGAGAATGAATGCAGGTCAGTTGGCGCACCATGATCCGCTTGCCACACTTGACAAGCGGATTGGCAACCGCAGTCAGGCTTTAGAAATGTTTTAAGAGAGAAGCTGCTGCCCATGACTCGCCTTCCCTTAGTCGCCTCTTACGACACCCGCGGGAAAGGAAGGAGTGGCTTATTCTATGCCGGAATCACAAGGCCATTTAATAGTATAAGAGAATTTAATTTTATTATTTTGTGTGTGTTTTTTTTGAATGTAGAATAGCAAGGGTATACCAGCTTACAGCGGTCGGTACGGGTCCGACGCGACTCTAGACACTGCGTACAGACGGTTGGCCGACCACGCTCGAATGGTGTCCGCGTGTTTAGCCGATGGCGCGTTTCCTGCTAGCAAGTAATTATTATAATATTTATTACAGTTGTAACTTCATTTTGCTTTTATTGCACTCTCATGGCCCACTTGGAAAGTGGGGGAAGCATGCTTAAAGATGTAAGTGTATACAATTACTAATCAACTAACTTTAAAAAGGAGGCTCTATTCTGTTTGTTTTTTTTTATACAACTTAGAATGGCAAACAAGGTGACGGCCTACCTGATGGAAAGTGGTAACCGTCGCCTATAGACATGAGCAGTACCATGGACATAACAGAGTATACTGTTTCGCCCATGATACCAACCACGCGTTGCTATTCCTGAGGACTCAGGTGTTATTCTTCTGTACCCTGTAAATTCACGCCATATTCCACCTTTCAAACCGAAACATAGCCATGCAAACACAATACTTCACGGTTGAAACACGAATGGGACAGAGGTACCCAAATAATCGACTTTTGTACAAAGTCTTCCTCTCACTCTCTCTCCGTTAATTCTACACCGATTTGGATGGAGTGATTATTAGTAAAGCAGACTACCAATCCCATTGCTAGCAATATACCCTGTCAGGTTGATCTCCACGTTGTCCTTACTGGAAACCATCGTGCTGAATTTCAGATTTATTCATCTTAGTGAGCTAACTGATTTGCCTTTTTTTTTCACCTATCATCTGTCACTGGTGCCCCGCCAGCGTATACCGTTAACGCAGGCGGGGGCCTACTATTCCATATTAATCCATTAATGTATATGTATCCATGTATGAGATGTAAATGTATATAGGACAAAATATGTGTGTAAAGATGTGTATAAATCTAAATTGTTTATGTATCTAAAGTTTATATATTAATTAATAAGTTTTGTAAGTAGAAGAGGGCCCAAGACTTCACGACACAGGGTATTCTAGTGTGAAGCGTACAAATGTAAAATTGTAACATATGTTTTTGGATTCAATAAATATTATTATTATTAAAAAAAAGTACACAAAAGCACGAGCTAGGCTTAGTTTGCGTCTAGATGGCGCTGTTTGATATTGTATTCTTTATATTATTTTTTTTTTATTTCCAGCCTAAACCTAAAGCAGATAATGCGAAAATCGTTCAAAATCTCAACGGACATATTTCAAAATCCTCGCTTACTTATACACCTCTATGACGAAGTAGTGAACACCCTCGGAACTACATATCCAGAACTGGAGAAGAAAGAGAAAGATGCTAAAGTGATTATTGAGCACGAGATGCACGCGTATGAGAAGATGAGAGCTGGTTTGGTGAAGAAGTGGCGGGAGCTGGTGAAACAGTATCCCGAGGTCGAGGAGATGAGCGACGTGGAACTTGGTGGGTTTGCTCTGGGCTATAAGGAGTTTAAAGAGGTGAGTGTAATGTTAGCAGCTCATCGACACTTTTTACTATTAATCATGAAAAAGATTTAGGGAACACGAATGAATGGAGATGTCGGTAGAGACCGCCCTAGACAGATATATGTCGACCAAATAGGCGACGTGCTGAAGAAAGGTCGAATTGAAAGTAGCCGTAACTGGCGAGCGTGTATGAAAAGATTGATTAATGTGAAGGAAGGGAAAGAGACTTGTTTGAATCGAAACATTAGGCTTCTATTGTTTTGTGCCTTCCCCAATGGACAAAAACGAAATATCTATTAACATAATAAACGCCCGTCTCGGGCGTGACAGATATTTCGTTTTTGTATGAAACAGAGACAGTCTTTTTATGGGTGACAATTGTATATCAGCCGTGTTCCTCGGCATAGAATGGTGGCCCATTCCTTTACGTGGGTGTCGTAAGATGCGACTAAGAGAGGGGATAGAGAACAGCGTCCCTCTTAAAACATCTCTAAAAGCCTAACTGTGGTTGCCAGCTCACCTGCCTAGCATGGTAACTACTGGCAATACTGGGAAGGTTTATGTCCAACAGTGGACAGTTAATAGCAGAAATAATAATAAAAATTGTATGATATTCCCTGCTTGCGATAATTTACGCTGGCGGGGTTGGGTACCAGTGAGGAATGAATGTTGAAGATGAAGTCAGATCAGTTGATCCGTCGGTACAAAGTCACCATGTATTACCCATGATATTCCATAGAGACTAGAGGTCAACCTCTTTTTTTTTATTTATGAGTTTCTTATTGTTGGGCCAACTAATTCATATATTATCTTCCAACCACATCTATTCCAGGTCATGTCTTTGACCCCTCTATATGGCTTGGCACCTAGTCTTTCCTTGGCTTATCCCATATACTTCTTTCTCGGTCTTTCCCTTCCTCTTTCGCCCCTACTTTTCCTTCTAATATGCTCTTTATAAAACCGTCGTTTTATTAGTAGCCCACCACTTTACCTCTTCTATTATTTATTGTTTTAATTATTGTTCTTTTCTCATTTACCCTTTTCAATCTACCCTCGTTCGTTGGTTTTTCTGTCCAGGTTATCCTTTCCATTTAAAGTCATCCTAACTATAAATAAATATTTTTTATTACATTATTTATTCATAATGACCCTATTTTACAGACAATTGCTAAACAAAAATCAATCGTAATCCCAGGAGAATTAGTTTTCAAATTATATGACACACATGGTTTCCAAGAGGAACTAATTGAGAGAATAGCCAAATTAAACAAGTTAGAAATCGACAAGGAAGGATTCTGGAAACTTCTATCACAACACAAATCTAGGCACAAGACAGCTTTTAAAGAACAAAGCTCCAATAAAGGCCTATTATTTGATCTGACCATAGAGAAATTAATCAAAAGTGGAGTAACTTCAACTAATGATGTACACAAATATGAGTATCAGGTCATAGACAATAAAATTGAATTTAAACCACTAAAGACCAATGTAATAGCTATTTTAAGTGAAGACTGCGAATGGATAGACTATTTAGAGCCGTGTGAAAATAAACCTTATTATTTAGTAACGAAAGATACAAATTTCTATTGCGAGGAAGGCGGTCAAATCGCTGATTACGGTGCTATCCGGATAAATGAAGACTTCACCTTGAAAGTGGACAGTGTCTTCAAGATTCGTGACTTCGTATTTCACAAGGGTTATTTCAGTGTGAATCAAGCTAAAGACTGTAATTATATAAATAATAAAAGTGATATAATTTTAGAAATTGATAGCGATAGAAGACTGAATATAATGAGAAATCATACTGGTGTTCATTTGCTGAATGCAGCTTTAAAACAAGTTCTACCAAATAGTGTTGTGTGCCAGATAGGATCCGGTGTTACAGAGAAAGGACTATATTTAAATTTGTCGGTTTACGGGGAGAAGCTGTCGCAAGATGTGGTGTTGCAGGCACAAAACTTAATTAGGTAGGAAGCTGTATGGATTTCCAATCTATAATAAGTAAAATTTTATGTTATGTTACGTTCCCACTTTTTATATAAGACTACCTGGGTCTTAATCTTTACTCTTTATTAGATTATTTAGATATTACATCTGAATATCTTACTTAATTCAAACACAGACATTATCACTTTCATACACAGGCACTATCATATTCAAACAGAGGTACTATCACTTTCAAACACAAGCATTATCACATTCAAACACAGGCACTAACACATTCAAACACAGGTACTGTCACTTTCAAACACAAGCATTATCACATTCATACACAGACACTATCACATTCAAACACAGGTACTATCACTTTCAAATACAAGCATTATCACATTCAGCCACTATCAAATTCTAATACAAAACAATATTAAATTCCAATACAGACAATCGATCCATGCCAATGCACAAGTGGAGACGAGGGTAGTGGATGATGCTCAAATAGTGCAAGCGGAGGATGTGACCACAGTTCCTGGAGAGCTGTACCCGGAAAGAGGGCTGCGGGTGGTGGGGGTGGCGCCGCCTCTACTCTCCAAGTAAGTCACGGTAATAATTGCTTTTGCAGAATATACTGCCTGTCTGACTCAATTAACGATAATTTTAAGTTGGTCCTTTCAAACAATGGTTGTGTAAAATATCGTATACAACATAATCATATCTAATTTATTATCAAATATTTTCTAACACCTAAAGACATTTGTTACTTTTATTTCATTTTAATAATAAATACCACAGTCTAGTAACGTTCCGTTAATCTTTTTTTTTTATACAACTTAGAATGGCAAACAAGCTGACGGCCCACCTGATGGAAAGTGGTAACCGTCACCTATAGACATGAGCAATACCATGGACATAACAGAGAATACTGTTTCGCCCATGATACTCCCCATTCGTTGCCATTCCTGAGGACTCAGGTGTTATTCCTCTGTACCTAGTAAAGTCACGATCAATTTCGAAGTAAATCGAGACCAACATAATAGATTGGAACCGGTTTTAGGACATGAATTATACGCAAAATGGCCCAAATGAGAGGCTTAGTGCGAAAAAGAGAATCCAATTCATAGGACACGAATTATCAACTGTAAATATTTTGTTTACTACTTTTTGCCAGTCGCTACTAATCCTGTAACAACTTATTAGTACGTTATGTTGGCAGGGAGCTGTGTTGTGGAACACACGTGCCCTCTACCGGGGTTTTGGAGGACTTCTGCATCACTAACATCAAAGGTGCCGGCAGTAATACACCGACCATACATGCGCTGACTGGCGACGCTGCTAAAGAGGTTAGAAACCACCACTTTACATGAATCACCATTTGTCAGTTGTGTTTTTAATGGACGGTAATGAAGTGGTAACCTCGCCCGCGCTATCGGTACACACTGGCGGGGCGGTACACCATACACAACATACACCAGTGAGAGATGATAGCTGAGGGTGGAAGCAGGTCAGTTTGCCCATCGTGACGAATGAAACAAGTATTAATCACAATATTTTCCAGGGAGAACCGTGTGGAGGTCGATCTGACAAGGCTTGTTAGCAATGGGGCCATTAGTTTTCATTACTAACAATCCCTTTCCCCATTGTCAGCTGTGTTTGCCTCACTAACAATTAAAAAAAATCTTATTAAAATTTTTACCCATTATTATAACCGCCATATTGCAATTAAGGTACTGTTCATGATCTTTATCTGAAATTCCACTTGTTGAATATCCTGCGCAGGCGCATACACCACAGTTTTTGTCATCAATCCCTCTTTTAAGACTCCTGGTCCAAGTTGCTTCCTCCGCTTTCTTCTGCCCCTATCATGCCTCCAATATAAAGTATTTTTCTCGCAACTTAGACCCGTAAACTAGCTGATGGCCCACCTGATTGAGAGCGGTAGCCGTTGCCTTAAGACGTGAAAATCGTAGAATATACTGTAATGGTCATAGTACTCTCATGCGTTATTTTTACAGGTCTATGGTATTGTGCTTTATAATTTCACTGCCATATCCCATGCTTCAAACTTTTTTGATGGGTGAAAATGGTATGGTAACCCCGCCTGCGCTAACGGGATATGCTGGCAGAGCACCAGTGAAGGGTGTTAGATGAGAATGAAAACAGGCCAGTTAGCCCATCACGATGAATTCATCAGGAATTAACCATGATAGTTTCCAGGGAGAACCGCGAGGAGGTCGACCTGGTTGGGTATATTGCTAGCAATGAGATTCTCAGTCTCCATTACTAACAATCCCTTTCTGTCCACTGTGTTTCGGTTTGAAGTAGGGATTGGATAAAAGTACTCATGCTGATAAGTTTTTTACGATTTGTCTTTGGTAATGTGAACATTACCGTGTGGTCTAAGGCCAGCCCTCAATTCAGAATAGGCCATCCCATCCTTTCCCGTGGGTGTCGTAAGAGGCGACTAAGGGAAGGCGAGGGATGGATAGGCCGGCAGCACATCTGCAATGCCGCTAGTGTTGTGGGTGATCATGGGCGGCGGTAGTCACTTACCATCAGGTGAGCCGCATGCTCGTTTGCCTCCTGTGTTGTAAAAAAAAGCATCTCTCTTAAAACATTTCTAGAGCCTAACTGCGGTTGCCAATCCGCCTGCCAAACGTGATAACTACTGGCAAAACCCCCCAAGGGGGAGGCTTATGTTCAGCAGTGGACAAGTAAAGGCTGATATGATGAATGTGAGCATTAGTTCACATAGCAGTATATTATAGGTACCTCCATTAGGAAGTGCCAATAAATTTTCTATCAAAACAGGCCCGCGAACTATTCTGTCGAGCGGAGAAACTCGAGCAAGTGATTGACCTGGCCAGCTCCGAGCGTCGCCACGAGGAAATATCCAGCATCAAGCAGCAGCTGCTGGAACTGTGCGGTACCAGTGGCGCCCCCTACGGCGAATACGCGGCGTGTCTCGCGCGTGTCAACACTCTGCTCAAGAAGAATGTCAACAAGAATGAGATGGCGTTACAGTGAGTGTTGATCACATACTTCTCTGTATAGGCTAGTACTCCATTAGGGTGGTGCACCTCAGTTATACCACACGGAAGTTCTACCATTCTGTCAATAAACTGCCGAAGTAACACTCGCGCGCTTGCGTTTGGTCTTCACAGACTGTGACCTAAGTAATATGTGTATGAACAGTCACTGATCTACCGTCGGCGGGACATCGGCAACGCCACAATGCATGTTTTAATATATTTCGAAACTTTTGCAGAATTCAGAGCTATGGTATGTGTTCGCGACATTGTAGTCTCTTCATATAAAAATGTATAGTTTATAGCAATATTTTATAGTTATTTTTATACACTAATTGTTAGCATAAGTTGTCAGTTTTTAATCGTTTAAATTGTTAATTTCAAATAGACCTTTATATGATGTATCTATAGCTTGTAAGTGAAATAAAACATTTATTGTGTCGAGTCCTTATTACCCTCGAATAGAAATAAGGAAAAATTGTAAAAATGCTAGTAATAAGGATAATTATAACATAAATAAATAGACGCCAAATGGTGTCGCTCTGAAGGGTCACGCGTCCCTCTCACACTCGCCCCGTCCCGCTCGCACAGACTCACCGGTGTGAGTTGGTACACGTTATCGTGCGACCGGGCGGGTATAAAGATAGGCCGCCTACCGTTGAGCGGCATGCACTCCCAATCCGACAAAGAAACTAGGAGAAACTCTTCAGAGCGAAACCGGGAGCTTCAAGAAAAGGAATAGTCGTTTCTCTCCGGCCTGATCCAGCACCCTACAGTCCACGCTCACCGAACGGGTCAAGCGGCCCCATACAGTATGCGAACAAAACGTTCTGTTTTTTTTTTGTGACCCATTTTTTATACTCGATGCTCTATCTATATATGATCTAAGAATGGATATATTACCAGAAACATTATGTGCAGAGTGATAGCGGAGATCGAAGTGCGTGAGACGTTCGCGGAGGCGCGCGCGGCGGGCCGGCAGTTCGTGGTCCACTTCGTGCGCTGCTCGTACCTGATGCAGGCCGACGGGCTGGCGGCCGCGCTGGCCGCCAGCGGGCTGCCCGAGGACGGCACGGGAGCGCCCGCGCCCTCGCTGCTGCTGGGCTGCGCCGGAGGAACTATCCTCGCCACGTGCCGGGTGCCACAGGTTCACCTCCTTTATTGTCTTTTATTATAGTAGTTCTGAGGGGGAGGGAATTATTAATAATGGAATCTAACAGCCCTATTGCTATTAATACACCTTATCAAGTCGAAATCCATCCGGTTCCCCCTGGAAACCATCGTCGTTAATTCTCGTGGAATTCGTCACAATGGGCTAACCGACCCTGCTTTCATCTTTACCTATCAACTCTCACTGGTTAATTCCCGGTATATTCGCCACGATGAGCCAATTATGTGAATAAATCATTAAATCATTTGTTTTTAAATATATTTTTTTATGTAGTGTTAGTGTAATAATTGTTAAGCCTCGGTAATCTACTATTGCACTCAGTGTTGGTAAAATAACTCTAATACATAAATTTGATAAATATTTAAGAATAATAGATGCAAGAAAATATTAATTGATATCTTGGAATTGTAGATTGACCGTGTGGTCCCGGTATAGAATAGATCATCGCTTCCTTTCTCGTGGTTGTCGAAATAAGCGACTTAGGGCGCTTAACGGTCGAGGGATGGGCAGCAGTGTCCCTCTTGAAACATATCCAAAGTCTTACTGCAGTTACATATACACAAGCCTATCCGCCTGTCAAACAACTACTGACTGAAACCCCCTAAGGGGGAGGTTTATGATCAGCAGTGGACAATTACCGGCCGATATGATGATAATGATGAATTGTAGATAGAAAATGTGATAACATGTACAACAGCAAGCGAGTAAAACCGCGAAATCCAACTAGTAAATGAACGGTTGCGCAGGAGTTGGTGAGCCCGTCTTTCAGCGCGGAGCGGTGGCTGGGCTGCGTGGCGGCGGTGTTCGGCGCGCGACTGCTGACGCATGCGGACGCGGCCGATCGCACGCTGTATGCAGAGATGGCCGGCGCTAAGGTCACTATATATATCTCTCGTATTCAGTACTCAACGACGAGCTATAAGAATTGTCACTTATCCCAGGCTTAAAAGCGGTAATCCATCCATCCCTTAGAATATAGTAGCTGAAACTTGTTTGAGACGGGATGAGTTTAGATCGCAGCGGACGACAGTGTCTACACTGTACTTTAGTACTTTTACTACTTATGCTATACTAATACTAGTTTTAGGGGGGAAAGGGATTGTTAGTAATGGAGACTGAGAATCCCATTGCTAGCAATATACCCAACCAGGTCGACCACCTCGCAGTTCTCCCTAGAAACTATCATGGTTAATTCCTGATGAATTCATCATGATGGGCTAACTGGCCTGTTTTCATTCTCATCTATCACCCTTCACTGGTGCTCCGCCAGCGTATCCCGTTAGCGCAGGCGGGGTTACCATAACATTTTCACCCATCAAAAAAATACTAGTTTTAAGGGATGGGTTACGCTAATTAACGTACTGTATAATCAAATTGTATACGTGGGATACGGTATATATATTAAAATTTTAAATGCAGAATTTTATGCATATATGTATTTTCATATGTAGACTGGTTTAATTTTATATTGTCCCATGATACCTTTTAATATAGTTAATGTCTTTACAATCAGGTGAGCCTGATAAACTGCGAGCAACTAGTGCAGGACGCGATGCGTGTTGCGATCAAGTATGCGCAGGCGCACGTCAAAGACAATGGCGACCGTAGCGCCACCGGCGGCCACACCACCAAGAACAGGCAGCAGAATTAAAGTTAATTATCACAGAGCGCGGGATTTAATTGGCGTTTTATAGAATTTGGATATTTCGTTTTCTTTATAGTTTGTTTTAATAAAAATTAATATGTAGGCAAACGAATAATTGGCCCGGCCATAAGTTAATTTGATGATGTCCAAGTAGTGGCAGCTATAAAAAAATCGATTGAATGTTTAGATTTGTCAATAACTACCATTTCCCAAAGAGGGTTGACGTCAGGCTGGCGGCCGGTCGTAAAACTAAAAACCAAATCTTTTTGTAATATGGATAACATCATATTACGCCGACCACAAATGATTGGGATAAGGGTAGGAAGATGATGAATAACTACCATTTCTAACATAACTCACATAACTAACCATTCGTGTTTCTACCGTGAATCAGTTGTGTTTGCATGGCTGTGTTTCGGTTTGAATGGTGGGATATGGTGTGAATTTACAGGATACAGAGGAATAACACCTGAGTCCTCAGAAATGGCAACGCATAGGGGGTATCATGGGCGAAACAGTATATTCTGTTATGTCCATGGTACTGCTCATGTCTATAGGCAACGGCTACTACTTTTCATCAGGTGGGCCGTCAGTTTGTTTGCCATTCTAAGTTGTATAAAAAAAAATTACTAGCGATTCAGGCTGGCAATACTAATAATAGTATAAAATATAATAATGTAGTAGAATAATAGTAGATGGAATTTTTTAAAATAAAATATATTTCACTCCCGAATAATGTATATTTCTATAGGTGAGAGAATTTTTAAAGTCGTTTAAGTTGTTTTTGAGATTATCAATTACAAACATATTTTTCCACTTTATAATGTTGTAAAGTATAGATTTTATTTAAAAAAGGAAAGGATTACTCTGTGATAATTAAAAAAAAAAAAAAATTGTTACGTTTTTATTAAATTTTATTAAAACAGACTATATGAGTAGATATTTCGTACATATTCGTTGTTACCAATAAATATGTCCTCTAGCGAGGTCATTTCTCGATAAGTTCAGTATAATTAATTTACAGAGTACAGAGGTATAACACCTGAGTCCTCAGGAATGGCAACGCATGAGGGGTATCATGGGCGAAACAGTATACTCTGTTATGTCCATGGTACTGCTCATGTCTATAGGCGACTGTTACCACTTTCCATCAGATGGGCCATTCTAAGTATCATAAAAAATAATCTTAATTAATGTCTGTTTTAAAAAATAGATAGCCTTTATTCAGCAGTGGATTAATCGGTTAATTTTAAACTTTCGCGTTGTTTACACATATGTATTTTAAAAACATTATCCGGACTTAATGCAATGATTTTTTGGCAGCTAAATAGTACCAACTTCGACTGTAGTTACTGCTCTTTTATTGCCGACGTTCCGACATGGATTGCACCACATCGAAATAAAAAACAAAAACACTCCGTTTAGTCCCGATAGTGAATTTAAAATATGTGTAAGAAACGGGAAAGTTTGGGCAAATGTCTAAAATTTTTATGATCAATACAGATTCAATAATATTTGGAATTGTGAAATATAGTCATTAGAGTAGAGAAAAAAAAATCGATTTAATCGAGTAGTTAGTAATTAAAAAAGAGGATTGAAAATTTCTCAACAAAAAATGGAGGTAAATTTTAAAACGTCTTTTACGAGTTTGCTCAGAAGTTGATGTCATGTGAGATTAATTAGTTTTTGTGTTTTGTAAATATGCGATAGATATTAATAACCGGAATATTTAAGTTTTATAAACACTAAAACCAGATAAAGAATCTCTGCCTTAAAAAAAATTCGTAAAAGTAATATGGGTAAAATAAAAATATATTTATTATCTATGGTAATTTTTTTTTCGCCTTTTCGAACATAGATACTTAATGTTACTACATAATCTAACTTTAATTTAGAAATTGAGTTTTCATTAGTAATTATAATCCAGTTAACAATTTTTTTTTTATTAATTGAGATTCCATTACAATTATACGACTATGACGTTATAGCACATATCGTCATAGTCGTAGAATACTGACGGATCTTTATATGTAATCTTCGTCAGATCCGTCAGTATTCTACGACTGTGACGATATTATGGATCAAAATGACTCAGAGATTAGTTAAAAAAATAAATATACATTTTTGGCAATTATAGTATTTTATCTTAGATATTCTTTGCTGACAGCTTTTAATATTTATTACTTTAATTTTATTTTTATATAATGACTAACGTAAATTTGATTCAATTAAATTTTAAATGATTAATTTAAATATCTCAAAATTTTTTTTTATATAAATCAACTAGTCTTCCTTTCATATTGTACCTACCTCCTAATTTTTTAAATAAATTGTTATATAAATCTGCATTGAATTTTTATTTATTTGTATAAGGAAGTCCCATTTATAACTAACCTTATTTATAAATGGGAAAGTGTTTGTTTATTTTTTTTAATGGATGATAATGGAATGGTAACCCCACCCGCGCTAACGGTATACACCGGCGGGGCACCAGTGAAAGAATAGGAGAGGATATAGTAGGTCAATTAGCCCATCGTGAAGAATTCAACAAGAATTGTTCACGACGGTTTCCAGGGGGAACCACGTGGAGATCGACCTAATAGGGCATATTGCTAGCAATGAGGCTGTCAAACTCCATTGCTAACAATCCCTTTCCCTCCAGGGCTTGTTTATTACCTTATAGCACCTAAACAGCTTAAATAAACTATGAAATTTAGTATACACGCACTACACAGGATGGAGGACATATCTGTAGACTTAGATTAGATAGACAGTGTTCAAGATTTGGCAGTATAGACGTTTTAATAAAAAGTAAATTTTCGTACTTGCAATATTAGAACCATAGATATAGACCGTTTAACCGCTAGAAGGTCAAACATTCAAATTTTGTTAACGGATAGAACTACACGCACCTTTGTATTTATTTTAATTTATTATAAAACTTGAGGCACGGACAAGCATTTCATTTCAACCAAGAGCTTCTCACCTTCAAGCGCAAACAGACAGTGTTTGTATACAAATGCTTCGAGAAAAACGGGCCAACTTTTTCATACAATTTTGCGTGATAAATAATTGAGTGATTCCTTTATATCTTGTATATTTAGTTTGTCTTATAATTTCTGCATGTTTTTAATGCGTAAATACTAATTTTATTTATAAATAATACGTCGAAAAACATTGTATGCGGAAGTATATAGAACACTGATAAATAACGAGTCAACTAATTTGACAATTAGCTAATAAAAAATTTACTCGAAGCTCTATCTATATAATCTAAGGACATAAGTTACGTTTTCTTTCCGGCCACGCGGAACTCGCGAGTAAAGCTAGTATGGATATAAGAAAAATCTATAGAGAACGCTATAGGAGTTTTATAACGTTTATCTCTTTCTCCCCTCCCCCTTTCCCTCTCTTATATTGAGTCGTGGTCTTAAATCTAGGATTATATGTACTAAATAAAAGAGTAGTATTTTTCATTAAAACTATATTTTACCAAATTAAATTCCTCTTAATATTTAACAATGAAAGTGTGTACTAGTGTTGCCCAATAATCGATTTATCAAATAATCGAGTTTTCATTCGACACAATCCAAATACCAATTGTCCTGTCGATTAAATCAATATGAAGTTTTAAGCAATATAATCAATTATTAACTAATAATGTAACATTACTTTTTTATACCACTGAGGTGGCAAACAAGCATACGGCCCACCTGATGGTAGGTGATTACCGTAGCCTATGAATACCTGCAATACCAGAGGTATTACGCGCGCGTTGCCGACCCTGAAGAAACCTCTTTACCCCCCTTTTGAAGAACCCCATGCTGTAGTCTCTTAGGAAAACCTCGGCATGGAGCTCATTCTATTACTATCGGTTGCTAATAATTCATTTAACATAAAGCCAAAGTTTGTAAAGGATAGATGATGAATTTGGAGTAAAAACTCCTAAACGGATTTGAATTAAATTTGGAACACGTGTAGCTTATGTTTTTCAGTGTTTTTTTAATGGTTTTTAAGTACACTTACTAAAAAAAATGGATCCAAGATATCTAAACATAAATAAATAAATAAAAATAAAAAAAAGTTCTAATTTGGCACACAGAGCAACCGCCAGATAGAGCTAGTATATTACATAATTTGATACTTAAGAAAGCGGTCTAATGTGAGTTTAGTTTGTTAACTATTGAGCCTTTAATAACCAACTGTTATAAAATTTATACAAATTCCACGTAATACATGAGACGGAGAAAGACAGGCTACTTTTTATTCTAGTCAGTCGACATATCTCGGTCACGCGAACGACGCACATCGCGGGTAAAAGCTAGTCCATAATATTTTAGTGCAATTTGCTAATAAACGATTATATCGTATTGTCGATTACATAACCGATTATTTGTGGTCTCAATCGTTACTAAACGATTATAAGGCAACACTGGCATGAGCTCGAGTATGTACAGCGCGGAACGCGTCCAAGTGTCCGCTAATGGTTGTCCATGTACTGAAGATCGGATAGTAGCAGCACCGTGTTGGGCAAAGGTCGCGGCTGCGGCGACAGGATCGTCAGCGTCTGCCGCTCCATATCCACTGCGGTGCTGTGGGAATGCAACAAATGAGTTTGTTTCTAACATTTCATTGTTAGGGGAGAAGGAATCGTTAGTAATGCGTACCACGTGCGTACAACGTAACCGCGATAGTTTCCAAGAGGAACCGCGTGGAGGTCGACCTGATAAGGTGTACTGCTAGTAATGGGAAAATTAGACCCTATTACTAACAATCCCTTTCCCCCCTGCTAGTATAGAGTAAGAGAGGTATGGATAGTTACATGCAGACGAAGCCGGCGAGGTTGGAGTGCAGCACGTCGTCTTCGGGCGCGGCGGCGAAGGAGACGGCCAGCAGACGGTGCTGCAGCGCGGCGGACGGCCACACCGCCACCAGCTTCGTCAGCGCGTCCTCCGCGCGCATGCCCAGCGGCATGCACGAGTCGGGCAGCGACGGCGCACCCACCTGCGGCACACGGCGATGTTTTTTTTTTTAATGAGTGATAATGGAATAGTAACCCCGCCTGCTAATTGTATACGCTGGCGGGGCACCAGTGAAGGATGATTGGTGAAGATTAAAAGGCAGGTCAGTTAGCCCATCGTGACGAATTCAACGATAAATTAGTCACGATGGTTTCCAGGGGTAACCGCGTAGAGGTCGACCTGATAGGATATATTGATAGCAATGGGGACAAATCTTCTCATTACTAACAATCCTTTCCTCCCACACGGCGACGTTACACTGCTGCAACAACTCACCCACCTACCGCATTCTCATTATTTTCCCACATCAGAGGGGGTGAAAAAGGATTGTTAGGGGGGAAAAGGAATGTTAGTAATGGAGACTGAGAATCCCATTGCTAGCAATATACCCAATCCTCGTCGACCTCCACGTGGTCCCCCCTGGAAACCATCATGTTGAATTCCAGGTGTATTCATCACGATAGGCTAACTAACCTGCCTTTTCATCCTTACCTATCACCCTTCACTGGTGTTCCGCCAGCATATCCCGTTAGTGCAGGCGGGGTTACCATTCCATTTTCACCCATCAACTTTCATATATATTATGTATATGTATGTATGTTTGTGCGAATATATATATGTATGTATGTTTGTGCGGAAACATGTTCAGTAGCAGTCTGGTTAGAGGAGGTCTTTTAATATTTTGGATATTGGAGGAGCGTGCCATGTTATCGGAGACAATTTCTATTCTATTTTAGTAAAAAAAAAAAAGCTTAAAAATGAAATTAAATTCAATTATTCTACCTTGTAAATCTTGAGGTCGCTGAACTTGACGTCGAACGAGTGCGGGTAGTAGGGCGTCCTTTTCCCGTAGAAGTATTCACGGATCCTCGTGTCCCGGAACTCGGCCCTTTGTGTTGACGACCGCTCCACGACCTTTAACAATATATGTATATATATATATATATTGTTTTGTTACATTGAAACTGATTCACTCACATCCTGATGAACAAAAACAACGATAATAGTAACTATAAATTGTATCATCATCATCATCATCATCATCACCATATCAGCTGTTAACTATCCACTGCTGAACATAGGCCTCCCCCATAAAAAGTTAGTCAGATATATTTATAAACAATTACCATTGGAATAAATATGTCACATAGGGAGGGAGGGGGGAAGGGATTGTTAGTAATGTTTTGTTTGTTTTGATTGTTACTACCAGTCCCATTTTAAGCAATATACCCTATCAGGTCGACCTCCCCGTGGTCCCTCCTGGAAACCATCGTGCTGAATTCCAGATGTATTCATCACGGTGGGCTAATTGACATGCCATTTCATGGTCACCTATCATCCCTCACTGGTGCCCCGCCAGCATATATCGTTAACGCAGTCGAGGTTACTATTCCATTATCATCCATTGAAAAAAAAAAAAAGAAATATATCACATATATTATCTCCCATATTTAGAACTAACAAAATTTTTCATCGTGCCTCCCACCAAATTGTTTATAATTACTCCTCTCCATCCAAAGGTTGTCTGGAAGAGATCGCTCTTAGCGATAAGGTCGCTCATTGTTTTCTCATTGTAATTATTTCTTGTAATTATTTATATTTATAATAAGTTTACTATTGTAATCTTTTGGAGGAAACAATAAAGAGTATCTATCTATCTATACTATTAATAATAAATATAAACAATATTTCTTCAAAGAAACTTAATATACACAAATACCTTACGCTATAGCATTAATAATAGCATAATTTTAACATAAATCTAACACTACATATATAGCATCCCATACATAGCATCTCTTTTATCTCTGTCGTGCTCTCAAATTAATATAACTCATGTCTTGTGTCAAATATCTTGGGACAAATAGCAATCGAGTACTCACCCCTCCGCTTTTCGGCAAGTAAACCACTTTGACGAACTTCGGCATATCCCTTTTGAGTTCATTGTACAGTCTTTCATTGTCCAATACTAATATCACGTCCACCTGCACAAATTAGAAACACACTATAATCATAACAGGTGTTTAATATATATGAATTGAGGGGGGGGGGGGGTACCAATAGTTGCCACACTTGGCAGACGGGTTGGTAATCGCAGATAGGTTTTGGTGATGTTTTAAGAGGGACGCTGCTGCCCATCCCTTGACCATTAAGTTCCCTTAGTCGTCTCTTACAATACCCATGGGAAAGGAATAGGTGGTCCATTCAATGGCGGGACCACACGGAAAGTAGAGTGAAGTAAAGGCAATGTTTAATTAACAATACAGTACCTAGTTTAATTTTTTATGCAACTTAAATAAAATGGCAAACAAGCTGACAGCCCACTAAGACTAAGATATTATGCCTCTGTATCCTGTAATTTCATTGCCATTTCCAAAACCAAAATACAGCCATGTGAACACAAAAGTTTTATTTCTCAATATAAATGCAAGTTGACCACTTTGAATGAATAATAACCCAAAATTCCAATATATTAATTTTATTGCAAAATTTTTTTCTTTAGAATCTATCATAGACAACCGTTATTCATTATTTTATCTGTCACAGTCCACATATTTATTTTTTAATGAATTTTAATATGAAAATTAAAAAAATATCTACAATCATATACCTACCTCGAAAGCTTGTGCTGCGTGTGTGAGCACCTTGTACCCGGGTCCTTTGATCCAGCCACATGTATTAATTATTACACCAGAGGCGGCAGCTGTAAAAAAATTCGATTTTTAAAATATATTATTTTTATATGCCAGTTTCTTTTTGTATATTGGTGTGGAAGTAGACATAGAGAAAGAAACTTTTACAAAAAATCATTAGTAGTTAATTTTAAATTTTCGCATTGTTTACACATATTTAAATACACTATCTAGACTCAATGCAATCAAAAATTTTTTCAAGTAAACAGTACCTACATACCTGCTTCTTTATTGTCGTCATCTCACGTTTCTTTTTCTCACCTTAAGCCCCGATAGTATATTACTTTAATAAATTGGAGGTTATCTCCATTAACTGAATCCGGGGACAAGTTATTCTTTTAAAGCAAGATTTTTTATTATAGTTTTGAAGGAATTTTAAAAAATCACTTTAGCTAAGAATGTGACTCTCACCTTTTTTATTGTTTTCGCATCTCTCAGTAATGACTTCTGCTAATCTTGACACTATGGTATTGTACAGCTCTTGATTCTCACTAGGTGACTTGTGACCAAAGTGATACACTAGTGGCGCTTGCTGACTGAATCCTTCCTCAATCGATGCTGGCCTTTCCACTAATAATGCACCTGAAAACCATACAATGTATAATTTTTTTTTTTCTATTTATTATAGTTTCAAATACACTCGATCTTTGAAGATATGTGAGGTAATGACATACTTGATAAAGTTATAACTAACTTTATATTAATAAGATATTTAATATTTATATTAAGTGACATATTTGGACAAGTGTTTTATAATTTTAAAATGAACAAAAATAAATTACCTATAGTTCCGGGTACACTGATATGGCCTTGTCCTATATCTAAATCCACATAAATTGGTCTACGTCCCATTCTAACGGCATAGTTGAGTAATATTTTGGTTAATGTGGATTTGCCCACATCGCCAGGACCCACAATCATTGTGACAGGCCCCCGTGTATTCTCCTGTTCTGCAGCTACTCGCTGTTGCTCAAGAGCTGCATGGACATTTAAGTATATAACCTGGAAAAGAAATTAATATTATATTCATATTTCATACTGGGGCTAGCTTACTATTATTATTAATATACACTGGCTAGGGAATGCTAAATTAGGAGAATATGTATGATCCCTCACCTGACATTAAGATAGACTGGATATATTTAAGAATATATGACAATATATGTCTCAAGCAGAATATATGACAACTAAACTAGCACAACATCTATCCATACCATCCTGGCTGAACACAGTGACAATATGGTTCATGAATGTGATAAAAAAAAAAGAGAATGTTTTCCCATCAACAGCTGAATGCATTATGTGCTTGTTCATAACTATTTGTTAGTCACATCTTAATAGTTCAATGACTCAAGCAATCAACAAGAAATTTGACATATATATAGTATTCGAGATGAAGAGGGGATAGGATTGTGCTTTTTAGGGCATAGGCTAGGCTCTTGGTTAATCAATATATCCCGGTCAAAGACAGACGAAATCAAAGTAAAAAAAACTGGTACATAATAAAATTGACAACCAAAAATAGCCATACTGAGCATGCAAAATTGCCAACAATATAAAAAAAGAATATCACACCATTGGAGTTTCCTTTGCGACATAGCTGACTTCGGTGCGCCCACGTAATTCCACAGTGCAGCCGTGCCACGTGAAAACAGCTACCTTAGCGCCCGTATGAAATTCATAAGGTTTCCCTTTTACAAGTTCTGTGCCAAATAATTCAGCATAACCGCTTTTAACCTAAAAAGAATTTATGATAAATAAAGAAAATAAGCATACATGATTAAAATCACCATTATGTTATTAAAAAATAAGAATTTAAGTGTATAATTGTAATACCTCTAGTACAACTTTTTCATTTTTGGATTCCACTTCAAACCGAAGCTCCGAATCGGGCTCCAGCTTAAATTCCTGTAACTGCACCTCAGTCATAATTTATATGTCTTTATGTTTAGTAATTTTAAAACTATTTAATAGCTATAAATAAACTTTAAACACAAAATTGTTATTGTTTACAGAATTGAAGACAAGAAATATAATCATATAGAAATTACTAACTGTAGTGATAGTAAACATATAGACACTGTCAAATGTGAATACTGTCATATGCTGCTGTCATTGTCATTATAGAAATTTTGACAGCTCTAATATGCTATGAGCATGGATGTAATATGACGTACTACGTCTACGATTATTTGTAATTATTTGCGATAATGCTATTGCTTTGCAGAATATACCTAGTGCAATCTCAAAATGAAAGTCACATAAAAGAAAATTTTACTATTAATACTGTTAAGAAGAGATCTTTGTCTAACGATAATAGTGTTCTTCTTTATCTGTGCGTTGCCTAGCAACTTGTTTTGTTAATGTTCTATTGAAACTAAAATTACTTTCATTACAAATATAGGTAATAATATTCTATCTTAAATCTGTTATATTTGCTGTTCCCTTTAATTTCTTAAAGAATACAACAAAAGACAATTATTCATTTTAATTTGCTAGTTGCCACCTCAGTGGTTTAAAAAAAATTGTATGCATGTTGCTAATAGGTTTCTGGATTATATCACAAATACCTGTATATTTGAAAAATATTTTTCCTTGTTTTTGATTATGTAAATAGTTAATCAGCTCAATTTAAGTACGCTTTTTTTTTTTTAAATACATACATAAATATTGGAAATATGTTTTTTTTTTATACAACTTAGAATGGTAAACAAGTTGGCCCATCTAATGTAAAGTGGTAACCGTCGCCTATAGACATGAGCCATGGACATAACAGAATATACTGTTTCACCCATGATACTCCCCATACGTTGCCATTCCTGAGGACTCAGGTGTTATTCCTCTGTACCCAGTAAATTCACGCCATGTACACAAATAAATGTACGTAAATGTATATAAATAATGTATGTACATAAATAAATATGTGCTGAATTTCATTCATAATGTGATAGTTTAAAAAAGTTAATTGATCTTTTATGGAAATATTATAGGTATTAAATATTATAATAAAATATTGAATTATATTTTAGATATACCTTTCAATAAGTTTAAAATTTGTATAAAAAATACTTATTGAACAAACTCTATTACATACTATACAGTGTTATTCGATCCTGCACAAGTTTTAACGACCACGTAATTTTAGACATTATACATTAAAATAAATACACATATAGTTAACAGAGATATAAGGAGTAAATATTAAGTTTTGTACAGGTTCTCCTCAACAGATAATTCAGCAGAACATTAATTCAATAGAATTCAACAGAAAATCAACTCCCAAAAGCTGCATTCATAATAATAATACAATTTAAAAATCCTTTTAAACAAGTTTATTTCAATAGAAAGGAATTGAATTAATATAAAATAATATTTGACCATGTATGGAGTTCATATCAATTTGCGTTCTGAGATTTCTATTCCAATCCATAGATGATTTGTCTATGTTCTAAAAATACCTCACCTTTATCTCGCCTTCTTATACCTACATGAAATAACTATCTACCATCATTACACTAACATATTTTTATTTATTTGATTTATCGGCCTACTTACTCCCGGACGACTGTGATTATATTAAAAACTTTTAAATAAATAAAAAATTTAGTTTTAAACAAAATATTACGTCTTTGTTACAATGGCAAACAATAACTGTTTTTCAGATTCAGATAGTGAATACGAATTGTGTCCACGTAGATCCAACTCCTGTGGGTTGCCCTTTGATCCTACGTCGTTGGAGAATGTAATATTAACGATTTGTGATAAATTTGACTTTCGTATAGTGTTGAACGATAACAGGGCGAAGGGTGCGTTAATTGTGACAACAGGATTGGCGGTAGCTGGTACACTTATTGGTCGCCACTATGGTGGTAAAGTGGGAGCCGTTGTAGGTGGCGCTGTTGGGGGAGCCTGCGGTATTGGTGTCATTGGTAATTAATTATTATTTATTTACTGTATAGTATACTAAATATCGTAATATATATAAAATAGGCCATCCCTTTCTTTCCCGTTGGTGTCGTAAGAATCGACTAAGGGAGGGCGAGGGATGAGCAGCAGCGTCCCTCTTAAAATATCTCTAAAGCCTAACTGCGGTTGCCAATTCGCCTGCCAAGCATGGCAACTACTGGCAAAACAAAATTTTTTTGAACGAGACATGAATTACCTAATGAACTCAAAATGTTTCTTTTATGCAATTAAAAATGGCAAACAAGCTGACGGCCCACCTGATTAAAAGTGATAACCGTCGCGTATAGACATGAGCAGTACTATGGACATAACAGAGTATACTGTTTGGTCTATGATACCTTCCATGTGTTACCATTCCTGAGGACTCAGGTGTTATTCCTCTATATCCTTTAAATTCACTGCTATATCTCACCCTTTAAACCGAAACAGCCATGCAAACAACTGTTTCATGGTAGAAACACAAATGGGACAGAGGTACCCAAGCAAATTACTTTTATACAAATTCTCCCTCTGGTTGAAGTTAATCCGTCTCTGGCTAGCTACTTACATTTTTTTTTTATAAACTGAAGGTTCTCATTTAAAATAATGTGTAGGTGTTGGTTAAATTTTTATTTTGTTTAATATATTGCACAATATTTAATAGAACTTACCTACAGATAATTCAATTTTTATGTATACTTAATTTTTACCCATGACTTTGTGTTACCAGGATATAAATGAAATAAGTAAAAAATAGATGAAAAATAGAATGTATGGTATCTTTATTTCATTATATAATTTCATAGTAAATTGGTTTAAGCCGTTAAGGAGCTAAGAGGTAACAAAAAACAAACAAAGTGACTTCCTCATATATAATATTAATAAGGACTTTGTAAAACTTATTTTCGCTGTATCACTTCAAACTAAGTTCTTAGTATTATATTGTAAAATCTTTATTGTACATAATTTATATTGGATACATTAAAAGATTTAATATACAATAGCAGATGTTCTTTGTGGTGGACAGAAATAAGTATTTATTTCAACATTGTTAATTTAATTTGTTTCAGTTGTATCCATGAGAGAAATATGGAATGACATCAAGTCTAAACTTTCTGAACTTTTCGATATTGTTTATGATTATTTAGCTGGATTGGGACTAGAGGACTATAAGAAAGCAGCACTGTTTCTCACTCAATATGGTGATATAACACAGTTGGCAATGGTTATACTGCAAACAACGTCCAATGTCCTGGGAAAGAAAATCCTGTCTAGCTTGACCGCTGCTTAATATATATATATATAAATTAATAATTACAGGGCTAGTTCCCCACATCGTTAAAATAAATATGAAATTATAAATTGATTATTTGGAAATTAACATGTTAATTGACAAGGTAATAAAGTATTTAAGTGTAATATTGAAATCAGACTTTACTAATTTTGACATATGTTCCAGACAGATTATGACTAAAATATTAATTTTACTGTTTACATGACTATTTGATAACATTCCTCGGATTTAAGTTATTTACAACTACTATAAATTAGACATTTCTTAATCAACTTTATATAGCAGTTTTTTTTTATTGCTTTTTATGATTATTGCTTATTATTGTATGAAGTTATGTATTTTATTATTATTACTATCCAACCATGATATAATTATAATTTAATTGATAATATTTATAATAATCTGTTAATTATATATTTGGTATTTTGCTTGAATTTGAAACTAGTGTTCTATCAGTGGACCTGAACATTTCCCAAAGAAATTTTGGGCGAAAAACAACAAAAATTTTTGTGATTCTTGTATTAATTTGATGAAAATCAAACGGATGATCGGAGTCTCTGAATTTCTATCATGATTCAATCCATGTTTCTTTGGAAAAAACATGTTCAGATTTACTAGTAGAATATTCAATTAATAAGATGATAGTTATTTTAATTTCATGTGGTGTACAATTTTTAATTAATTTTGTAATAGTTAATTATGCTTTTCTATTGGTCGTATTTCATAATTGTTTTAAGTTTATATTTTGATTATATTTGAATTCATTTAACATTATAATGTATATTTGGAAAAAAAACTTTGTATTATTTTAATCCATACTTCCACTATTGATAGTCATAACGCAACGTGATAATGGATCATTTATGTAAATTTAAAATACCCAAGTGTGGCTACTATGGGCAAAACCCTCTTTATAGAGGAACCCTATTTTCAGCAGTGAAAAGATAACAGCTGATATGATAATTGTAGGAAAGAGGTCGTAAACAATCGTATTGCTCAATTGATTACAATTTATAATAATTATATATATCTTGTCGCTATATATAATAATAAAATATTTAAAGATAAAACAAATATTGTTTTATCGTTAAATATTTTATATAATAAGTAGTACACTTTTCATCAGGTGGGCCGGCAACTTGTTTGCCATTCTAAGTTACATAAAAAAAATCTCCCGCAAGACTCCATTCATCAATGATATGACTATCTAAATTTACATTTACAAATAATTTACATTACGAAACATAGCACAATGTTATGAAAACCTGTTTTAAGTCTTCTTAAGTTATTTTAAGCATTTATTCAAATTGGGTTTTATTTCAATACTTAGTGTTGCACGTAAAAATATTACCAATATCTGATTTCACGTATTTTCTTATGTTTAGGAACAAGTTATTTTCTAATTAATATCACAAAGCGAGTAATTACTACAAATACTATCCTTATCAAGTTTATTACATACTGCATATGGTAAATGCTATACAAGTTTTATTCGAAATTTATTTTCCGGGTTAGACTGTGAATTGTGAAAAAATATATAACTAAATTACAAAAATAAGTTTATTTACAACGCCCTTTAACAGTAAAATTGTGAGTTTTACAGTACCACAGCATTAGATTGTAATAAATGGTACTAATATCATAAATGTCATAGCAACCGTACCATCTTAACCCTTTATATACATACATACATACATATCTGTCACGCCTATCTCCCATTAGGGTAGGCAGAAACAATGGAAGTGTGTAACCTTTTATATATCTTATTCAAATCCAAATGGCCATTATAGCGTCTACTATTTTCAAAATTTAGATTTGCCTATAAATTTAGATTGGGATTTGGTGTGAAGATATTTATATAGATAAAGGCATACAAACACATAGATTAATGATAGTAACTGTATAGAGATTTTAAGAAAAATTGCTCTGTGCTAAAATATTAGTTAATCTGAGTTAACAACGACATTTTCGTTTTGAAAATGTGATTTATTTTGTTTGTAATAAAAATATTGTTTAATATTTTTATTTGAAATTTTGTGACAGATATTTATGCTATATACGAATAATTATATAATATAATGGATAGCTCATTTTTTGAGTACCGTGACAATCCCGAAGAGATTAGTGACTCTGATTCAGAAGTTATAGATAGTAGTATAATAATAAATGATTCTTTTAAAACTAAAAAGAAATCTGTTGTGAAAAATCAAACGGTTTATGTAGCGGAATCTGAAGAATCTAATACAGATTGTACATAATTTATATTTTTCAATATTTTGTCATTATTTAATAATAACAACAATTAGCTTATTGGGTAACTAGTGATCCTCCCCTGCTTTACATGGGTAGATAGAAAATACTATATATCCTATATATTACTCGCTCATAATATAGCTTTCTATAGATGTAAGAAATTTCAAAACTGGTTGAGTAGCTTTTGGATTTATCTATTAAAAATGAACAATAAAATTTTTCCTCTTTATAATATTAGTATAGATTAACTCTATTTTGTGTTGTTGCAATCATAACTCAGTATATAAGTTATCCTATTTATAGTAAAGATATAAATTCTTGTGTGCTAAATTTCATTCAAAAGTGTTCAGCTGTTTCAGTGTCATTGTTTAGTCAATCACAATAGTTAAACAACTAACAAACATATAAACATCTATACAAACTTTCACAGCAGAACTAGTGCTTTTTTTAAATGATAGTAAGTGGTGCTATAGTGCCTAAAACTAAATAAATAAAAATCTATTTTCCTTATTTACTCACTATTTGGGTTGCACAATTTCATCCCATTAGGGTTGATAATAAAACTATATGAAATAAAACTATATATATATATATATATATATATATATATATATATATACCTAGCTATGTGGCTGCATATTAATTTAATCTGGTGATGATAAAGTATTAATCTTTACCAAACCACCTGCTCACCTTGCTGAAAGTAAATTAATATTCTTTTCTTAGCAGGAGATCCTTATTTATGTATTTATAGGTTAGCATGTTGTTACCGTGTGGTCCCAGCATAGGGTGGACCACCCCTTCCTTTCCTGTAGGTGTTAAGTGTAACAGACAAGTGGAAATTAACGATAGAGGAATGGGCAGCAACATACCTTTTAAAACATCACCAAAAGCCTAATGGTGTTTGCCAACCCACCTTCTAACTGTGGCTACTACTGGCAAAATGCTTTAATAGGGGATGGCTTATGTCCAGCAGTGAACAGTTAACAGCTGATGTGATGGTGATCATATGATTTTAATTTTTTTTTATTTTAGCCGAATCTGAACAACCTATAAACACACATCAGAAAGGGCTCAATAGTATACTCAGAAGAAGTAGTGTGGTAGAGACCCACATTATATCCAGCAGTGATGACGGTAATGTGCATAGTTTACATTATGACACTAATGATTCCTTTTTCACTCTGCACATAGACAATGTAGAGTGACAAAGGAATCATTGGTGTTCTTTTAAAGTATTCTACCAGTATGATTAAAAATTTTCATAAAATAGATTTGGATTTAAAAATAATAAATTCTGCACCTTCATCAGTTAGATACCTAGTAGAAGAGGCATAAAATTTTTTGTTCATCTGTTAAGGGAAAGATTAATAAGGGAGTTCAAAATTTTTTATTATTTTTGAATTATTGATTTATGAAATTCCTGTTATCTATAGTTTAGATAGATTATTAGTTTTATGTATTGCTTGGGCTCACTTTGTATATAATATTAGAAACATGGAATGTCATAAACAAGCTGATGGCCTACCTGGAAAAGTGAGGGTAACTGTTTCTTTTAAATATTAATAACAAATGAGCATCACAATATGTACTGTGATAATAATCAAGAGTCACCGTTCATTGTTATTCCTGAGAACTGAAGTTCCTTCACACCATCAATTTCACTGTCATACTTATTATTTACTATTCAAACTGAAAAACATGTATACAGCAAACAATCAATGTTCAGAATATAGAAAACCTACTTTTTTGCCCATAGTGCTATTTTTTAATAGAAGATAATGGAATGGTAACCCCACCTGCGCTATCAGTATACACCGGCGGGGAACCAGTGAAGGATGATAGGTGAGGATGAAGCAGGTCAGTTAGCCCATCATGATGAATTCAACAAGAATTGTTCATGATGGTTTCCAGAGGGAACCGTGTGGAGGTCTATCTAATAGGGCATATTGCTAACAATGGGGCTGTCAAACTCCATTGCTAACAATTCCTTTCCCCCCATAGTGCTGTTCATGTCTACAGGTGATGGTTACCACTTTCTATCAGGTGGGCTATGAACTTCTTTATAATTGGAAGCAGATATAATCGGCCAGGTATGCTGAAACTATAATAAAAAGTAAGTTATTAAAAATTAATGATAATTAATAATAATAATAAAATTAACTATTTTATCCCAATTAGAGGCAAATAATAGAAGATCACTTCGCCCGAGTATTAGGAGACAATTGAATACCTCTACTAGCAAGATTGTCACATCTTCAGATGAAGGTAATTTTAAAATTCATTATTTTTTAAAACTATTATAAGATGCAGGAAAAATATTCTTTTTATGTTATGTTATTGTCTACTAGTTTTATGGCCCCTATTTTGTGCACATGGATTTCAGAAGCAGGAAAACCAATTAAATAGACAGAGGAATTATTATTTTTGCTTCTGCTGCACTTATAAAGAGCACTCACATCATCTATCAGGTATCATGGGCGAAACAGTATACTCTGTTATATCCATGGTACTGCTCATGTCTATAGACAACGGTTACCACTTTCCATCAGGTGGGCCATCAGCTTGTTTGCCATTCTAAGTTGTATAAAGAAAAATCTATTTTTAAATATCTCCTATGTATAGAGATCGTCTAGTTACACTACTATGAACTCCTGTAAATATATGTCTTAGATGATAATGAAACATTTTTTTTTATACAACTTAGAATGGCAAACGGCCACCAAGCTGATGGCCCACCTAATACATAAATACACATAAAAATAAGACTTATTTGTATGCCAAATTTAATCAAAGCCATGCAACCCTTCGTTTAAAGTATAGTTCATGTCAGATGTAGATGTCAAACTGCATGCATACTGTTCTGGTAGGTTCCGGCTGTGAAAATATTTTTACTCATATTATTAATGTGAAAATGAGTTTGTTTGTATGTTTGTTACCTCTTGGCTCTTTAATGGTTAAATCAATTGTTATTACTTCTGGTATAGTACATATTATATGGTACGGAGGATATCTAGTAGCTATTAGATAGATAGATAGATACCCTTTAATATTTAATATGTTTTCTCCATAGGATTATAATAGTAAACTTTTTTTATGCAACCTAGAAAGGCAGACAATTCTAGACAGCCTACCTGATGGGAAGTAGTAATCGTCGCCTATAGACATGAGCAGTACCATGGACATAACACAGTAAACTGTTTCGCCCATGATACCTCCCATGCGTTGCCATTCCTGAGGTCTCAGGTGTTATTCCTCTGTACCATGTAAATTCACCACCATATCCCAACCTTCAAACCGAAACACATTCATGCAAACACAAGTGCTTCACGATAGAAACACGAATGGGACAGAGGTGCCCGAGCAAACGACGTTTGTACAAAGTCTCCATCTGGTAATTAGGTACCACAGTACTTATTAATACTATTAGTTATAAGATTGTAAAAAAAAACTTCATTAATGTCGTAAAAGGCGACTTAGAGAACTTAATAGTCGAGGGATGGGCAGCAGCGTCTCTCTTAAAACATCACCAAAAGCTAACTACGTTTGTCAACCTGTCTGCCAAGCGTGGCAACTACTGGCAAAATTCCCCCAATTGTAAACAGCCATAAGAAACGGCCCCGTTCCTTATGGCAGTCCTTAGGGGAGGTCTATGTTCAGCAGTGGTCAAATAACGACTAAAATGATGATGATGATGATGATGATGATGAAAAAATCTTAAAATTGACAGAACAATCATCACCTGAACAGCCAAAGCGTTTATCGGTGCAGTCAAAATCCGATACTTCAGATTCGTTCATCGTAAAAAAGGGCAAGAAACGTATGATCCTTATAGATTCTGATACAGAAAACTCTATTGTAATAGAACATAATAGACATAGGAAATTGACTTGTTTCAAAGACACTCCATTAAAGATTGACAGTGGCAAGATTGACAGCCATGATACGAGTTATGATGACGTCAATAATTTTGCTGATGATGATGATGAAAGAGATGATGAGGTCAGAAAAACCACAGAAGAAAAAGAAGAAGCAATTGAAAAAAGTGTCAATATTAACAATGACGAATCTCATAAAAAAGATGATGTTTCCGAAGAGGACAGAGTTAGTGATGAATATGACACAGATGATGGGCCAGATGAGGATCAAATGGTGCTGTCGCGAGTCACCCGGATGAGTATCATGGGCGTGATACCGAAAGACAACGGACAGGACAGTGATGATTCAGATTTTATTCAGTCGGATGAGGCAAGTATAAAATGTTTGCTTTAATTAATTGTATAGATAATTTTGCTAATGCACTTATAGTACTAAATATAGTGAATTTTTCTTATGCTTTCTCCGATTTAATATTGGATAAAGGATAAGGATTTAAAATCCTAATCGGATATTTATAACACAAAAAATAGCCTAAATGAAGCAACTATTTTTGTGCTTAATAATAACTCCCTTATATAGAGGGGAGAAGGAATTGTTAGTAATGGAGACTGAGAATCCCATTGCTAGCAATATACCCAACCAGGTCGAGCTCCTCGCGGTTTTCCCTGGAAACTATCATGGTTAATTCCTGATGAATTCATCATGATGGGCTAACTGGCCTGTTTTCATTCTCATCTATCACCCTTCACTGGTGCTCCGCCAGCGTATCCCGTTAGCGCAGGCGGGGTTACCATATTATTTTCACACATAAAAAAAAACCCCTTATATATTTTTATTTTTGTACATTTATAACTACAATTTGATTAATAATTCAATTCCTTTATCTAAAACATGGGTACAAAATTATTTTAAATTACAATAAATATCTCAAACAAGGCCTTGTCGTTTTCGATGTATAAATTTGTAGTTAATTCATTATTTTTATACATCAAGTCACATAAATACGAAATATTATAACAATATTTCATTGTAAAAAATTAGTATTGTCATATTTATATCATGTAAGTACTTATTTTGTCATTTAATTATTCCTTCGTCGAATAATAATGTTTATTTTTTATAATTTAATTCTATTTTCATGTAAGTACTTATCAAACTCATTAAATTAATCATTATTTTGTCTAGATTTTCTTGCTATTTATATTTATTATAGATAATGCATATGAGGGATGTATATGAGGGAGTATATGCATTGCAGGAAGTCAGTGGATGCACGTGGCTTAGGACCGTTTTTTATGGCAGTCCATGGGAGAGATTTATGTCCAGCAGTGGACGAACAATGACTGAAATGATGATGATGATAGATAATGTATATATATTATATAAATGCTGTGATATTTTTTTAGAGTCGTCAGAAAACAATGGAAGGCTCCACAGACAGCCTAACAGACTTGCCACAGATCACCAGTTCATTAATAAAAACACCAGAAAAGACTGAAATTGACAATGACACATCTAGAATTACTTGTTCCCCTTTCTCCAGTCCTCTCAATGATATCACAAATGATCTGAACAGATCTGCAACTGAAAATGTATCCAAGTGGTCAATAAATAAAGATTTAAATTCTACAGCTAGAAAGTTGAGTAATGCAGATAATAGTTATTCAGAAAAATTGAACCCTAATAAAGCAGATATGCTTAAAAATAAAGTGTTAAGTAATTTAAATGCTACCAATGTAAAGACTAGAAGCAAAGAAAATATTACAGATGATGAGGTGACAATAATAGACAGCTGTCCAGAGGTTATAGCATTGAGCAGCGATGATGAAGACGAGGTGCGTACTGATGATTTTTTATTTCCATTATATTAATATAAAATGGATCAATATACTTGATGTCTAATAATCATAATAAGTACATTGAGAAGTATATTGGTCCTCTTGAATCGGTTCAAAGACGAGCTATGAGAATAGTCGACAATCCCCAGCCCACAGGCTTTGTCGAGTTCTTAAGTCTACTGTAAGACTTTGTCTCCCTTTGTGTATTCTACCGCTTGTATAACTGATTGTGTTATGAGGAATTGTTTGAAATGATATTTTTTTTATACAACTTAGAATGGTAAACAAGCTGACGGCCCACTTGATGAAAAGTGGTAACCGTCGCCTATAGACATGAGCAGTAACATGGACATAACAGAGTATATTGTTTCGCCCATGATAACCCACATGTGTTGCCATTTCTGAGGACTCAGGTGTTATTCCTCTGTATCCTGTAAATTCACGCCATATCCCCTTCTATCATACCCTTCAAACCGAAATACAGCCATGCAAACACAACTGCTTCACGGTAGAAACACGAATGGGACAGAGGTACCCGAGCAATCGACTTTTGTACAAAATCTCCCTCTGGTAAAGATGCCATCGACAAAGAATTCATCCTCACACGCTTGAACCTATATGGTCACGTACAGTGCGGTTTCAAAGGGATTTTCTCCCATGAGCGCTCAGGCTGTGGAATGAGCTCCCTGCCGAAGTTTTCCTTAGAGACTACAGTATGGGTTTCTTCAAAAAAAGGGTATATTAATGTTTTTTTCAGAATCGGCTCCTAGGAGCAATACTATCAATAGTATTGCAGGCATTTAAAGGCTACAATAACCAATTATGATCAGACGGGCTTTATGCTTATTTGCCATTTTTGTGGTATATAAAAAAATAGTAGATAAATATTCAGTAATTTTTTGCCGATAGTTTTCTTTGAATCTTTGAAAAGAGGTTTGTATGAATCGAAGCATTTGGCGTTCCATTGTTTCTGCCTACCCTAATGGGAGGCAGGCGTGACAGATATGTATGTATGTATGTATGTAGTTTTCTTTATAATATTAATTAGCTGACCTAGCAAACTCTGTTTACCCCATTACTGGAAATATTTTATTATCGGAATAAATGAAGAAATATACTAAGAAAGAGATATAGAAAAGACTAAAAGACTAAAGAAAGAGATAATAAGAAATATACTCAAGTTGGAACAAACAATACACATTACAAAATTACATTAAAATCGGTAGAGCACGTTCGGGGATTAGCATATATGAATTATATATATTAAGATAGGGCAGAAACGCTAAACTAAATGGTATTCTATGATCTCTGTCTACCCCAGTAGAAGAAGGCGTTAACAGTATAAAATGATTGTTAAAAAATACACATTACACTACCATTCTTTATTGGGGTAGGCAGTATAATGGAATAAATAAATACAATGCCTAAATACTTCTTGCGCATCTTCAACATTTATCTACCGATTCATACAATGTCGCTGGTTATGAGTTAAAATGTAGGTACTTTCCATAGATATTTTATTACGATTTATCTTTGCTAACAGAGGGTAGATTAAATAACAGAAGCAGAGTTCAAATGTGCTAGTCGAGTGCCAATATTTATTAAATAGAATTGCAAATTATTTTATTTGTTGTAATTTGTGTGTGTAAATTACATATTGCTAAAATTTTAATGTACCATTTTGAATAATTCACAATGCCTCGAAACCCTAAAGACGTGAGTGTTAATTTTATGTACAAAATTTAAAATTATTAATTTTTTGTTTCTTAAGAGAATGTAAGTGACTTCTACTTGTTGGTTTACAAATCTTTATTGGTTATTTTAATAATTATTATGTATTAAATAGAGTGATGTTAAATTGTCCCAAAGAGGGTTGACGTCAGGCAGGCGGTCGGTTGTAAAACTAAAGCCAAATCTTTTTGTAATATGGATAAAAACATATTACGCCGACCACAAATAATATTTGGGATAGTTGATTACGCATAGGCTTTAAACGACCATTTTTAGACAGTACTTTTAAGTAAATACACATAATGTTAACAGAGATTTAAAAGAGTAACTGTTGAGTTTCTTACGGGCTCTTCTCAACAGATAACAACTTTCCGAATCGTATAGTGGATTTATAAAGAAAACGACGATTTTAAAGTGCTTGTAAAATGTAAAAAAGTCTATTTAGAATAAAAATGATTTGAATTTGAGAATGTCGCCCATTGTTGGCACTTTATCTTGCTTTTTGTAATTAAGTTAGCAACTTTTTGTATACATCTGTAATCTGTAATTCTTGAAGGGAACAATAGAGTTTTTATTCTTTCATATTACTACATATGCCCGTATGCATGTAATTGTATTTTTTTTTTGATGGATGATAATGGAATGATATCCCCACCGGCGCTAACGGTATACACTAGTGGGGCACCAGTGAGAGATGATTAGTGAGGATGAAAAGGCAGGTCAGTTAGCCCATCGTGACGAATTCAATGATAAATTAGTCACGATGGTTTCCAGGGGGAACCACGGTCGACCTGATAGGGTATATTGATAGCGATGGGGACTAACCTCCCCATTACTAACAATCCCTTTCCCCCCATGTAATTGTATTGATTTCATAACATTCCTTAACATTCGCCAGCTTTTGGATATAATATTATAACTGTTAACTACTGCAATTGTTTTTCTTGTAGGTGAAAGTGGAGAAGAAGTCACCTAAAAATTCGCCAAAAATAAAACAGGAGACCAAATCGAAGGATAATGAGATCAAACAGTACTTGGTGCCCTCGAGCTATCCCAACCAAGTGGTATATGTGAAGAAACATGTCCGTGAAAATGAGCTCAGCAAATTGAATGGGCTCAAAGAGGACCTGCAGAATATCAGGGTACATTATCTCAACCTTTATATTTTTTTTATACAACTTAGAATGGCAAACAAGCTGACGGCCCACCTGATGGAAAGTGGTAACCGTCGCCTATAGACATGAGCAGTAACATAACAATAACAACAACTCCCTCTATTAAGCTTATCTATTTAAATATACCAATATTTATACAGTACCTCCTGGAAAACATGGACGTGAACACACTGCCGGACGGTGGCGTGAAGCTGATCCAGCGGCTCACTGGACTAGAGGCCGAGGTGCGCCGCCAGGGGGACAAGGTCGCCAACATGATCGTCGAACCAGGTAATCGACCATCGTCATTTCATTCATTCGTCGTCCGCTGTTGAACATTGGTCGCTTCCATGGACTTGAGATCGTCACTCCATACTTATACGGTCTTGCCACTCTAGACCCTTTTTTCCACTTTTTTTTATACAACTTAGAATGGCAAACAAGCTGATGGCCCACCTGATGAAAAGTGGTAACCGTCGCCTATAGACATGAGCAGTACCATGGACATAACAGAGTGTACTGTTTCGCCCATGATACCCCGCATGCGTTGCCATTCCTGAGGACTCAGGTGTTGTTCCTCTGTACTCTGTAAATTCACGCCATAAGCCACCCTCAAACCGAAACACAGCCATGCAAACACAACACAACACATTGGATAATGGTCTTCAAGTTATGTGATTAGTCTATTGATTTTTATTTCCAAGTAACTAATTAATAGTAATTATTGTTGCTGTGGATATATGTATATATATCACAGAATATCTTTAGAAGAATTAAGAGTTTTAATAAGGAAAATTGAAGGAAGTTGAAAGGAATGAATGAAATGTCAATGGGCCAGCCATATTTTTTTTCTGTTGCTTCCCCTTGTGGAGTATCTGTAGCATACATATAAAATTATATATTTTATTTATTTTATAAAAACACGCAGACAAGCGTAAATATTTTATATATATATGTAATACGGTCGGTCGCGCACGCAGCTTGTTTGATGTACCTATGCGCGCGCAGGACGCGCAGGCGCTCGGCGACTACGGGTTGCGCGCGCAGGCCGCGCATGCGTATATGTGAGGAATGTTGTTGTTGGCGCCACGGCACACATATCGTCTTAATATTATACCTTTTTTATATTTTCTATTGTTCTCCTTCTTTACTATTATATTACTATTATTACTGTATTAATAAACGTTTACATTCTACAAATATCATTCTCTTAACATCATTCGCTTTATATCCATAGGCCCGGATATTAATTTCCAGGTTGTTAATCTGAGAGTGAATCTGAGAGCAGAGCTGTTCTTTCTTATTTATGCTTACATTCATCTCTCACATCCATCATCTGTATTATTGTTTTACTAATTCTTTTCGAGCATATTCCATTAAAATTTACAACATAGATTCTCTGAACCTTAGAATAAAATAACACCTTAGTCCTCAAGAATGGCAATAAATGGCGGGTATCATGGGCGAAACAGTATACTCTGTTATGTCTATGATACTGCTCATGTCTATATGAGACGGTTACCACTATCCATCAGGTGGGCCGTCAGCTTGTTTGTCATTGTAAGTTGCATAAAAAAAATTGTCCACCCTGAAATTGTCTGGTACTCGTTCCATGATGCAAGCCAGGTTTTGTGTACATGTAACATATGAGGGTACATATGTGTTTCTTTTAAAGACCCAAGCCCTTGAAAATTATTATAATTTTGCCAATGAATATATGATATGTGGAAAGTCTTTATATGCATATTTTTAATAACAATAGAGAGTACCCAAATCAAAGGCAAAGTGTGGAGTCATTGCAAATTAGAGTGTACGGTGAGAACACTGAGAATGTGGCTATAAAGAGGCATTCGTTACTAATTAGATATTTTATAAGTTTTATTCTTTCAATATATTTCAAGGTGAATATTTACCTCACATCGTTCAACTTTACAGATTCACCAACTGCTGAGGACATCGCCAAAGATGGTTTCGGAGAGATCATGGACAAGGGTCTATCATGGGACGACATACAGAAGGCCAGTAACGCTGTTCAACCGAGAATGTTCGGCAAACAAGGTAAGAATGTTTTGACATCAAATGATTTAGAGATATTAATCTTTTGGGTTCGGATTATTTATGTACGTATGTACGCAGCGATGGCGACGCACATGGCCGAGCGCAACCTGATCCTGGAGAGCCTGCGGCACCTGCACTCGTCGCTGGCGTCGCGGCCGGCGGACAGCGAGGCGGCGCGGCGGCCCGCCGCCGTCCGCAGCGAGCTGCTGCCGCACCAGCTGCACGCGCTCGCCTGGCTGCGCTGGCGCGAGACGCAGCGGCCCTGCGGCGGCATCCTCGGTAACTCCTCACTCCTACCTTCTACCTCCTCACTCCGTCCTGCACTCCTGCTCCCCGCCTGCCCTCCTCCATCTCTCCTACATTCCTCCCCCTCTTCTCTCCACCACGCTCCTCCCCTCCTGCACTCCTCCACACCTGTCGCACTGGCTGCACGCGCTTCTCTGTTCTGACGTGAAGCAGCGGCTTTGCGGCGGCATTCTCGGTAACTGGCTCCACTCCTCCTCCTTCTACATTCCTGTATTCGTCTGGCTGCGTGTCTTATAGTATGCTAGCAAAAAAGCAATGTAAATAACTCATATGTATGATTTAAAATATATTTTAGATTTCTCTTGTAAATAATAGCATTATGTCTCTTTGACACAATATTTAAACGTAGAATTTGTTTCAGCTGACGACATGGGTCTCGGCAAGACGATCACAATGATATCGCTGGTACTGAGTGACAAGGAGAACAATATCGACGACGACGACATCCAAGACGAGGAGCACGGCGGGAAAGGCAGCTCTAAAAGTATGCATTTTGTTCGTTGCTGCATTATTGTTCTCATTGCTTTCTTTGTACAGTTTTACATGTAAAAGAGCACATAGATTTTAGAATGACTTCATTCCATGTGGTTTCGGCATAGAATGGCTCACCCTTTGCTTTCTCGTGGGTGTCCTAAGAGGTATTTAAGGGAACTAAATGGTCGAGGGATATGCAGCAGTTTCCGTTTGAAAACGTCAAAGTCGAACTGCGGTTGCCAATCCGATGCCAAGCGTGGCAACTACTGCGAACCCCTAAGGGGAGGCCTATGTTCAGCAGTAGACAGTTGACGGTTGATATATAATAAATTTGGTGTGATTGTTAGACCCAGGACTGATCAAACAACCTATAAATTATGTTAGCCAATGTAATTTATAAATTTCTGTTTCTTGCTGCTTAATTTAAAAGGAAACTTTAGTCAATTCGGTTTTTCCAAAGGTCGTTCAACTACAGACGCAGGTGCAGAGTTGCTTAGACACGTATTTGCTGCATGGGAAACTAAAATGGATGTGATAGGTGTTTTTTGTGACCTTTCTAAGGCTTTTGATTGCGTTGATCATAATACATTGCTAAAAAAACTTGCTTTTTATGGCGTCAAAGACAATGCTTTAAATTTAATAAAATCTTATCTATCTGATAGAATACAGAAAGTGAAGATTAGCAACGCTACGTCTGACGGGTCACTTGTGCAAATGGGTGTACCTCAAGGATCTATTCTCGGTCCATTTTTATTCCTAGTTTACATTAATGATCTCCCATATGCCATGCAGGATAGATGCGGCATAGTATTGTTTGCAGACGATACTTCATTGATTTTTAAAGTTAATAGAATGACTAATAATTATGACGATGTAAATAGTGCTTTGCGGCGTCTCCTGCACTGGTTTACAACTAACAATCTTATGTTAAACGCTAAAAAAACAAAATGTGTTAATTTCTCTCTATCTAAAAGTTTTAATACTAATTGCAATATTAAATTAAATGACGAATCTCTCGAATTCATAGACTCTACTGTCTTTCTAGGAATCACACTAGATAATAAAACACAATGGGGTGCACAAATTCAAAGCCTTGCAGCGAAACTAAGTTCAGCAGCTTTTGCCGTGCGTAAAGTTAGACAGTACACTGATACTGATACTGCTAGATTAGTCTATTTTAGTTATTTTCATAGTTTACTCTCTTATGGAATATTACTATGGGGAAAAGCGGCAGATATTAAGAATATATTCATATTACAAAACGTGCCGTTCGAGCGATCTACTGTATGAAGAGTCGTGACTCATTAAGAGAGAAATTCAAAGAGGCAAATATTCTCACCGTTGCTTCTCAATTTATATATTCAAATATTCTATATGTTCATAAAAATCTTGACTTATTTCCAAAAAACAGCAATATTCATAATATTAATACTAGATTTAAAGACAAACTTGCTGTCCCCAAGTATCGTTTAGAAAAAGTTAATAGGTCTTTTATGGGAATAGGTATAAAAATTTACAATAAGATACCAAAGGATATGTTGGAATTACCCTTAAATAAATTCAAAACATCTGTTAAATCATATTTACTGAGCAAAGCCTATTACTCACTAAACGATTACTTGAATGACGAGTGTGCATGGCAATAGTTGTTCATGCACTGAATTTTCATTTAATGTTAGACATAGACACCTATATAAATATACATTGTAAATAAACTGGCTTTAAAAAAAAAAGTAATTCAATTGAGTTTCTTGCCAGTTCTTCTCAATTGGATCTATATACCGAACTGGACGGTAGGGTAAATATAAAATTATAATGTACAAATTTGACGTTCATAAGCGGCTAAAATGTCCTACATGAATAAATGATTTTTGAATTTGAATTTGAATTTAGATATTTTGTTTTTTTTTAGTTATATGATGATATCAGCCATACTGTCCACTGCTGAACATAGGCCTTTCCACCAGGCGGGGCGGCGGGGGGGGGGGGGATGTATTTCATTGAAATAAATCTAAAAGGAAGACTACACATATTCTGAAGTTTCAACCAAATCTGTTTGGGTGGAAAGGATTATTAGTAATTGTGAGGTTAGTTTTTGTAATGGGCTATTTGACCCCATTACTAACAATCCTTTCCCCGTCGATGAATTGAGAATGAGTGGTGATGGTGGACTGGCAGTGTGCCGCGGCGGGACGCTGGTGGTGTGCCCGGCGTCGCTGATGCAGCAGTGGGCGGGCGAGGTGCGCAAGCACTGCGCCGCGCACAGCCTGGCCGTGCGCCTGCACCACGGCGCCGCCCGCGACACGCTGCCGCGCCGCCTGGCCGCGCACGACCTCGTCCTCACCACCTACAACATCCTGCAGCGGGACAACCACAAGGTACAACTGGGGCTCTATATGGATTTTCCATACAATGGGGGAACCCATTTCCTTTCGCGTGGATGTAATTTTTTTTCACTTGCTACATTAATTTACACGACACGAGATAAGCTACACCGCGCGCTCTATGGCGCCTCTTCGTTAGTTTTCGTACGCTTGTGGCGTTGACCCCACACAACTGAGCTTGCTATATATATATATAGCAACGCAACAGATTATAAATTAATACATTAATAGAATAAATATTACATATATATCTCAAAGCTTTTGAATTTCTATAGAAAAATAAATAGTGATCAACAGGGCGTATGCGACATTGCGCGCGCATAACAAATGTGTATATTGTTATTCTTTTAAATACACAGACGTTTTAACAATTTAGTTGAATATTTTAATTACTAATTTCCCATAGTCCGAATTCACCGTTTCAGTTTTTGCCAACCTATCCTTTACACCTGTATATTTCCGTGCGTCCCGCAGAAAGGCGTCCTGATGCGCGTGTCATGGCGGCGCGTGGTGTTGGACGAGGCGCACATCGTCCGCAACCACAAGGCGGCCACGTCCAGCAGCGTGTGCGCGTTGCGGGCGGCGCGGCGCTGGGCCCTCACCGGCACGCCCATACACAACCGTGACCTCGACCTCTACGCGCTGCTCAAGTTCCTGCGCTGTACGCCCTTCGACGACCTCGCGGTCAGTACGACCCTCTACATCTCTACACCTACCTCACCTCACCGGGGGGAAAGGATTGCCAGTAATGGTGACTGAGAATCCCATTGCTTGCAAACTACCCAACTAGGTCGACCTCCTCGCGTCCTTTTTCAATGGTACCCCGCCTGTGTATGCAGATTGCGGGCAGAATTAATATCCAATATAATCCATTGGAAAAACCATGATTTCACTTCACTCATATTATTCTATAATCAATAGTTTGCTTAACAATACCTTCATTGTAGTCATATTCCTTTAAAATGTTTTAAATGAATTTAAACTTATATGAATTTTAACTTATATGTTTACAATTAATTAATTTTTATTTATTTTTAATTTGCAAAAGATGCTTTTTTAATTATACAGTACTATCATACCTACTTGTACAATAATTAGTCCTTCACCTTAAGGCTGTCTTGAAAAGATTGCTCTCAGCAATAAGACCGCCTTACTGTACTTATACAATTGTATCGTTGTGTTTGTAAATTGTCTTGTTTATTTCCTATATTGTATAATGCAAATAAAATATACTCATTCATTCATTCATAAAAATAAATTTATTACTATAATCTCTGATAGAGTAATTGCAGGCACATATCTGACTATTGTTGCTGCAATATAATACTATATAAGCTCACATTTATGTAAATATTTATGTATATGTATGTATGTAAATAAAAGTTGTCATTCATTCTATGAATGAAATTGTATGTACATTTTCTAGATGTGGAAAAAGTGGATTGACAACAAAAGTCAAGGCGGCCAAGAGCGGCTGAACACGGTGATGCGGTGCATCCTGCTGCGGAGGACGAAGCAGCAGCTGCAGCAGCGCGGGCAGCTCACCTGCCTCCCGGAGAGGACCGCGCACGAGTGCCTCGTCACCCTCACGCAGCACGAGATGAACGTGTACCAGAAGGTAACTTTATGCACTTAACATTGTGTGTTTACTGGCAATAAATGTTTCTATTCTATTACTTTATCTATACAACTTTTTTAAAAATAGTATACTGTGGGTTTTTTTACAACACTGGGGACAAACGAGCATACGGCTCACCTGATGGTAAGTGACTACAGCCGCCCGTGATCACCCACAACACCAACGGCATTGCAGGTGTGCTGCCGGCCTTTTAAAAAGGAATATGCTCTTTTCTTGAAGGTTATGATGTCGTATCGGTTCGGAAATACTGCTGCTGGAAGTTTTTTTTTTGATGGGTGAAAATAGAATGGTAACTCCGCCTGTGCTAACGGGATACGCTGGCGAAGCACCAGTAAAGGGTGATAGATGAGAATGAAAACAGGCCAGTTAGCCCATCATGATGAATTCATCAGGAATTAACCATGATAGTTTCCAGGGAGAACCGCGAGGAGTTCGACCTAGTTGGGTGGGTATATTGCTAGCAATGGGATTCTCAGTCTCCATTACTAACAATCCCTTTCCCTCCAGCTGCTGGAAGTTGATTCCAAAGAGTGGTTGTGCATGGAAGAAAGTGTCTTGAAAAACGCATGGTGGTAGTCTGCCACTCGTTCAGATGGTTGGGATGAAACTTTAGTTTATGGCGGGTTGTACTCTGGAAATAATTCCAATAGTTTGATATTGGAATTGAGAGTTATTCAACACTCGGATTGCAACATTAGTAAAATAATGATTCCATATTGTTCTAATAGATGTATATTATTGTAACATGCCAATGCTAAACGTTGCAAACCGATCCCAATTATAACCTAATTGTTATTTCATGAGTGCAATACAAAATTAATATTGGCAGTAGATGGGATAGATAGATAGATACTCTTTATTGTTTCCTCCAAAAGATTACAATAGTAAACTTATTATAAATATAAATAATTACAAGAAATAATCACAGTGAGAAAACAATGGGCGACCTTATCGCTAAGAGCAATCTCTTCCAGGCAACCTTTGGATGGAGAGGAGTAATTATAAACAATATGGGATTGATATCATATTAGATTTAACAGACCTACTTGCTGTTACTAGCCCTAATTTCATCTATTTGACTGCAATATATTGATTTATTTAGAAACAAAAAAAAAAATAACCTGTGTTCTCATTCCAAATACTCTCAAATCAAAATAAGTGGTTAGTTGACTTTGTTTTTTTTTTTTTGTTATTGGAACAAACTTTTAAATTATGTACTTTGGTAGTATGATGTACACAGAATATTGAATTGCAAGTATAATATTTAATTGTGTATTTACTCTTTATATATAAAAATAAATATATGTTCCACTTATAATATTTCGTTGTAAAAAAAATCTCTAAATAAAAGCCTACAATTAATAGATATGTTTGCTTAATTATATAAAACAACTAAACTATCAAATCTGCATTTTTCTTTATTACCTCCGCACCCAGTCGGCCTACAATCAACAACTGTTACAGGTGCTGGTGTTCTCCAAGACGCTGTTCGCGCAGTTCCTGCACCAGCGCGCGGAGAAGCAGGCCGACCTGCAGGGCTTCGTGCCGCCCGACAAGGACTCCGCATACACCAAGATGCACAAGAAGATGATCGCGCTGCAAGGTCATCTTGTTATACTGATTTTTTAGTGAATTTCTCTATATTATTGTAGTGTGTATTAATTTACATTTATACACACTACAATAATATATTTTAGTGACCATTAATTTACATGAGTTTTATGATTTTCTAAATGATTTTCGATAGGTGAAAATTCTCAATTTGTTTGTATTTTATTTAAGGTGATTTTACTGTAGGGGTGTGTGATGTTTGTGGGTACATCATTAATGTATGACATTTGTAAATGTGTACCTACCTCTCAATCGGGATTTGTCAGTCTGTTGCCGGCATTAAAACGTATAGCTGATTAACTGTGTATATATTTGAAACTATATCCCTAAACAGTATATTTTGGCGACGAGGTATCAAACTCAAGCGTGCATTTAGTCATTTAGTGTAGTGGAAGTAAAATGGCTAGTAGTGGAAGCATGTTCGATGGCAGTCTCAGCTTCGATCATAGAACGCAAGAATGGAGCATTTTTCAAAGCCGTTTTGTACAATATTGTGCAGCGAATGATATCGACGATAACACGGACAAGGCAGGGATAAAACGCCGTGCTTTGTTACTCACGGTGCTGGCTGAAGATACCTACCGAATAGCGATCGATTTGACCTTCCCGACCTCTGTGGAGGTTATCGACTACAAAGCGTTGATTAAAATTTTAAATAATCATTTCAAAAGTAAAAAAAAGGTCCTTTGGCGAGCGGCTCAAATTCAACTCGGCACAACAACGACCGGGTGAGGAGTTAGCGGAATGGGCAGTTCGAGTGCGGAATTTGGCTAAACATTGTGGGTACAAAACTGAACTGGAAACAATGCTTCGAGATCGTTTTGTTCTCGGTATGGTGCCTTCGAAGGAGAAAGAAAAGTTATTTGCTGAAAGTGTCGAAACTTTGACCTTTAACCAAGCTTTGGAGAACGCTCAAGGTGTGCAGTGTGCGCGGCAAGCATTGCAAGGGGTGTATATAGCAATATTCCGTTGCTAGCAATATACTCAACCAGGTCGACCTCCTCGCGGTTCCCCCTGGAAACTATCGTGGTTAATTCCTGATGAATTCATCATGATAGGCTGACTGGCCTGTCTTCATTCTCACCCATCACCCTTCACTGGTGCTCCGCCAGCGTATCCCGTTAGCGCAGGCGGGGTTACCATACCATTTATACCATACCATATATAGCAATATCTATATATATTAGTTACAATATCTATGTACTGGTCCAATAACGAATATGTTAACAGTCTGTTATCCTAAAAATAATATTGGCTAACAGACTTAACATATTCGAAAATAGATATTCGATCGATATGGGCGATATCGAAATGGGAAACGATCTTTTTTCCATCATCAATGTCCAGGGAAACCCAATATATAGGTATGCATGTTACTCATGCCTATACTGAACTAGGTGTAGTGTTAGTTTGCAGAAGTCCTTATCACTGGTTAGTAGATTACAATTATTTTATTTAGTCCAGCTACCATTTGGTCGTTTTCCTTTTGATGTTTATCATTGAGGGTATTTTGCCAATAGTTGCCACGCTTGACAGGCGGTTGGCAACCGCAGTTAAGCTTTTGGTGATCTTTTTAAGAAGGATGCTGCTGCCTGTCCTTCAACCATTTAATTCCAGTCGCATAAATAAGCATAAACTAAAAAAAAAATCACCTCGGCAGGCGCGAAGCCAGTGAAGTCGCATGAGATCTTAGTGCTGCTGCTGAGGCTGCGGCAGGTATGCTGTCACTGCGGCCTCATCGCGGCCATGCTGGACGCGAATGCGGCCGTCGACGGCAGCGAGGATCCTGGCGGGCAGGACCTCCTCGAGGAGCTCAACAAGCTGTCCATTGAGGACTCAAAGTCGAAGAGGAAGGTATCGTATTATTATCCTGTTTGGTCTTAACGGCTTTATTTTTTAATATACATAAATAAAAATTAATGGCTAGATGTGTTGCTAGGTATAAAACTGAGCAATGACAATTTTTTTTTTCATTTTGGCAAAATTTTTTCACAAACATGCTTTGACATCTAAGGAAAATTACTTAGCACTTATGAAAATAAAAAAAAAAAAGTTGTAAAAAATGTAAAAATTCCATTTTTATATTTACCATATAAACTGATCTTATCTGCCATTTCAAACACTTCAATCAAATATTGACAGAACAACGTCTGTCGCCGTGTGGTCCCGGCATAGAATGAACCACCCCTTGCTTTTCTGTACGTGTAGTATATAGCAATATTCCATTACTAGCAATATACTCAACCAGGTCGACCTCCTAGCGGTTCTCCCTGGCAACTATCATGGTTAATTCCTGATGAATTCATCATGATGGGCTAACTGGCATGTTTTCATTCTCATTTATCACCCTTCACTGGTGCTCCGCCAGCGTATTCCGTTAGCGCAGGCGGGGTTACCATACCATTTTCACCCATCAAAAAAAAAAAAAAACACTCGACATCTGTACATACAGCAAACATATTAGAATCTAACTTAGCAAAAAGTGATATAGTTGTACAATAACTAATTATTTATCGACGGTTATATTTGCTAATCAACTTTACAGCTTATTACCAGATATTAAGTCATAAAATCGATTTCCAAATGAAATTAGGAGGTTTGCAAATTTAACCGAATTACATAATTTTAACACAATACCTAAATAGAAACTATATCTTTTTTAATAAAAAAAAATCCAAATAGGTTCACAAATGACGAAGTTATGATGTAACACATAAAAAAAAAATTCAACAGAATTGAGAATCTTGCTTCTTTTTGAAGTTGGTTAATAACAATTTTTTTTTTGTCTCTATTAACAAGTAATATGTGAATGAGTACAAAATTTGTATAGGACTTGGTAATTTCCAAGAATATTTAATTAATTAACTTTTTCAAGGTACAATCCACTAATCAACATACTGTCCACAGAGTGATAGCAAACCTGATGATGAAGAAGAACAGGAGGGTCCAGAGGAGGGCACGAGTGTGGCGGAGGCCATCCGTTCCGTCCTCTCGCCGAACAATCCCGTGTTCGACCTCACACGCCTCTCTTCCAAGATACAAGCCGTCATGGACTGTCTTCACAAGAATGTTTTTGCCAATAAGGGTATTCATTAATTCTCTTATTTCTTTTGTTACTTGATTCGTTGCATTATTATTTTTAAAAAGTTATGTTCATTTTTTATTGGAATTTTTTAGAAGAAGACTTCTCGAAAACAACAAAACAAAGTGAGTTCATTATTTCCTAAGAATAAGGAATTACATGGAAGGATTTTTTTTTTATACCATTGAGGTGCCAAACAAGCATACGGCCCACCTGATGGTAAGCGGTTATCGAAGCCTATGAACGCTTGCAATACCAGAGGTTGCGCGATGTCGACCCTTTTTTTTTCTCCCCTTTTGAAGAACCCCATGCTGTAGTCTCTTGGGAGAACCTCGGCAGGGAGCCTTTGTACAAAAGTCGATTGCTTGGGTACCTCTGACCCATTCGTGTTTCAAGCGTGAAGCAGTTGTGTTTGCATGGCTGTTTCGTTTTGAAGGGTGGGATATGGCGTGAATTTACTGAGTACAGAGGAATAACACCTGAGTCCTCAAGAATGGTAACGCAATATGACAAATTCACCAAGAATTACCTATGGTAGTTTCCAGTGGGACTGTATAGAGGAATTTTTTTTAAAGGATGATAATCGAATGGATGCTTTTGTAGAATTGCCTGCGCTTACGGTATACGCTGACGGAACACCAGTGAGGGATGATAGGTTAGAATGAAAAGACAGATCAGTTAGCCCGTCGTGATTAATATACCTGGAATGCAGGAGGATGGTGTCCAGGGGGACCTCGTGAAGGGAAACCTGATAGGGTACATTGCTAGCAATGGCACTGGTAGGCATTACTAATGATCCCTTCCCCCGACTATTAAGAAGTCATCAGATTCTATGTACTTTCTTAGTTATCATGTTAAAACTAACTGCAAGCATATGGCCAGAGGTAGGTGATCAATTAATTTAGCTGGACGTCACCAGGCGAGAAAGCGGTGGTGGTGTCGCAGTGGACGTCGGTGCTGAAGGTGGTGGAGCGCGAGCTGCAGCGCGCGCACATCCGCTGCGTGACGCTCAGCGGCGCGGTGCCCGTGCCTGCACGAGCCCAGCTCGTCGATGCCCTCAACAATCCACAATCCGACGTCAGGGTGAGTGCTGCGAGGAGGTTATAACAAAGACTTTAAAAAAAAATGGAATATTTAACCCCGCTTGAATTATTTAATGGGTAATAATGGAATGGTAAAAATGCTAAAAAAACAAAATGTGTTAATTTCTCTCTGTCTAAAAGTTTTAATACTAATTGCAATATTAAATTAAATGACGAATCTCTCGAATTTATAGAATCTACTGTCTTTCTAGGAATCACACTAGATAATAAAACACAATGGGGTGCACAAATTCAAAGCCTTGCAGCGAAACTAAGTTCAGCAGCTTTTGCCGTGCGTAAAGTTAGACAGTACACTGATACTGATACTGCTAGATTAGTCTATTTTAGTTATTTTCATAGTTTACTCTCTTATGGAATATTACTATGGGGAAAAGCGGCAGATATTAAGAATATATTCATATTACAAAAACGTGCCATTCGAGCGATCTACTGTATGAAGAGTCGTGACTCATTAAGAGAGAAATTCAAAGAGGCAAATATTCTCACCGTTGCTTCTCAATTTATATATTCAAATATCCTATATGTTCATAAAAATCTTGACTTATTTCCAAAAAAACAGCAATATTCATAATATTAATACTAGATTTAAAGACAAACTTGCTGTCCCCAAGTATCGTTTAGAAAAAGTTAATAGGTCTTTTATGGGAATAGGTATAAAAATTTACAATAAGATACCAAAGGATATGTTGGAATTACCCTTAAATAAATTCAAAACATCTGTTAAATTATATTTACTGAGCAAAGCCTATTACTCACTAAACGATTACTTGAATGACGAGTGTGCATGGCAATAGTTGTTCATGCACTGAATTTTCATTTAATGTTAGACATAGACACCTATATAAATATACATTGTAAATAAACTGGCTTTTAAAAAAAAAAAGTAATTCAATTGAGTTTCTTGCCAGTTCTTCTCAGTTGGATCTATATACCGAACTGGACGGTAGGGAAAAAAATAAAATTATAATGTAAAAATTTGACGTTCATAAGCGGCTAAAATGTCCTACATGAATAAATGATTTTTGAATTTGAATTTGAATAACCCCGCCTGCGCTATCGTATAGGTAAGGATGAAAGCAGATCAGTTAGCCCATCGTGACGACTTCCACTAGAATTAACCACGATGGTTTCCAGGGGGAACCACGTGGAGGTCGACCTGATAGGGTATTTTGTTGGCAATGGATCAGTTTTTTTTTTGGATGGGTGAAAATGGTATGGTCACCCCGCTTGCGCTAACGGAATACGCTGGCGGAGCACCAGTGAAGGGTGATAGATGAGAATGAAAACAAGCCAGTTAGCCCATCATGATGAATTCATCAGGAATTAACCATGATAGTTTCCAGGGAGAACCGCGAGCTCGACCTGGTTGGGTATATTGCTAGCAATGGGATTCTCAGTCTGCATTACTAACAATCCCTCTCTCCCCGGCAATGGATCAGTTAGACCCCATTACTAACAATCTCCTCAATATAAAGAATCACATATAAAATGCTATTAAATAACCGATCAGTTGAATTGGTTTAAGTGTTATAAAGGTTTTTTTTTTTGACGGGTGAAAATGGTATGGTAACCCCACCTGCGCTAACGGGATACGCCGGCAGAGCACCAGTGAAGGGTGATAGATGAGAATGAAAACAGGCCAGTTAGCCCATCATGATGAATTCATCAGGAATTAACCACGATAGTTTCCAGGGAGAACCACGAGGAGGTCGACCTGGTTGGGTATATTGGTAGCAATGGGGTTTTTAGTTTCCATTAATAACAATCCCTTTCCCCCTTTATAAAGGTATTAGGTACGTAATTATCATTTAAGTATATAATATAAGACCGGATTCATGAAAAGTTCTAATGGAAATGATATACGGGAACTACTTAGAATCGGGCAACGCCGCGGGAAACGACTAGTCTATAATATGTACATTGTTACAGGTGATGTTGCTGTCGCTCTGCGCTGGAGGCGTTGGCCTCAACTTGTGTGGTGCTAATCACCTGCTACTGCTTGATCCCCACTGGAACCCTCAGCTAGAGGAGCAGGCCCAGGATAGAATATACAGAGTGGGACAGCAGAAACCTGTACATATATATAAGTAAGGACTTTTTACTTTTTTTTTTTTTTAAACTACTGATACTAAATGCAACATAGTAAATCGACCATCTGTAGATGTAATGAAGACTTTTAAAATAATAATAATAATAATTCTTTATTTGGAACAAAAACATTGGTTACAATATTATTGAAAAACGATGATATCCGCAGAAGTATAAAACTGTGTCGCGAATATCAACGCCCTCCTCCTCATTGCAGGATTCCAAAACAGACATTTAAAATGTATGGTAGCTAGTTACATCAGTGAAGACATTTTGTTATATTTAGCAACCAACTACAATACTAATAAACTACAATAATTTTAAAATGCTTACAGCATTAATACTTCCTTTACAATTAATTTATTAATTAAATTAAATATATGTATATGTCTATAGTATATTATAAAGAGGAGAGATTTGATTCAAATCAAATTCTTTATTTTAAAAAAATACGGGTTATTATTTTTTTTTTTTTTTAATATATTTTCGCCATTAGTAAACACAGTGCAGGGTACACTTATATATTTTTTAATTTAATTTAAAAAATCAGGCTTTTAAGGGTTAAACATCTACTTATACGAAGTCGAATCGCTGGTCAAGAATATGTTATGGATATAATTGCACAAGGTGATATAAAATGCACCAAAACAATACTTTCGTTTACTAGGGAAAAGGCAAACACGCACGTACGCTTTACCGAAACTGTGTATGTAAATGTGTCTAGCATTTCGATATATGTATTTTTTTTTACTGAAATTTTGTTAGTCGCTCGATTAAAATTATTAATCTATACTTATAATAAATCTGTAGAGAGGTCAATTTTGTACTTGAAATATATTTCCAAAATAACTATCAGGGGGTGTCAAAAATGCAATCAGTGAAATTTTTGTCTGTCTGTCTGTATGTTCGTTATAGAAACGAAAACTACTCGACGGATTTTAACGAAACTTGGTAAAATTATTCTTCATACTCCTGGGCAGGTTATAGTACTACTTTTCATCACCCTACTATCAATAGGAGCAGAGCAGTGAGGGGAAATGTTGGGAAAACGGGAGAAGTTATTCCATTTTTAAGCTTCCGTCGCGTGTGCAGCCTTAATGGCCACTTTTTAAAATGTAAAAATGTCCACCCGTGCGACGCCGGGACGGACCGCTAGTTATTAATAAATGCCAAATAAATGTTACTACCCACAAATATCAGCAGTCCCCGCGTCGGTTTAGTCTGTAAATATATCGAAAGATCTTCCCTCCGGAAATGAATCCGCGTCGTGTCACCTAGTAAGCGTCACGCGGCTAATTTTCCCCTTTGTTACAACTGACGGCCATTGTCACGGATATATCGAAAGTGGACACTGGCAGTGGACGCCTACTGCCAAATAGTTATTGTATAGCTTCAGGAATTTGGCTGGGACACTAATAGTAATGTTAATTTATATATAACACGAATTTGTATTTATTTTAATGTATTTTTATATATATATATGCTAGTTATTTTGGCAAGTGGAGTTGACCGCTCTCCTTATGGAAAGGGATCAATGTGATATCTTTCGTTTATCTTTAACTTTACTACAAATAAATACGACACGGTAACCTTCAATAATAGGTTTTACTGAATTAGGTGTTTACGGAAGTCCATATCGCTAGTTAGCTGATTACAGTTATTTTGTTTAATTCCACTACCATTAGTATTCGTGCGTCAACTAACTCTCGAGGAGTGACTACTCCTTCTTTTGTTTGGAGTTGGTTGAAAATGTATGTCATTTCAAATTTAAATAACGCTTGTTTAAAACTATACACATTTTATGAATGAAATACTCGCATCATTTTTATGAGCTCCCGATATAGTACGCGTAGAAAAAGACTTGCTTAGTGACAGATTTATTTGCTTATAAATCTTTACGTCCACTGCCATAATCAATCCATAATAAATAAAATAAAAATAATTTTTATTTAAGTAAACTTAATTATAACCATTTTGAATGGTATTTTTTATTTTTTGTAAATCTATCGCTCAGTTTAGAATTCAATTTCCGCTGAGAAAATCGGGCATTTGTACTAAAAATAGAACACACCCAGACCAATACAAACATAATTATGTATACAAATATTTATATTATGCGACCATTGGAAGGTGAAGTAGTGTTTTACCGCTACACCACCACATACACACACATGTATGACTTGTTCATTGTTTAAGTAAAATTTTTTTTAATTTATAACCAGGTTCATGTGCGTGGATACAGTGGAACAGACCATCAGGAAGCTGCAGCAAGCGAAACTGGAGTTAGCTGATAACATGCTGACCGGTGCCCGCAACAACAACGCCTCCAAACTAACTATAGAAGATCTCAAAATGCTTTTTAATATGGGCTAGTGAATAGAGTTTACCCAAAGACAAAAATATTGAAATGTTTTTTTTTTCTGACACACCGGAAATATTGTATCGACAGATTTGAAAATATTTTCTCACGGATTTAGAATCTAAAAGTGAAGGAAGTCCAAAATAAACGTTCGCACTGTTATATCTGGGTCGGTGTTGAAATGTATCCAAAAATAATAAACCAACTTGTTAATTTTAACCATTGTACCAGTTTATAGTTTATTAATTATTAACATTGATTGTATTTTAATGCAAACTTTATATTCAAATGTGTTCAAACAACCAAATCTGTTTTATTCTCTCTGTTATATGGTGATGTTTAAAATATGTTTGCACTGTTTTTATTAAGTTGAAGTTATAACACAAGCAGCGAATTACGCTAAAAATTGTACCTATACGTCCCAATATCTTCCGAATTCAGTAAAGATATAGTATGTTTAAATTCTACAACTGCTGATGTTATATTTCCGATATAATAAATAACAATTGTAATATTAATACCCTGACAGATGTTAATAGATATAAATAAATATAGGTAGTAGTTATATTTTAATAATGAACAAATATAATATGATGATTATTTTCAATATTAATAAATTCGTTTTTTATAAATTATTTGTTTGTTATTTTTTTCTTCTCACAATAATTTTCGTGCTCGAATATATGGAATATTCCAGCATATATATATATATATATATATATTAATTGGAATATTCAAACTTCCTACATAAGTGACAAATGAATCTATCGGGGGAAAAGGGATTGTTAGAAATGGAGTTTGACAGCCCCATTGCTAGCAATGTGCCCTATTAGGTCGACCTCCACGTGGAAACCATCGTGAACAATTCTTGTTGAATTTATCACGATGGGCTAACTGACCTACTTCATCCTCACCTATGATCCTTCACTGGTGCCCCGCCGGTGTATACCGATAGTGCGGGTGGGGCTACCGTTCCATTATCATCTTTAAAACAATGAATCTATCTCGAACAGGAAATGACGTAGTGTCTTGTTCTTTAACATATAGATGTATATGTTAAAGAAAACGTATCTGCAGATGTATCATTATTTGTCCACTGCTGTATCGTCATGCGGAACGGTCATGCGCCACCTGGACGCAGGTGGCAGGTGACTCCATGCAAAGGGAGATTATTGTATTTGTTTTTATTATATCTTTTATTTGTTTAAAAATCTAACCGAACCGATTTTTATGAAATTCCTATAGCACCAATTTGTAAGTCTCAAATCGTAAATCTTTTTGCAACTGACAGTTATGTAGTACAACAAAAATACAACCGATTTGAAAATATCCATCCTTTTTGAAGTCGATTGAAAATAGTACTGAATAGTAGGGACGATTGTTAGTACACATATACATTTAAATCACGCCTATCTCATGTTTGGGTAGGCAAATCAATAGAATACTTAATATTTTAATTCAACAATATAATGACTGGGACTGACGTGCCTAAAAGGACAAAAGTCTCTAAATTAAATAAAAGAAAATATAATGACATAGACAAAACCCGTGGTGCTGGAGAAGGATGGAGAAAATTAGCTGGAGGGATCGAATTAGCAATGAGGAGGTCCTGCTTAGGGTTAAGGAAAAACGACAAATTATTAAAACTATTGAGGACAGAAGGGAAAAAATGTTAGGACACTTGATACGACACGACGAACTTATGAACATTATAATAGAAGGTAAGATAGAAGGAAGGAGGGGAAGAGAGAGACCGAGACATAGTTACATCAGGCAGTTCAAGGAAGGAGTTGGTGTCGTGTCGTATCAAGAGGTGAAGAGACTCGCTGAAAATCATAGTGAGTGGCAAGAGCTCCACCGACAAGAGCGCAGCTCTTAAATGGATAGATAGATAGACAAAACCCAACTCTCAAATAAGTTTTTACAGTTTATTGGTGCCATATTTCTTTTATTCTGTTGCGGTGGGCCCTATAATGTATATCACAATAAAGGCAAATTTACCAAACCTAATAGCAATTTTTTTAAAAGGTCAAAAGAAAATGGTATTCCCATCTGCGTTATCTACCAAAGGTGAATAAAAGAATGAATTCAATCAATAACTATGATGACAATAATGAATTCAAGAAAAAAACTATGATGGCTTCCAGAGGAAACCTCATGGAGATGACCAAGTATACCCTGTATTGCTAACAATGGGGTTGTTAAACTCCATTATTAACACTCCATTTTCTTCAAATCCCACAAATCCCATTGATTGTACGTTGCGCTAAAGATCTGGACAATGTCCAGATATTTTAGCAAGTGGACATCCCTAATGTTGACCAAAAGGGGAAGGAATTGTTAATACTGCGAACTACCAGTCCCATCGCTAGCAATATACCTTGTCAGGTCGATCTCCACGTGGTTCCCCCTGGAAACCATCGTGCTGAATTCCAGGTGCATTCTCACAATGGGCTAACTAACCTGCCTTTTCATTATCACCTATCATCCCTCACTGGTGTCCCGTCAGCGTATATCATTAGAGCAGGTGGGGTTACCATTTCATTATCATCAATTAAAAAAAGCCATATCCTGACTATAATTTTTTTTAATGATTCTACAGGTATTATTTTTATATAATGTGTTTTTCTGAAAAAATGTTTTATTAACATCTGACCATTATTATTGACAATGTTGCTCTGGTTTTCAATAGTATTTGTTTGTTTAATTTTGTTTATATTTGTTTAATTTTAGTATTGTCTAATTTTGTGTTTCGTTGACTTGTATTATATTTTGTGCAAATTCTAGTGGCTACCAATTTACTATTTAAGTATATAATTATGTATTATTTTAGCTGTTTGTTTGCCTTAAATAAATAAATAAATAAACATTGTCCACTATTCATCACCCATCAACTACGATCAGTTTTACTTGGCCTAGGTAATTATTTCTTATGAAATAAACATCAATTTCTGGCCGCAATATGTAGTTTGCAGTGTCAAGATGCTCGTAAAATGTACATTATATTATTTTGGCAAGTGGCCGTATATTACTTTGCAATATACGCCAAACTAGTATAGGATCCGTGATGGACAAACATTCACTGAGTTGCGACATGAAACTTTTATCTATTAATAGCGGTAGGATTCCCGTTGGGACGCGCTCGAAGTTTGCCATTGACCGCGGTCGCAGCCGTGTCGGTTACTCGTATATTAATAAATAACGTAATAATTTATATTTCGATAATGAGCATAGAGCGACGGATGGGTCCGGCGTCCACGCATGTGAGCAGACGTCTCTTCGCCTTTATAACGATTTTCACAGGCGTTATTTGTATATTTGGAGGTGAGAGTGATAGTGTTCTCATATAAAAACTAACATACATGTTTTCGTGCGTACATAAATCGGATAATGTCAGATATGTCCCACTAAATACATTTTCGACTGTAAAATATATTGTTGTTGAGGGGTGGAATTAATTCTTGTATATTTTTATCAGTTGTTTTATAATTATTATTTATGATTTTTACAATTTTTTAATTGAAATGTGACACAACACTCGAGATATTGGTTTTATTTTTAAGTATTATTTTTACTTAACCACAGAATAGTAACATAAGTAAAGATAGCTGTCAGCATAGAGTATACATTTAATTTTTTTTTTAATTACTCGACTATTTTTAACAATTGTGATAAGGTTCCGAATGCCTCGACGAACTATGTAGAACTGTGTTCAAAGCAACAAAGGCTCGAAGGATCGGAAGGCTAAAATGCAAAAAAGATGAAATGTTTTCGAGTGACTGTTTTACACAGGCAGATGGAAAGACAACCTCAAATGTGTTGAGGTCAATGGACGCAGATAGTTATTGTTTAATTAGTGAAAATGAAATGATACTCTAGGAGGATACCACTGAGCGATGATAGGTGAAGATGAAAGCAGGTCATTTAGTCCATCGTGATGAATTTAAAAATTAACGATGTTTTTTAGGGGGAATTGCGTGGAGGTTGCCCTGATAGGGTGTATTGCTAGCAATGAGGCTGTTAGAAATTACTCATTATCCCTTTTCCCCCTGCAGATAGTTTTGGACCGTTACTTTTGGTAGCCATAGGCTGATGATAGAAGTTGAACAATAATTGTCTAGGCTGAAGTGGTGGTTGTAACTAGGAATATAAGTGAATATTTTGACGTCTTCAGGTTATTAGAGTATTTTTTTACATGAAATACCATGAACATTACTATAACACCTATATCTCCTTGCCGTTTTCGAGGATATTATGTTTTCATCCGTATCAGTCTGTGATTTAAATATAACAACTGAATGTAAAGAAAGCCATCTTGTAACTTTATTCACCACTTTTTTTTTTATTATAATCTAAATACAAACGGGCGGTGGTCTAAACGGATCAAACTTTTTTTTTAATATAATTTTTATAGTCATTGTATTTCTGTAGTTGCATTTTGTACTTTACTAATATATTCCAGGGTATATGCTGGGCCGCATGACGCATCCAGAGCTCAAACACACCAACGATGTAATCTCAACAAATTTGACAATCGCAGCGGACAACCTTTTCAAGCGGGCCAAACGAATATCGCCGAAGGCCATTCACCACAACGATCCAGAAAAAATACAAACAAAACTTTCAAACATATTCAACTGTGGAATGGAGTGTGGGACAATAAATAAATATAATTTAGTAGATTATGTCAAACATTCGATTAATTACGAAGTGTCTATAGTAATTAGGTTAATCAATAACGCGACTTCATATTTGGAATCACTAAGATGATATAAGTAGTGATGCCTAAACAATTCCTATGAAAGCAGAAGAACTTTGTGATAAATTAGGCTAATCAATTCCTATGTCGTTATTATAGAATAACTAATGATAATAATAAGTATATTAATTAGTACTTAGTTTTTTTTTCTTTATACAACTTAGAATGGCAAACAAGCTGACGGCCCACCTGATAAAAAGTGGTAACCGTCGCCTATAGACATGAGCAGTACCATGGACGTAACAGAGTATACTGTTTCGCCCATGATAACCCCCATGCGTTGCCATTCCTGAGGACTCAGGTGTTATTCTTCTGTACCCAGTAAATTCACGCCATATCCCACCCTTCAAACCGAAACACAGCCATGCAAACACAACTGCTTCACGGTTGAAACACGAATACACTCTGGTAATTATTATTAGGAATTTAAGGATAAAATGATTTTATTATTTTTGTAAATTATTTACACAGAACTATATTAACATAATAGATAAATAGTACTTAGAAAGTAATCAAAAATGTAGATATACCTTAGATTACATAGATAGAGAGTCCCCATATAACTTACGCACTTCACTAAAAACTAGTTAACTTTTTTATTCTTGTCTGCGTAAATTGGGATACCAGTATCTACAGTTAATACTATGTGAAAAAAATTATACTATAAGATTATATACAAAAATAAATTAACACAAAATTCTTACCTATATATTTAAAAGAATAAGATAATCAGTGCATAATGATTCTTTATAATGCTTATCTTGAATGAATAATTTTGAAAATGACTACTATTTTAATTAACACATGTTATTTATAAGCAACACGTACATAAGTATATATTATATCAGATACAATAGTTCCAAATTAAAATAATAAAAAAAAAACCTACTTGATCTGAGTCTTTTTTTTAAATTAGTGATAATAGAATGGTTACCCTGTCTGCGTTATTGGTATACGTTGACGGGGCACCAGTGAGGCATGATAGCTGAGGATGAAACTAGGTCAGTTAGCCTATTGTGACGGATCCGACAAGAATTAATCACGATGATTTCCAGGGGGAACCGCGTGGAGGTCGATCTGACAGGGTATATTGCTAGAAATGGGGATTACTGTCCCCGTTACTAACAATCCCTCTCCCTCCGACCTGACCTGGATCAGCCAAATCGCAAATTAGCTGACATTTTTTTAATACTTGATTCTCTAGATCCTCACAATGAGCTAACTGACTTACTTCATCCTTAAATTGGGGGGAAAGAGATTGTTAGTAATGGAGACTGAGAATCCTATTGCTAGCAATATACCCAACCAGGTCGACTTTCTCGCGGTTCTCCCTGAAAATTGTCATGGTTAATTCCTGATGAATTCATCATGATGAGCTAACTGGCCTGTTTTCATTCTCATCTATCACCCTTCACTGGTGCTCCGCCGGCGTATCCCGTTAGCGCAGTCGGGGTTACTATACCATTATCAGCTATTAAAAAAAGGGTTGTAATAGATACTAAGTGTTAAGAATAAATTATCAAATTACCTGTGACAAGTTTATTTCATTTTAGAAACTACTCTATATTTTTCATCTAAAACATTCTGAAGTCTAAAGAAAGACTTCGATCTGTATACGAGTATATAGGTAGTACATACTTTTTTAATGGACCCCCCCCCCATCGTAGTACATACTATTATCTATTACTTATACCGTGGTATGAGATTGCTCTAAGTTTGCCAAGCTTTTTTTTTAAAGCAAGTAATCACTGCGTTATATGTAAAGTGCCTAGTACTTGCTTGTCTTATTTTTTAAAAACTTCAAAATATTTTAAATTCCTTGGTTTAGTTTAATTTTCCCGCCAAGCAGCCGCCATAGAGTAAGTAATCACTTAGTTATAAGAGTTGGCACCGGCCTTATGTCAATAGAATCTAAAAAAAAATATTTATAAAATATAAAAATAAATAAGTTTCAAATTTTACGAAAAACATGGACAAAAAAATAAGTACCTGTTTTGCTTTATTTTACTCTACTATAATGTCGTTCTGTTACATAAAAACTAAAAAAAACTCGTATTCATTTCTAAAGTATATATGTATATAAGGGAAATGATCCTAGAATGACTAAAACTACTGTTTAATAAACTGTATTGTATATGTGTAATAAAAACACTGTATAAATAATAAAATCATTAAATTTATTTAAGGAGCCGTCATTGTTAGATATTGACAAACCAAAGAGAATAAAAAAGTTGTCATTCACAATTACATATATTTTAAAAGACGTTTTAACGAAAAACTAGAATATACAAATATAATTAATTACTTAATTATTTATATCAGTGCTATTTATAAAAATGTACATTTATAAAAATAACGTGAAGCGCTTTTTTTGAAATGTCGCATAACTTTGAATATCATAGTGCCTATACAAGATTGTCGTTACGGAAAAATAGTTTCGTCATGAGTATATATTTTTTTATCAAGTTCCGAAATCAATTGCATCAGTCTTACTAAATAATTTTGAAATAAATTATAAATATACTATGTTGTAAGTATGGGGATGTTGTATTTAGTAAATTTTACCATATACATGAGAATTAATATTATTGTATTAAATTATTAAAGAATCATTTAATACTTTATAATATTGACTGAAATATTTATATAGTGTTAATAAATCAACGTTTCTGAACTGTACTAGGGAGTGAGTTTTGATTTGACTACAACCACAGTTAACCATTGGTTTAAAGATACGCGTCCTTTTTATTTTAGCCAATAGACAACCAGAATTGAAGATACAAATATGTCAAATTGATTAAACAACCAATTAAAGAGTGGAACAGCCGGCTTAAACCCGGCGTCAAGTACCGAATGATTCATTTCTTTCTTCTCCCCGCCATTTTGTAACAAGCAGTCTACAAATTTAATCTCGTGCGTAATATAAAGTTTAGTGAATATTTTGTGAAAAAATAGTGTTTACGATTTATTTTATATACAATGGTCCCGGTGAGTTATTATTAAAACTTTGTTTAGTATCGGTACAACCGCGAAGGCCACTTCTTAACTAAAATCATGTTGCAGCAAACGAAAGTGTTCGTCGGTAGCCTGCCGCAGGGCTCGAAGCCCGAGGATCTTCGCAAGCTCTTCGAACGCTTCGGGATCGTCACAGAATGTGATATCATGAACCGGTGCGGCTTCGTGCACATGCAGACGGAGGAGCAGGCGTCGGCCGCTATCCGTAGCCTCAATAATACCACGTTCAACGGCGCCGTGATCTCGGTGGAGCGGGGCCGCATCAAGGAACGTGGGCAGCGTGGCGGCGGACGCGGCGGGATGCGCGGAGGTATGCGTGGCGGCATGGAGCGGCGCGGCGGCGGGCCCATGCGCGGCGCACGCGACGCGCCCTACATGCGCGAGGCGCGGCCGCTCGGCCACATGCGCGCCGGCGACATGCGCGGCCCGCCGATGCCCGCCATGGGCATGGGCGCGCGCAACGGCATGGGTTATGAGCGTGGACCCGAGCGAGCGCCGGCTGGCTATGACGACCGCTACAACGGCTACGGCGGCGAAGACAGGCGCGGCTTCGCGCTCATGGACGGTCGTGCGCGCGATCCTTACGCAGCTCCGGCGCCGCTGTACCCGGAGGAGCGGCGCGGCTACGGCGTGGAGGAGATCCCCGTGCTGGACAGCTACGAGCGCCGCGCGCCGATGTACGACGACCGTGAGCTGCTGGACCGACGCGCACCCATGCGCGGCGCGCCCATCCCCATGGTGGGCGGCTACGACCGCCCCGCGCCGCGCGCAGCGCCCATGGGCAATGGCGACATGTTCAGCAGGCGCTCCCCCATGTAAGTCGTCTTTGCTACGCTATGCTAAGGACCCGTAACCGTGATGGACTTTGTATATAACAAAATTGTCAGTCAGACATAGCTTTGCATATTATCATATAACCAGTATACTTCATTTGTTCAGTCCCTTTATTAAATAATATTTCATAAGTTATAGTAACTGTTTGTTTAGATGTTGGCTCATTTGCCACCACAATAATATAATGCCCTGTGATTAGGATCTGCATATAAATATACAAAAGAAAATAACTTCTCATAGTATGTCTGTAATACGCACAACTGCCCAAATGAGAGGCTTAGCGTGGAAAAGAGAGTCCAATTTACATTACATTTACTATCATATCTTTCTAACATTATATTGCTTTGTACCTTGAGTTGTACCTTAATATGCCGTACCCTTTGCTTGTCTATTCTTGTCAATGTAGATAGCTAGTTTTGCTCTCAGAGTTTTTTTTTAATGGGTGATAATGTAATAATAACCCCATCTGTGCTATTGGTATACACTGGCGGGGTACCAGTGACGGATGATAGGTAAGATGAAAGCAGGTCAGTTAGCCCATCGTGAAGAATTCCATGAGAAGGAATCATGATGGAACCATGTGCAGGTCAATCTGATTAGTAACATTGCTAGCCATATGTTAAATATGGTAGTATGTAGATGATAGCATTTTTTTTGCCATTCCTATATCATTAGATTTCATTATTTCTTTAAGAGCCTAGTATTTTTTTCATCCCATAGCTACTCACAGATTTATCTCTTATATTTTGCTCCTCGGTAAAGATAACCTGTCCTAGGTAATGTCTTAAACATATTCAAGGTTTTCATAATAGATTTTGATGCTCTTCTGCATGGAATTGGTCATTATTATTATTTATTTTCATTTTATTACCATTCATTTTTAAATTTCATTTGTAGATTTTCATTGTTTAAATCTTGGATTATAATTTTTAAATATTCAAGGTTTCCCTTTTTTTTAATGGGTGAAAATGGCATGGTAATCCCACCTGCGCTATCAGATTACACTGGCAGGTACCAGTAAAGTGATAGATGAGGATGAAAAGGCAGGTCTATTAGCGCATTGTGACAAATTCAATTATAAATTAGTCACGATAGTTTCCAGAGGGAACTGTGTACTGTACTCCCTATCTTGCTATTTTAATAAATGGTTTTTATGATGTTGATGTAAACTGCTGGTATTTCCTGTTGTTTTAGGAACTCCCATATGTATTTGTGTTTTACACTATCAAATGTCTTTGTATAATAAAGGCGAACTTATCTCTACAAGAGATTTCTTCCAGTCAACCTAACACAGTGGCACAAGAAGTAGTGAATGGGCAGTAGTAGTGCTAAACAGAAATTAAAATAAATATTTAGATTTATTTTAATTTCTATTTAGCACTATTTACTTACAGTTATTAAATTTACCTAAAAAAATATATGTATATAAGATGAAAGTTTGTTTTGAAGTGCCAAAGTTAATAGTGACAATATTTGTATCTTAAAATATAAACATATTTGTTGTCATGACTTGTTTTTGAAGATGTTTGCCCAGCAATCAATTAATTATATCTAAATTTATCATAGGCTGTCAGTTTACAGCATTATTTTACACCATGAAGTGTTTATAATCTGATTTTTATACATAATAATAATAATATAAGCCTTTATTCAGACAACATTTTTTTTATAACAACATTATTTATTTAATTGTTGTTGTCTGTTTGCTTATTAGCGAAGGTCTCCTCCAACTGCCTCCAATGGTCTCTATTGCTAGCAATTCTTGTACAAATTCCACCTGCTTCAGCCCTCATGTCATCTACCCATCTTCTATGTGGTCTTCCTCTTCTTTTTTTGTCTTTTGTGTACCAAAACATTATCATTTTACTCCCTGTATGCCCTGCCCGTTTCCATTTAAGTTTTTGAACTGTGACTGTAACATCTTTAGTTTTTATGTGATTTTTATACATTACTGACATATAAATATTCCATAACTGTTCTAGGATAATATTTAACTCTTTTTAAGTTCTTGTTTGGTTTTTGTCTATTTTATAAGATAGTGTTTCGGAACTGATTTTCATAGTTTATGTGGGATATGATAGTGAAATTATAGGGTATAAATGCATATTTTAGTTCTCATAAATATATACATTAGGAGTACTGTGATCTTTTTTTTTTTATACAACTTAGAATGGCAAACAAGCTGACGGCCCACCTGATGGAAAGTGGTAAACGTCGCGTATAGACATGAGCAGTAACATGGACATAACAGAGTATACTGTTTCGCCCATGATACCCCCCGTGCGTTGCTATTCCTGAGGACTCAGATCTCCAACAAATGTACTATGGATCTCCATAGTAATGCTCATGTCTAAAGGTGACTGTTTACACTTTTCATCAGGTAGTTTCTTCATCTTATTTGTCATTCTTAGTTGCATATAAGAAAGGTTATATATTTATTTATTTTATTTATTTATTTAACACTGTATTGCACCAACATAACAGGATTTGTTGAACAATTTTCAATGCGTATAGTGTAGTACAAAAGGTGGTCTTATTGCTAAGCAATCTCTTCCAGACAACCTTTGGGTAAAAGGAATTAAAGCATAAATAGGTAGGTGGCGCGTTAAAAGAAATAGATCTGTAAAAAATAATATTTGTGACAGCATATAATGTATATAATGACAGAATACAATAATATTTAAATATCTACCTTAACATGGCACCCCCACTCCTAACTTTTTCAATGTTTGTGGCCATATACAGACGTGGTGCTCTGTTTATGTTTTTTTTTTTTGATGGGTGAAAATGGCATGGTAACCCCGCCTGCGCTAACGGGATACGCTGGCGGAGCACCAGTGAAGGGTGATAGGTGAGAATGAAAACATGCCAGTTAGCACATCACGATGAATTCTTTAGGAATTAACTATGATAGTTTCCAGGGAGAACCGTGAGGAGGTCAATCTGGTTGGGTATATTGTTACCAATAGGATTCGCAGTCTCCATTACTAACAATCTCTTCCCCCCCCCCCCCTCAATTTGTGTTAGGTAATGTCACCAGTAGTGATTCTACCACAGGAGTATTATAATCCTTGGTCAAAACTTTGCAAATATTTTTACTTACACATTTGTAATTCTTTGGATTTTGGAGGGGCGTGCCATGCTATTATTTCACCTATCTATACAGATAAGTAACAGTGTCCTTTCTCCGACAGGCACAGCGGCTACGACCGGGACCCCTACGCACAGCAGTACGCCCCCATGGGACGGTAAGATCTTAATCTATGCTCTCCAAATTGCGAATGGGGACCAATGCGTAAATAGCCATTTTTATGGAGGAATAAGTGATGGATTCCATTAGTAATTATGTTAAAGTTTAATTAGTTTAATCTTAATTATAATAAACTTTTCTTATCAATTAGGTTTGTTTTTCACTCATGTTAATAGAAGGTTACTAGGAACAAAATTAATTGGTAAGGACCAGTTAATTTTGTTTAACATATACAAGGTTTAGTTGGAAATATATATCAATTTAAAACTCAGTAACAGAATTCATTTAACTGAACACCTTATAATATTTTGTAACTGGCTTCCAAATGTAGTAGGTTGTTAATCCAAAATTTAAGAGTTTTTGTATATGCACTTAATGAAGTAATCCCATATTGGTCCCATATTTATTTTTTGATGTTTGAAGAGAGTTTTTCTCTACAGAGCAAATATTGTTTATCACATAGTAAATTTTTTTTTACAAGCCCATAATTACCCACAAAACCAACGGCATTGCATGTGTGCTTTTAAAAAGGAATATGCTCTTTTCATAATCAACTTGCAAACTGTGTTCTAAATTCAAATATTTTTAATTGAATGTGTCTACCCTGCATATCGTCGTTTATGTGTGTATTTTATATGTTCCAAAATTAAAATAGTGATGGTTGAAGATGCAATATTTATTTGTCAGTTTTCGTACAAATTCTCATAGGATTGATGTAATGTCAAACATTTAAAATTAATTTTGATAGATAGATAACCTTTATTACCAGTATTAAGAAAATAAAAAAAAACAACAAAAAGAAAAAAAAAATAATGTTGCTGGTAATAGGAGCCGCCTCAGCTGTTGCTATATATGTACAGCTCTAGCGAGATGTACCTATATAGCGCCGATTTTCAGGCGGCCCCTTAACTCCTTTACCTTTAGCATGCGTGCGGGTCGCCAATACCTATTTCTCGGATGGGAGACTCAACACGCTTAACAACAAATACATAAAACGTTACAAATAAAACTGAAAAGAACAAACTCTGAACAAATTATCGCACCTCACAATGTCAGCATCGTAAAAAAATAAAAAAAAAAAGATTTTATATCTTCCCTATGTATCTTGGATTAAGTTATTGGGTACATTATCCTGTTACTGGGTTTTAGGTTGATATATATATATATATATATATATATATATATATATATATATATATATATATATATATATATTTTTTTTAACTAACTTTGTATATCTATATTTAATAAAAGTCTTTATACATTTATGTCATTAATAATTTGAGTTTGTGAATATAATTATAAAATTTTTAATATAATCCCTTACAATTGATTGCCAATTTTCATTGAAAAAAAAAAACTCAGTAATTCAGGTCAGACAATGTAATTAACAGACAAACATCCTGTTGTATTGTTAGTAATCATAATATTATATTGTTTTTTATCATTGCTTATTTCATTGTAGACATTGATAATGATTTTTGATAAGGCCTTTTTAAGCTTACACATTCCTATTGTGTGATTTTGATTGAAAATATTAAAATGTGTTTATCAATTTGTGGAAATTTTTTTTAAACGTCTAGAACTGTATAGAGGGAATAAAGAAATACAGTTGCTAATATTGACAATAATTTGAAATTTTAATTTGTTCCAACATATATAATTATTAAGAATACTTTTTTTTTAATTTAATCTTCTATTTTTTTTTTTTGTTTGGAATCATAACGTTTTACTTCCATTAAAATTATTTGTCATCTCATACCATTTTCGACAGAAAATATTGTATTATTTGTTTAGTACAAATAAATGGACAAGTGGCATCAAACTAAATCATATTTTAATAGTATTGTTCCTTGAAAATGAAAGAATAAATTATAGAAGAATAATATTAAATAAAAAGTATATCAAGCATTTGATAGCCTATAATGATTTTCGACTAACTCTCCACCGTTTGAGAACACCGTCAACATATCAAATTAATCCTAGAGACTGCGGTAGGCTCGCGTTCTGTGCGTTAAAATATGTTTAGCCAAATGTTGGCACGTTGTCTGTTACCTTTACTGCAATGACAATAATCAAATGGCTAGGTAGGCTACGGTAACCACTTACCATCAGGTGGGCCGTATGCTTGTTTGCCACCTCAGTGGTATAAAAAATCAATAAATGTCACTGTGGTAATAAACGTGAATATGCCCACAACTTCTCTTATGGGACAGCCATAAATGAAGTTATGGATATTTTTATGTTTTTACTTATAAGTATGATTAGTCAACCGATTCTGATGATCCCTATTGCAGGGAACGTAACACTTGCGTCCTCACATAGCATGGGCCATATTTACAGTGCTTTCCATCTTTTCTAACCCTCTGCTATGTTCCATGAGTACATAAGTGGAAGAGCCTCCGGCACATCATCTCATTGATAAGCAACCAAGACACTCGGCCCCAGACGAGTGGGGAACGACTTCATTCCTATGTCTTCATATTGTCTAAGTCTTGTTTAAACCATCATTTATTACTTTTACTTGTCTTGTGTGTGGAGTAGGCTAAGGTTGTTTTTGAACGATAATAGTCAGTTAGTAGGTGTTCTAAATTATATGGTACATTTTTGATCATCCGATCAGTGAAAATAATCATTATTCAATGACAACTGATATTTCTATATATTTTATATTTATTTTATTGGGGAAATTAATTTAATGGTTAACTATATAAATAGACTTTGTTGCAAACTAACCAGATTCTATATCTTTTGAATGCAGTTTGAAAATATGTAAACATTCATTGCTAAGGATTTTTAACAATTGAAAACTGTATAATTTTTAATTATTTATTTATTATCACACCATATTAGCCGAAATAAATAAGCTGTCAAAAACTTAAGAGGTTTGTCTAGGGTGTCATGTTACTGTGCTTACTACAGAATATATATCTATAGTGTAAGATATATAAAGTTGCATAAACAAGTTTGTACACGGATTTTCTCATTATTTCTAACAATTCTGGTGAACACTCACATATGCAATACAATCGTGGTGTTAAAACAAGTGTTGCGTGTGTTATTATACACGACTGATTAAATTAATACCAAGTATTTGTAGGTTGCTCAAGAAATAATTTACGTTTTGGACAGTGTGATATTTTGTACGAACGTGTGTGTGTGTATATACGAAGATTTAACAAGAGGCTTTTACACATTGGTCCCAAACTAAACATTAGAAGTCAGTAAATGATTTACATAATACATCATACAAATGTTTCGTCCTAATATCAATTTAATACTACAATAAACTTTTGCAATGCAGCTAAAATATTGGACGAATCACAGCTAAGGTATTTCTTATTCTACAAATGTCTCTATCATGCTCCTGTCACATTGTACACTCGATGGGGTGGCTCTTAGTTGATAGTTATGCGACGTTAGTGCCGTTACGGATGGACCGCTGGTGTGGTGGACTGGCTGGACCCGATTGAGCCAAATGCGTGGTTAGTCATGAGTATGTTGCGGTCGTTAGGTCAACTAGACGACTTGAGGCTATGGTTGCCAGTTGCAAATCAGATATCCGGGTGTACCAGCCAGTTTTTCCGGATATTTGTGGCAAGGCCGGATATTAAAAGTAAAAAATAAAAAAGCGCGTAGTCACGCAGAGCTAGGTACAATCACTATTCGCAGAACGGCCTTACGACCTGGGTTTGCATTTATAAAGCCTAGCCATGGCCGATTTTACCGAGACGCTGTCCAGGCACGGACGGCGCGGTGTGGCGACCATGTATGTGCCGTGTACCATAACTATGAACTAAGGGCGCGTCCGCTCGGGTGCGGTGTGCAGGCGTGGTCGCAGCGGCTGAGCGTGTGTGTTTGTATGTAGCGGGGCCGGCGGCGCGGCGCGCGGCGGTAGAGACGGCGGCATGGCGCCGCGCCGCTACTGAGCGGCGGCGTCCGGGCGGCCGGATAACTAGCATAAGTAGCATAAGTCCACGTGAACAAACTGTACAGTCTACCCGAACGGTACACGTATCGAGGCGTCGCGTCGCGTTCGTAAGCGATATGTGAGCGGTGCGGACGACCGCAGTAGGTTGAGATTACACGGTAAGCCGACGTAGATGTAAGGAACCGATTCATCATGTGAAATTAAAAAAATAAATGTAAGTGATTTGTACGGCCGATTTTCATTTTACCTGAACAAGTCGCACGGTATGCGGTCAGCGTATCGCGCCCCGAAACAATGTCGGAATAATTTATTAAGAATCTAGTTTAAGTTGTAAATTGTCATATAGATTAAACTTTCTTATTGGTAGCATCTATTTTTTTTTTAATTTAATAATACCTGTTTCGTACTAAAACATCCGCATTTTGCATGTTCATCCTCGAAGTCCCGAGTCTTTGGCTTGATACTGCTTCAATGGTTGCGGTCCCCTATATATGTATCTATAGCTATTATTTTATTACAGGACTGGCATGTAGATGCTCATCTATTCGTATACCTACCATGGTGTCATGTACCCAATGTTCTGGTCTGTCGACCAGTAGTATCGCTGCAGGTACTGGGGTGCGTTCATATATATATAAATTAATAAATCTATGCCAATGTTCCTCTATTAGAGGCACAGGATGCGTTTTTATGTATTACCTCAGGTCACGTTTATGTTTATTGTATGTCTTGATGTAAAATACAAAATCAATATTGTTTTTCTATTGCTTTGGATCCAAGTAACGCACGCCATGTATTCGTTAGATGCTAGAATACATGGCTGATGAGATGCTAAGAAAGAGGAACTGCTGCTGCGAATCAGGATGTGTGACTGTTGATAAGTCGTTGACGTTTACGAAATAGGTAGGTACAAAATATGCATTATTTCTGTGAAAAAAGAAACAACGAGACTAGCAGGTACGAATGTCTGGTTGTCCGAGTTGTTTAAAGAAGATCGGGATAAGTAATTTCACGTCAAAGTGTACGATTTTAAAATTTCCAATGTAAGCTTTGTACGTCAATGTGGTAGAGCCAAACGGCAGGCAGGCCTCGCCGTACCCTCGCGTAGTCACACGCAGTCCACCAAAGAAATGCACAGCTCCTCTTTTTTATTACTGCGCAAGTTTTATATGACTGGGATAAGAGATTTGTTTCGAAACACGGAACGCACCCCGTACTAGTGCTTGCTGCAATTTTTCTCAATGAACCGAGCCACAAAGATTACAGAGCACACCCACACTGTTACCGTCAATTGGAGGCGACTCGAGCGGCCATTAGGTAGAGAACTGCGGAGCGCAAACGCTAGGCGTCGCGCGCTAGTTCGGCTTGCTCTGTAATCCGCTGTCATTTTAATGTGTACGTTGTCGAGCATCTGCTTTCAAACAAGAAAGTGCGTGCGAGTCGTTTCAGAGGATTAGTTGCGGCTTGACGGCACGCACGAGTTACCGGAGCTGCGTAGTCGATGACGACGTTATAGTTAGGCGACGACGGCAGAAGACAGCAATGCGAAAATTGACAATCGTAAGTACGGCGTAGGAGCGTCACCGTGTTAGCAACACGTACCGGCATGCCCAACCACGAACTGTAACGTCTGTTGTGCACGCTCTTTACGTTAACGTTCAATTTGGTACGAACAAAACGATTGTACGTCAGATTACTGTAGAATGTTCCGAGTAATAACTTGCCGATGTCGGCATGTTTCCACATAAATTACATATGTCTGTTATATCGAGACGTACCTAAATATAAACAAATTCTCGCCACTTTTAAATTCTCAGTAAATTATTGCATTAAAAGCTGACGTTTTCAACATAAATTACATACATATCCTGCAATAATTACCGTTACATGGGTTTGTCCCAGTATGTCTGACACATCCTTGAGTGGTGACCGCGTGTAGGCAAACGAGATGATGAGAAATTATTAACAGTATCTTATGTTTGACAGGACATGGGCCGGTGGCTGAAGAGGAAGCTTGAACAATTCATGAGTAAGAGCAATTGAAAATGGAGCTCGTGGCGTATTTTGAAAACGAGAGAGAATAGCCCTGCATGGCTAAGGAGGAGGAAATATCGTTTTGTAATTTTTTTTCTACACAATAAAACTGTTGTTTCAAGATAATTTTTGTTTATTTTTCTGTTAATATACCCCATCTGTTACACAACTATACCAAAGTGGAAGTTTATTGCCATCTATTTGTTCTGCGGGGCGGTAGCTAAACATAGGCCTAGTGTGGTCTTGTCTGACGGATTGGCAACCGCAGTTAAGCTTCAGTGATGTTTTTAGAGGAATACTGCCACCTCTGGGAATATAGCTATCTCTTATGACACCCACGGAAAAGAAAGAGGTGGCCCATTCTATGCAGGGCATCTATTGCATACGGCAATGGCATGGGTGCCATTGTATTATAATGCAAAGGTAACTCTGATTTAGTCTATAGGCGAAAAAACAACTATTTTCCATGAACTCTTAATAAAAAAAAAGTTACACTTTTTACTTCCTTTTGAATCTTTTCATTGTCTGTTCTCTAAATTAGGAGAATTCTAAAATACTCCGTTTTATACTCTATATTACTAATGGCACAGATACTATTATTAACAATCCTTTACCCCCGTGACTTAGTATTGACAGCCTGTTACCTTAGAAGTGTTTAGGAAAGCTTCATAGATACTCGTAATAATGAAACAACTTTTGGGCCAAATTACGATTTTAATCATAATAAAATACCAACAAATATTTAATTAGCTTATTCAAAATATATTTCACAATATGAGATTAAAACTTTGCTGAGAGAACTTATTAAAACTATCACACTTTGTACTCAAGCAAAGCTTGTTTTCACAAATACAATAATCATGCTGCATCTAAGTATAAGCAGGAGGTATACAGACGTGAACACAGCATCGTGGCGTATGGCACTGGATACCGCAAAAATAAATTCAATCGATCAGGAAAATGTCTAAATACAGTGAACGCTCTATATGAGCAACTCATTTGAACCAATTTCAATAATAAAAAAATGTTATTGAGAAAAGTTGCTTATAGGGGAAAAAGGAGTATAAAAATACTTTACCGTCTGGAAAATATTTTTACTTATTTCTTTTACTAACTAACCTGAGTAGAATAAATTTTTTTTTTTTTTTTTTTTTATACAACTTAGAATGGCAAACAAGCTGACGGCCCACCTGATGGAAAGTGGTGACCGTCGCCTATAGACATGAGCAGTACCATGGACATAACAGAGTATACTGTTTCGCCCATGATACCCCCCATGCGCTGCCATTCCTGAGGACTCAGGTGTTATTCCTCTGTACCCAGTAAATTCACGCCATATCCCACTCTTCAAACCGAAACACAGCCATGCAAACACAACTGCTTCACGGTTGAAACACGAATGGGACAGAGGTACCCAAGCAATCGACTTTTGTACAAAGTCTCCCTCTGGTAAATAAAATATAAAGAATGATGCTTATAGAGAGGTTACTTATAAAGAGCGTTTACAGTACATATAAAAATAAAAAAATGTAACAATGAAAACTAGATGCCTTCTCAAAATAATATAAAAAATATTTTTTTCTAATCAGAGATCAAAATTTCAAGGAATTTTATTAATCACAAAATATCAATTTATATTTTTTTTTTTCTTGTCGCCCAGTCTCCACATATTAGGGCTCTCTCACTAGAATTTAGATTATAAAAATAAAGAAGTGTGCACAACAATGCCAGTATCTATTGCAAGTCCACTGCGCGCTTACATCTAGTAATACTTTAAATAATGAATACAATTATTAATTCGACTTAAATGTATGTCATTTAAATTAACAAATGACAGGCGCTATTTTAATTAAATATATTTGGATGGATTGCAAAGTGAATAAGATATATTTCCAAATGAGTACAAAGAAAAATTTATACACTTAATAGAAAACCATGCTATTAATAAAAAAAAAAAAAAAGAAAACCATAGAGCATAATGTAATTTTTTAAATGTAAAATTACTTTTAAACATTTTAAACTTCGTAAAAAGTAAAGACAACAACCTATAACCAATAATAATTTATAATAAGTGTGCGTACATTTTGTATCAAACAAAAATATTTTAAAATCTACTCGCATTGCGTTATAACAATTTTGGTAAAAAAAAAATTAGATTAACAATTCGAATGAAAACAAAGGTAATGGATAATATATTAGACAATTTATAATAATGTAACAAGAAAAAAGCTTTGGTGCACGTAGCCTACAGGTGTGACCTAACTGGACTAGCATCGGTTCATAGATCACTAACTTACAAAAAAAAAAAACCTAAAATACTTCTGTATTGGTCGCTGACAATTTATCAAAGGATTCCTTGACTATGCTACAGTTTTATATAATATGCAATACAATGAACGCTCTATACAAGCAACTCACTTGAAAATAAAAAAGTTTGTTATTGAGAAAAGTTATAGGAAAAAAAGGAGTATAAAAATACTTAGCGTGTGGAAAATATTTTTACCTATTTATTACACTAACTGAAGCTGAGTAAAATAAATAAAATATAAAGAATGTTGCTTATAGAGAGGTTGCTTATATAGAGCGTTTACTGTATTATTATTTTGCAGTCTGTCTTTATAAAAATGCAATCAAAGATTTTTTACAAAATAAAAATATTTTTACTTACAATACATAGATGCTTAGGTATATTGGGTAGTGTGGCATATTGGGTAAATGAATCTGAATCATTTACGGGGTCGTTTAGTAAAAATATATCGCTTTGCTTTGGTCGTCAATAGAACAGAAAATGAATAATCTTTATGCAAATACACTTGTTTACAAGCACTTTTAAATATTTTTTTTATAATTGTACTGCTGGGTTCAGAATGTTGTTATCTGCTTAGAAGAACCCTGCTTATAAGAAATTCAACATTTACTCTTTTCAAAATATTATGTAAAATTTTACATTTGTATATAAAATTATTTGTATTTTATTCAATTGTATAATTTACATATACTTTTGTTGAAATTAGTAATTTATAAATATATTAAAATGGAAGAGATTGTTTAAACGTACTAATCTCTAAAACTATCAGGCGAATTTGAAAAATCGTTTTTGTATTGGATAACACAATTCTTGAGAAAGATATACTTAGTGTTTTCAACACCATAAGACGACCACGGGCGAAGTTGCGGGATACAGTTAATTTAAAAGTAAGATAGTTAAAAATTAACATTACGTTTCATTCTAGCCATCTATTTATTAGTGCAGTTATTTTGATACAGTTATAGGTACCTATTACCAAAATTATTTACTAAATTTGTCGTTTATAAAAAAAAATATACAAAAGTAAAAAAGAAAAAGTCGCAATGATTCAGTTCACTTAACCATGAATTTTAAAATTGAATGATAAAAAACCATAGACTCGACAGTGGTAAAAAAAAGTATGCATAATTTACATTACATACTTACTAGGAGTACCTAGTACTTACTACTAGTAAATACTAATTTTACTAGTAGTATTTACTAGTTAAAAAATAAACATTAACATACGTTGCCAAATTGATTGTTGTAATGTAAGAAAAAAAAAACTGTATTGTTAAATAAGACATTAAAAAATTTGAAGGAAATTAACTATTACAAGAAATTAGATTATGTCTGTCTCCCATAATAATTGCACATTAGCTCTACATTTATTAGCTTCAATTGAATTTGACATAACAACCATTTTTAAAATTATAAGTAGCTATTTATTAATAAAAATATTTCACACCATGATACTCTGAACTAAGATGATAGTAAAAAAAAAAAAATTAATACCCTAATTTATCTTTACTCTATGCATTTATGAAAAAATGGAGTTTCACTACATTTTTCGTACAATTTTGTAGATTAAATAATCGTATAAATAAAATAAACACTTTTAATTTCTCTGAAAAAAAGACAATTTTACTGGAATAGACTAGGAATTTTTAATTATAAAATTATTTTAAATAACTTATCCTGTAATATTTCAATAAGTACATAAGATATTAGTGCGGCATTAAATGTTAAGGATACATTTTTTTTTTTATATAACACAAGGGGCAAACGAGCATGCGGCTCACCTGATGGTAAGTAACTACCGCCCATGAGCCGCCCATAACTAGAAATGCAATGCAGGTGCGCTGCCGGCCTTTTAAAAATACCCTTTTTTCTTTAAAGTTAATATTAAAAGCTAAACGCAAAAAGGGAGATATTACCTACCTACATTTGGACATTAAATGCACATTTAAATGGAATTAAAGACTTAAACGGTAAAGGTGCGTATTGACCAGAGGCGTATTTGTTCAATATTACAAATATGTAATATTACACGATGATCACGTTCCGGTACTGTAAAGTTTTGTATTGAAGTGTTGTTTTAGTTGTTACCGTTACACGTAAAATCTCTTGGTGAATACGCGCCCAACTCAAAAGCGGCTTAGTGTACGAACAGCAAAAGCTACAAAGCATCCAAAATATATTTATTTTAAAAACCGATTAAACATTGTAATATTGCGTTAAAAAAATTATATTTAATTCTATTTATTTCCGAACACGGTAACATATTAATGGCTCGATACTTATATTTAAAAATCTAGCAATAAAGCACAGAGTACTCGATACGGACAAATCGCATGAACTAGTTTTTTATCAATAAAATTTAGGTAGGATAAGTACATACCTTAAAAACACTAGTTCAGTCTATATACGCTAGTGTGGCGACCTCTAGCACCGCCGCAAACATTGCTTTGATTGATTAATTGAATTACGTTACTTAGAAAAATAAAATATATAATTAATTTTTGTCGATATTTTTCTAATAAATACTTACTTAATTTACTAGGTATGTAACTAAAATCATATAATATGTTACATTAAACGAACATGTTAGTGCATAACATACTTCAGTGATGCAAGTTTTGATCTTGAACATTACATTACATTTTTGAAAAGTAATAATTAACCGGTTCATAAAATTAATAGAAAATAAAAAAAATATATTACCGTGAATACGTTAAGATATTAAGTAACATGATTCTGATGTAACGTAGGCATTTATTACACGACTGTATATGAAGCATAACATATTTGGTACATTACAAGATTATGTCCAGTCTGTACGCACCTTAAACAAAAAAGTGTATAATGACTGGTCATAAACGTTAGAGAAGAACATCTGGTAAACTCCGTTTAATTAGAGAGTAAAAAAATCATTTTTAAATTGTTAATTGTTATATTTCTTTTCTTTTTTTTTTGTATTGTCATGCAAATATGTTTTTTTTTTTTATGTTAATCATCTGCTCTCGTTTATTTGATTAGTTTATTATGGAAACTTCACTGATTTATGTTATGACTGTGTTTACTATTTATATGTTTTTGGTATTATATGTTTCTCTATTAAAGTAAAATAAAATAAAATACATAATGCATACATATAGTGAATGTATTGGTACAATGTGCGGCGGCGCTGCGCCCTAATCCGTCTACATATTTTCGTTTCTCATAGCACCTTAGATTTTATAATTAGCTAGTGTGCAGGTACGTTTAAAATACATCATTCTCTGATCTTTGGTTAAAATTAACTGATGATAAATACTCTAAATTTATTGCTAAATATAGAAGGCGATCTTTAGAGATACGTTTTTTTATCTCTACACGCATAATTGCGATTCGTAATAGGGGCAGTTGTAAAATACCCATAAATAACAGTTAAATAACCAAATATCCCTTCAGTAACTCATTAAATGCTATTATTAAGAGTTACGTGTCCGAGTGCGACGTATAAAATTGGTAATGTGTTTACTGTTACTAGGAGTGAGTGTTAATTATTTGATATAATACGTGTTTTAATGGTTAATTAATGAAAGTAACCATTGACAATTGTTTGGTTAAAATTTATTTTAACCAGGTAACCATTCATAGACAGGATTTGTGTTGTTGCGTCTCTGGAATTTATGTAGATACCTGTACTATTTTATAAATAAAAGGAAATTAGTGTAAATATTTTCTCTCATTTGGATGACATTTTTTTTATACCACAAAGGTGGCAAACATGCATACAGCCCGTCTGATGGTAAACGGTCACTGTAGCCTGTGGACGCGTGCAACACTAGGGGTGTCACGTGCGCGTTGCCGATCCTGAAGATATCTTAATATACCCTTTTTTAAAAATCCCATACAGTATTCTCTAGGCAATTGTATGATTATTAAAAAAATATAATGACTTTTAGATAAATAATAATATGTTACCAATCTTCAAATATACAGTTATGTTTTTATACAGAAAATTGACAGATAGTAAGAAGTTGGAAGCTAAAGAGGTGTGTTTATATCGAAACATTTGGCGTTCCATTGTTTCTGCCTACCCCAATGAGAGACAGGCGTGACAGATATGTATGTATGTAAGAAATTGATAATTAAAAAAATATATATATTCTTGGTTAGCTAGCAAAGTTTTGAGATATCTTAGATTATATAAATAGAGTGTCACCATACAAATGCTTTTAGAAAAACGAGTCAACATTTTCATACAAAATTGCGTGATAAATAGTTATGAGTGATTCCTTTATAACTTATATATTTATTTTGTCTTATAATTTCTGTATCTTTTTAATGCGTAAACACTCATTTTATTTATTAAATACGTCACGATACATTGTGTGCCTAAGTGTACAGAACACTGGTAAAAAACGAGTCAGCTAATTTGATAATTAGCTGACAACATGTTGACCAGTTTCTGAGGCTCGAGGGCTCTATCTATATAATTAAAGTTAGATATTTAAATACTAAAATAAATTACGTGTCTTTACATGAATATCTTACATTACATACTAAATGGGAAATTCTTTAAAAAAGAGAAAAATGTATCAAGCTCGGTTAAATTAGCTAGGTGCATGCTTTCCCATTGTATTGGGTTGGCTGGAAGAGATATCTGCCAGAGATAAGTCCACGCTTGCTCACAATATTTATAAATGTATTGTCTATGAAATTTATAAGTGCAATAAAAGAATATATAATATTCTTGTTTATATTATTTAATAATGGCGGTTGGATATTTTGATGACAGTTAAGATATTAGACTAACTGTCTTAGTCCTTTTTCTTAGATAGGCAACAATATTGCAGACAGTTTCCCGCCATTTTTTTGTTTTATATTTTGACATATATATTTTTTAATTTACACTCCGTTGTGGGCTAAGTTAAATTGTCATCCAATTTATCAATAGACATATTTGTATGTTATTAAAATTTATAATTTTTGTAATGTATCGATATTATATTCAATTTATTTGTATACTTGTTTTTTTTTTTTCATTTAAGAGTTTCCTCCTGTCGGTGCAACTATTTTATCCATTCTCTACCAGCTAGCTCTATTCCAGGTCATATCTTTTACCTCCCTATATGACATGATACCTAGTGTTTCGTTTACCTGTCCCATCTCTTTTGCTCTCTCTATACTACTGCTGATTATAAAATCTCCTTATTTTTTAAAGTTAAAATTCAATTTTAAAATGTTTTATCATGTTGATATTGAAATTTTTTTTTAATAATCCGGCTAACTTTAACTACGTATTTTAAACCGAACGTAATTGTCAGGCAGTGAGTGGAGTTTATAACATTACAATAATAAACAAGCTCTCGCAGTGATAACCGTTGCCTATTAAGTACTTTATACTGTGACACCTTTGCCCATACTTGGTTTTAAGTAATTACATTACTTCCTTCTTTAAGTACATAATAACACGTCATAAGTATATAGGAATTTTGATATATTAATATAATCTATTTCTTTCCACTAGCGACAAAATATTTCAAGTTATTTCAAATTATTACAGGTAATCCGCTTCGTCAAGCGTGATCTGCTAATATACTTTGATGGCTTCACCAAAACATATTTGCAGTTAACCCATCTTTGCATGATTATTTTTATTGGTAAAATAAATCAAGGTGATATTATAATTCATGTTCAAAATTAAAAGAAAAATTGTTAAAAAATAAATTTGACAGATACGGTTTTTTTTCTGCAATGTACATTAAAAAGGTATCGACACACGATCAACTTAAAGTGAACTTGTTCTTTTATATAATTTTTGGGCATTTAATGTTATGATGGAAATTTCCACCATTATGCAAAGAAGGGTTAAATAATTTGATAATTTAAAACACATTTAAAAGTAGAAACCTAAAATTATGTTTAAATTTATTTTCGGGATTTAAAAATGTAATTTCATGTAACAGTGACTTTGTATCTTTTTTTTATGCAACTTAGTATGGCGATCAAGCTGACGGCCCACCTGATGGAAAGTGGTAACCGTCAACTATAGACATGAGCAGTACCATGGACATAACAGAGTATACTGTTTCGCCCATGATACCCCCATGCGCTGCCATTCCTGAGAACTAAGGTAATATTCCTCTGTATCCTGTAAATTCACTGCCATATCCCACCCTTCAAACCGAAACACAGCCATGCAAACACAACTGCTTCACGGTAAACTCTGATTTTATTGTAGGCGTTTCAGCGTAACATTGTGATGTACCATAAATCATGTAATCATAAAAATAAAAATATAATATTTTGCTAATCTAGCGGAAGATGCGCACGCGCAATGCTCACACTAATATAAATGAGTAGTTACTGAGAATAACTTACAGTTTTATGTTTTCCCTCTTAATAAAATAAAAAAATACAACAATACTACATAATTGCGTACTGAACTATGTCATTTCATTTGTGATTTCAAGAAGTATGTAATTGGTACATCGCACAGGGTTTCGTCAGTAAACAGTAGATCTTGGGTCTAATCACGTTGGCCACTCTGACCTGATATAGGAATAAAATGAGTGACGTTTACAATCCCGAAGATGAATTTGAACATGTGTAAAAATTACAAAATTTAGGGTCAGCGCTGGTTAACGGCAGTAAATTTATTACAAGGCACACACAGAAATGTTTTTTATTCATTTGAAAACTGTTTTAATGCAAAATTTTAAGGACCAAAGACAAAGACGTTCCAAATTGAATATTTCACGATATACGGTTGAATACAGAGAATCCGTTTTTACAAATAAATGCTTCTAATGTTATAACTTGTATTCAAGCAAATAAAGTAACTGAAATATATAGATTTTTTTATACAACTTAGAATGGCAAACAAGCTGACGGCCCACCTGATGGAAAGTGGTAACCATCGCCTATAGACATGAGCAGTACCATGCACATAACAGAGTATACTGTTTCGCCCATGATACCCCCCATGCGTTGCCATTCCTGAGTACTTAGGTAATATTTCTCTGTACCCTGTAAATTTACTGCTATATCCCATCCGTCAAACCGAAACACAGTCATGCAAACATAACTGCTTCACGGTAGAAACACGAATGGGACAGAGGTGCCCAAGCAAACGATTTTTGTACAAAGTCTCCCTCTGGTGATATTGCTATATGTTGCCTACCCATATTACTTACGCAATTAAATATTCAAATAATCATACCGTCGGTGTGCGCTAACCCTAAATCAATTAAAACTGTCTAGTTTCTCATTAGGAATGCTAGGATCTCGCATATTTCAGCGCCATGTCGTGGGGCTTCTCCTCTTTAAGCGACTCCTTGAGGACGACGCCCGAGTTGGTGAAGGGCGGAGGTGGAACGTCTTGTTCTGATCCAGTCGGCTCCTCGGACTCGGAGCCGCTTTGGGACTCTGGAACCGGCCTGTGGATAGGTTTTGAAGGTTAATTATTAGTGATTACAGAAAAAAATGGAATACACGCTTATAGAGATAAGGTCGTTTATTGTGTTCTCATTGTGATTATTTCTTGTAATTGTTAATATATTTATAATAAGTTTACTATTGTAATCTTTTGGAGGAAACAATAAAGAGTATCTATTTATACGCTCACGACTGTAATCTATTGTCAACGGATCCTGTTTTTTTTTTTTTTGTTCAATGTACTGGGTTTGGATTCCCAAGCACTTGCGGTTGCGCTATTGGTGTACGTTCGCATATACTAAGGTTTGCAGTCGATTAGGTAATTATATGGGTGAAGAGTTTGGGCTTCATCATTAAGTGGGTACTGGGAGCATGACTTTTAAGATAACCTTTCTGATGCGGATTGATTATCCACAATGATGAGTTTTCATTGTCATACCAGAGTGGCATACCGTTACTATTCTATTATCATCCATTTAAAAAATAGCACGCGCCGCTCGCGCTGCTCGCGCCGCTCGCGCCGCAGCACCAGCAGCAGCACCTCCTCCAGCTGCACACGGCACACGGCACACATACATTACCTGTGCCGGCTGGAGGCAAGCGGCGCGAGCGCGGCCAGGTGGCGCAGCAGCGCGGGCGGCGGCGCGGCGGCGAGGCGCGCGGGCGGCAGGCAGCAGCAGCACCTCCTCCAGCTGCACACGGCACACGGCACACATACATTACCTGTGCCGGCTGGAGGCAAGCGGCGCGAGCGCGGCCAGGTGGCGCAGCAGCGCGGGCGGCGGCGCGGCGGCGAGGCGCGCGGGCGGCAGGCAGCAGCAGCACCTCCTCCAGCTGCACACGGCACACGGCACACATACATTACCTGTGCCGGCTGGAGGCAAGCGGCGCGAGCGCGGCCAGGTGGCGCAGCAGCGCGGGCGGCGGCGCGGCGGCGAGGCGCGCGGGCGGCAGGCAGCAGCAGCACCTCCTCCAGCTGCACACGGCACACGGCACACATACATTACCTGTGCCGGCTGGAGGCAAGCGGCGCGAGCGCGGCCAGGTGGCGCAGCAGCGCGGGCGGCGGCGCGGCGGCGAGGCGCGCGGGCGGCAGGCAGCAGCAGCACCTCCTCCAGCTGCACACGGCACACGGCACACATACATTACCTGTGCCGGCTGGAGGCAAGCGGCGCGAGCGCGGCCAGGTGGCGCAGCAGCGCGGGCGGCGGCGCGGCGGCGAGGCGCGCGGGCGGCAGGCAGCAGCAGCACCTCCTCCAGCTGCACACGGCACACGGCACACATACATTACCTGTGCCGGCTGGAGGCAAGCGGCGCGAGCGCGGCCAGGTGGCGCAGCAGCGCGGGCGGCGGCGCGGCGGCGAGGCGCGCGGGCGGCAGGCAGCAGCAGCACCTCCTCCAGCTGCACACGGCACACGGCACACATACATTACCTGTGCCGGCTGGAGGCAAGCGGCGCGAGCGCGGCCAGGTGGCGCAGCAGCGCGGGCGGCGGCGCGGCGGCGAGGCGCGCGGGCGGCAGGCAGCAGCAGCACCTCCTCCAGCTGCACACGGCACACGGCACACATACATTACCTGTGCCGGCTGGAGGCAAGCGGCGCGAGCGCGGCCAGGTGGCGCAGCAGCGCGGGCGGCGGCGCGGCGGCGAGGCGCGCGGGCGGCAGGTCCACGCACAGCGCCGCGCGCCCGCCCACGAACCGCGCCACCTGCCGCTCGCGCCGCAGCACCAGCAGCAGCACCTCCTCCAGCTCCGCCTCGCTGCACATCGACACCACACATCGACATCACACACCCACATTACACACATACGCTCCTCACTTTTTTTTCCACTGTTCGAAGCTAGTCAAATTGACATTTTTCTTTTTATACAACTTAGAATGGCAAACAAGCTGACGGCCCACCTGATGGAAAGTGGTAACCGTCGCCTATAGACATGAGCGGTGCCACGAATGTAACAGAGTATACTGTTTCGCCCATGATACCCCCCATGCGTTGCCATTCCTGAGGACTCAGATGTTATTCCTCTGTACCCTGTAAACTCACGCCATATCCCACCCTTCATAGCGAAACACAGTCATGCAAACACAACTGCTTCACGGTAGAAACACGAATGGAACAAAAATACCCAAACAATCGACTTTTGTACAAAGTCTCCCTCTGGTAAAATTGATGGTAGTTATTCCTTTTTAACTTCTATGTTTGTCTGATAATTTCCGTATCTTTTTAATGCGTAAATACTCATTTTATTTATTAAATAAAACGTCAAGATACTTTGCATGCGTAAGTATATAGAACACTGTTAAAAAAACGAGTCAGCTAATTTGACAATTAACTGACAAAAAGTTGACCCGCTTTTGTGGCCTGATGCTCTAAGGCAGTGTTTCCCAACCATTTTTGTGCCATGCCCCACTTGAACATTTCTAAAATGTTTATGGCCCCATACATAATTTTTTCGGACAAAGTTTACTTGGCGACTCTAATCGCGCAGTTGATATTTTGATAACGTCAAACGAAATTATACCTAATAAATATTTACAGCATTTTTTTTACTTTTTTGTTAAATTTGGCACCGATATCTTCTCGTAGCATTGTATTTAAATGGCCCGGAGCAAGTGAGTTAAAATCGCTTCGAGTCCACTTTTTAATTATCCTCCCCCCTTAACTATCAAATTGCCCCCCTGTGGGGCGTGGGCCCCACGTTGGGAAACACCGATCTAAGGTGACATCACAGTAAGAAGCGACTAGTTAACTGATCTTATTGCACGTCCTGATTAATTAAATAACAATTCGGGACGCATTGTTCTGTTAGACGTGTTCGTTGGACAGTGACAGAGGCGATGAACATATTATGTTCACAGCTCGCGTTCTATTGTAAATAAGAGACAGTGATCCTTTAGAATTCTTTTATTTCGTTTTCTCATTTACACCTTAACATATGGAACTTCCTCTCACTCTCTAGTGTCAATCGTCTGTCACTGTCACACGATACTTTTCATCCCTCTACACTATTAAAAGTTAAAACAATCGATACTTGCGAGCAACAGATATCGCAGTGAGAGAGTGAGAGAGAGAAAGAGAGTGAGAGAGAGAGAGAGAAACACACAGAGAGAGAGTGTGAGAGTGAGAGAGATAGAGTGTGTGAGAGTGAGAGAGAGAGAGGGAGTGAGAGAGAGAGAGTGTGAGAGTGAGAGAGATATAGTGTGTGAGAGTGAGAGAGAGAGAGACACAGAGAGAGAGTGTGAGAGTGAGAGAGATATAGAGTGTGTGAGAGTGAGAGAGAGAGGGAGTGAGAGAGAGAGATATAGAGTGTGTGAGAGTGAGAGAGAGAGGGAGTGAGAGAGAGAGTGAGAGTGAGAGAGAGAGAGAAAGAGAGTACATTTCCAGCACTGACACGTAAAATTAATCATTAAATCTGAATAAATTAGTGACAACCCTCGAACTCTACGACGAATCGAGAAAAGAACATACCTACTCCTTTGTCCGCCATTGTATATTAAATCTTTCAATATGTCCAATATAAATTATGTACAATAAACATTTACAATACAACATTCCTTCTTAAAAAAACTGGCAACACTTGTGCAATTCCAGAGGGAGACTTTGTACAAAAGTCGATTGCTTGGGTACCTCTGTCCCATTCGTGTTTCAACCGTGAGGCAGTTGTGTTTGCATGGCTGTGTTTCGGTTTGAAGGGTGGGATATGGCATGAATTTACAGGGTACAGAGGAATAACACCTGAGTCCTCAGGAATGGCAACGCATGCGGGGTATCATGGGCGAAACAGTATACTCTGTTATGTCCATGGTACTGCTCATGTCTATAGGAGACGGTTACCACTTTCCATCAAGTGGACCGTCAGCTTGTTTGCCATTCTAAGTTGTATAAAAAAAATCCACCAATGTTGCAAGTGATTATGGACGGCCATTTTTATTTTTTTCTAAATGTTTAAAAAATGCTTGTTGCATGTTTAAAAAAAACTATCTACCCATGCAAAGTGGATTTAATAGTTTGTGATGCTGTTTTTAAATTTCTTGTTTAATATTCAAGATTATTTATTTGTAAAACATGTGCGTAAATACATGCAGATGTTAACAATACAATCTCGTTCGACAGGGGCGAATGGGATTGTTAGCAATGGTGTTTGTCAGCCCCATTGCTAGCAATATGCCCTATTAGGTTGACCGCCACGTGGTTCCCCCTGGAAACCATCGTGAACAATTCTTGTTGAATTCGTCACGATGGGCTAACTGACCTACTTCATCCTCACCCATCATCCTTCACTGGTGCCCCGTCGGTGTATACCGATAGCGCGGGCGGGGTTACCATTCCATTATCATCCATTAAAAAAAAATCGTTCGACATGTTTAGCCTGTAAGGCATACAAAAAGATCGTCATAGTCGTAGAATACTGACGGATCTATATATGTAATCTTTGTCAGATCCGTCAGTATTCTACGACTGTGACGATATGTAGTTACACAGATAGTTTAAAATTATTTTGTGTTCCCTTCACTTGTATTATAGATTGGTGCAAACTTTAGTGGCTGTCAAATTCTTATTTAAATGTGTAATTATGTATTGTTCTGTTTGTTTGATTTAAATAAATAAATAAATAGAAACAAAATATAAAATACACGTGGTTGTGCCGACCTGGCGGAGTGGAGGAACTGCGCGAAGTGTATGTTGGAGACGCAGCCGTGGCGGTCCTCGCTGTCGGTGCACAGGTCCGTCTCGCGGCAGTACATGTACAGGAAGTCGTTTAGCTGCTTCGCGATCACCGCGCACCGGTCCTTGTCGCACATCTTCGCCGGTGGACCCTGCGAGAACGAGACGGAACATTCACTATTTGATTACAACTACGTTACCGTTGCAAGATGCAAATGGTCCGAGTTAACTGGAAATAACAATCGGTCTAGTGTGAGTAGGATACGTGAACCTCTAAATCTCTAATAAAAAAGATAACAATATTTATCTAATATTTTTGATATATATATATATATATATATATATATATATATATATATATATATATATATATATATATATATATATATATATTCATTAGTGCTAAAAGTATTCTCTCCCAGTCAACCATAGGGAAGTGTCAGAATACTCGAATGCGGTACTACTAATTATTGATATACATACATACTAAAATTATATATATAAACGAATAAATATATATGGATAACAAATATACTTACACATATATGATATATACTATATTATACACGAAAATATAAAGCACTTACTGTTCGGATAAAGATAAAATATATATATATATATATATATATATATATATATATATATATATATATATATATTTATTCATTAGTGCTAAAAGTATTCTCTCCCAGTCAACCATAGGGAAGTGTCAGAATACTCGAATGCGGTACTACTAATTATTGATATACATACATACTAAAATTATATATATAAACGAATAAATATATATGGATAACAAATATACTTACACATATATGATATATACTATATTATACACGAAAATATAAAGCACTTACTGTTCGGATAAAGATAAAATATATATATATATATATATAATTTAATGGATGACTATGGACTGGTTGGAATTGGATTGGAATGGACTTTCACTATCAGTATACGTTGTCAGGACACCAGTGACAAATGATAGGTGAGAATAAATGCAGGTCGGATAGCTCATCCCGACGAATTCCACAAGAATTCCTCTTGATGGTTTCCAGGGAGAACCACATGGAGATCGACCTGACCCGAGTCTGTCTGCAGTGGGCTCGTTAGACTCGATTACTAACGAGCCTTTCATTCGTCAATTCCTTTAATAATTCCATTATCGCCGGTTAACAAGAGACCAGAGGGCCTACCATGAAGTATTTTCCGAAATTTCGGGGACGAACGAAACAGAAATTTGATGTTAAAATTACATAAAACATGCCGTTTAAAATTATTAAAAAGGTTAAAATATCATTCCCTTGGACTATTAGAATAGGATTTATGACGAACGAAATGTTAAGCTCCATTTACTGGGTCGATTTTGACACGAACAAAATCGCGAAATGAAGCCCGAAATTTGGGAATTTAATTTGATGGTAGAGCACGTGTAGGGTGCACCTGCACGGTGTAGGGCAGGCGCTGCGAGGCGGCGGCGCGGCGCAGGAAGCGCAGCACGAGCGCGGCGTGCGCGGCCGCGGCCGCGTCCCCGCGCGCCACGCGCTGCACCACGCACGACAGGAACAGCCCGAATGCACGCCGAGCCTCGCCTGGCCTGCAACACACAGCCACGCCCATATACACATACCACCAGTGTATGTCGGCTTCAATTTCTATTATCACATCTCCCATATTTAGAACTAACAAAATTTTTCATCGTGCCTCCCACCAGATTGTTTATAATTACTCCTCTCCATCCAAAGGTTGCGTGGAAGAGATCGCTCTTAGCGATAAGGTCGTTTATTGTTTTCTCATTGTGATTATTTCTTGTAATTGTTTGTATCTATAATAAGAATAGAATAGAATAGAAATCATTTATTCAAATAAACTTACATTGAAGCACTTTTGAAAAGTCATTACATTTTTTTTAATTTACCACTCGTTCGGAAAGCTGTCTCATCACAAGAAGAACGAGCAAGAAACTTGCGTGATGCTCTTTTAAATAATTTTATTATTATTTTACATTTTTAAGTTTAATTGTGTGAATACAAACCACCAATTAGCACTAATTTTATTTTTAATAAAGTTTACTATTTTATAATAAAGTTTACTATTGTAATCTTTTAGAGGAAACTATAAAGAGTATCTATCTATCTTAAAGCCAAGAGACCCGGAGGTGGTAGTCTCCGGAATTGAAGCTAGGTCGCCCGCCCGTCTTCACTCATCAGCGAATCTAGAGAAGACCTTGATTGATTGGTTGAGCCCGACATGTGGCACGGTTCTTTATTGAGATAGAATTACTTGTTAAAAGACCACCTCCAAACGAAGAGTCAAAAGGGTATTCAGGGGGTTAAAAATAAAAAAAAAATGAATTTATCATGTCATGTTGCTATAATAATAAATATGAAAATTAAAATAAAAAAACGTAAATACATCGTATTAGGTGGAGAAATTCGTTATAATTCTAACGAAGTCAATACATTTTTTTTTATATACAACTTAGAATGGCAAACAAGTTGACAACCCACCTGATGGAAAGTGGTAACCATCGCCTATAGACATAACAGAGTACACTGTTTCGCCCATGACACCCCCCATGCGTTGCCATTCCTGAGGACTCAGGTGTTATTCCTCTGTACCCTGTAAATTCACGCCATATCCCACCCTTCAAACCGAAACACAGCCATGCAAACACAACTGCTTCACGGTATCGACTTTTGTACAGTCTCCCTCTGGTAGAGGATTTGTATGGAGACACTGTCTACGATGATAAATGTAAGGGTATCAACTAACGTGAGACGCATGCCGTCGAGCAGCTGCTGCTTGACTAGTTCTTTGGCGCGGCGCGGGTCGTGCGACGGCGGCGGCGCGGCCGGCTCGGCCAGGCTCACCGCCGGCGCCGTCGACGTCACCGTCACCGCCTCGTACCGCTTCAGCCTGCACCACGCATTCACATCATTTTTTATATCCTGAGGTGGCAAACAAGCATACGGCCTACCTGATGGTAAACAGTTACTGTAACCTATGAACGACTACAATATCAGGGGCATTACGTGCACGTTGCCGACATTTCAAGATTCACAAGAATCCCCATTATCCGTTTTTTTAAGCACCCCATGCTTTAAAGTTTTGGAAAAACCTTGACAGGGAGCTCATTCAATAACCTGAAGATTCACGGGAGGAAACATCTCTGAATTTGCGCTGTACGCGACCTTTTAGGTTCTAAGGTATGGGAGTGAATTCCCTACTGTGTGTGTGCATATGTGCGTGTGTGAATTAGTGTGTGTGTGTGCGTGTGTGTGTGAGTGCGTGCGTGCGTGTGATTGCGTGTGTGTGTATGTGTTTGTATGTATATATGTGTGCAGCCTCACCTCTGCGGTGTGTCGGTGAGATTGGCGGCGGCGGCGGTGGCTGCATGTTGGAAGTGGGGCAGAACGTGCGAGTGGATCAGCAGGTTGTAGTTGTGCTGCACCACCTGGTACGGCACGTTGTTGTTCAGCGACGTCGAGCACACGGGGATGCCGCTTACCGGGTCTGCGAACACACATACATACATGTTTTATATAAGGCGAAAAACACTGACTAAGCATTCATAAAACGTGAAACGTCTGATAGGCTTATTTGTAGATACTAAAGGATTACCAAATTACCTACGTGGTTTAAATATGAGATATTGTCATTATCGGCATATCTCCAACGTACGGCATGTCGAGCCGAGGAGGTAGACTCACCCAGGTACTGCGAGTACTTCTGCCAGGAGTTCTGGCTGGGGAAGATCCGCACGAAACCGCCGCGCCGCGCGTACTGCGCGCGCACGGCGCGTACCAGCCGCAGCTCCTCGCCCGACAGCGTCGCGCCGCAGCCGCCGCCGCCGCCGCCGCCGCCGGGCTGCTTGCCGCGCACGAACATGTGCTCCGCGGAATGCACGCGCCGACACTGGTCGGGAAAGCATGCCAAATTAGTGGTTTGATTTCATAATTTCATATCCGGCTCGAAGGACTGATCCCTCGAGCCGGACATTAAAGTGAGAACATAACAATTAGACAAGGACTCTGTTATATTATAATGTACATTCTTACTGTCTAATAAAACGTTATAAAGTCACAATGACCATAAAATTATAGATATGTAAAGTTGGAAGGAGAACATCGCATGAAAAATGATACAGACGCTATAATCTATTCCGTGAAAATATATGTACATGGTGATGTTCATATTTATAGATAAAGGCTTGCATTGTCAACTAACTGTTAGTTGAGCTAGCAGCTTGTTTGACATTGTAATGTATATAAAGTGTTTAGTCCTTCGAGCCGGATATAAAAATTAGACTATATAAATATTAAAGTGAAGCGACTCACGGCGCCGATGCGCATGCGCAGCGAGTTGTTGTGCGGCGGCGCGTGGTGCGCGGGCACGGCGGGCAGCCCCACCAGCGTGAGCGTGTCGGCCAGCAGCGCCGACTTCACGCGCGCGTCCAGCGGGCTCTCGCACGCCAGGCTGCGCACGCGCATACCGCACTACTTACACATGCCGGACTAAACTATCGTCTCTTTAAAGGAAACTACTTTAAATACTACTACAATGAAATTTTGTTTAATTTTTCTTACTAGAGATTCTCAAAAATTGGTTTATTATGTTATGGTACACATAGAGTAATGTATCATCCTATTCTATCTGTAACAGCTATCATATTGGCAGTTATATAGTAGTTCATTGGTTGACGTGGCTTAGCAGGATTATTTATTTCTTTATTTTATATTTATTATTCGTGAAACATTATATAAATATACAAAACTAGCCAACTTCATTTACATAGAATTAAATTTTACACCCCTTATATGAAAAATGACTAAATCTCCATACAAATACTTAAGCCCTATTTCAACCTTCTTTTACTTTATAACAAGCCTATGCTTCTTCAAGATCCAATCTAGCTCTGTTCAAAAATTCACCATTATCGGCTCAATAGTTTAAATAGAAAAAGGCAATAGACAGACAGAACTACAGATTCACTATCAGTAAGTAGTAAAGACAATTTCCCTTTTGAGTGATGACCAAGCCATGTCACTACAATGGTCGTCATAAGGTGTTTTTTTTTATACCACTGAGGTAGCAAACAAGCATACGGCCCACCTGATGGTAAGCGGTTACCGTAGCCTATGAACGCCTGCAATACCAGAGGTATTACAGGCTATACATATACGTATAGGCAGGTATACGTGCGCGTTGCCGACCCTGAAGAAACCTCTTTACCCCCCCTTTGAAGAACCCCATGCTGTAGTCTCTTGGGAAAACCTCGGCAGGGAGCTCATTCCATAACCTCAGTGTTCGTGGGAGAAAACATCTCTGAAACCGCGTTGTACGCGACCATTTAGGCTGTAAGGTACGAGGGTGAACTCCCTGTCGATGGTGATAGAAAATGGCCGCTGGCATCATATTGAATGATTCCTCTGAGCACGATCCGTTGTACAAGCGGTAAAACACGCAGAGTGAGGCAAAATCTCTCCTAAGACTTAAGGGTTCGATACCGCTTGCAAGCCCGGGATCATCGACAATTCTCATAGCTCGTCGTAGCACTGAGTCGAAGGGTTCAAGGTGTAAATAACTTAATAAAACTCCACGCAACTTACCTCGGAGATAAGTTAATTTCAAGCAACCACGGCTTCAGCATGTCGTCGATGAGGATGTCATAGCCGAATAATTCTGAAAAATACCATTTTTATGGGTGAAAATGGAATGGTTACTCCGCCTGCGCTAAGGGTATATGCTGGCGGGGCACCAGTGATGGATGATAGCTGAGAATGAAAAACCAGGTCGGTTAGCCCATCGTGATGAATATATCTGGAAGTCAGCACGATGGTTTCTAGGGGGGACTAGGGGGAGGTCGACCTAACAAGGTATATTGTTAGCGATGGCAATGTTAGATCCCATTATTAACACTCCTTTTCTCCCGCATAATAGTACCATTTGTGACACAGGCGCCAACGAGCATGCGGCTCACCTGATGGTAAGTGACTACCGCCGCTCATGATTACCCACAACACCAACAACATTTGCAGGTGTGCTGCCGGCCTTTTAAAAAGGAATATGCTCTTTCCTTGAAGGTTATGATGTCGTATAGGTTCGGAAATACTGCTGCTGGAAGTTGATTCCAAAGAGTGGTTGTGCGTGGAAGGAAGTGCCTTTAAAAAGGCACGGTGGAAGACCGCCACTCGTCCAGATGATTGGGATGAAACTTTAGTTTGTGGCGAGTTATTAGTCAGATAATATCTCGTAGTTTATTGGTGTATATGATTACGCGTGTGTGCGTGCGTACAAGTACGTGTGTGCGTGTTTGTTAGTTTGAGCAAAATTTATTTGACGATCGGTCGTGAACTCACCGAAACAATTGAAGAAGTTGGGCACGAAGACCCTGGCGGCGGCGGTGATGGTCTGCGCGGAGGAGAGCACGGACTTGACGACCAGGTCCTCGATGGCGGCCATGAGCGCGGTGGTGTCGCGGCCCTGCTTGCGCAGGTGTCGCAGAAGCGCCGACAGCGTCCACTTGTGCCCGATGTTGCCTGCGTTCGGGTCGTCGCATCTGGAAGGAAATATTTTTTGGGTATACCACACAGCGCCATCTAGTGACAAACTAGATAGAATTGAGAAGAAAAGGGATTGTTTGTAATGGGGATTAGCGGCCCCAGCGTTAGCAATATACCCTATCAGATCGACCTCCACACTGTCCCCCTGGAAATCATCGTGGTCAATTCTTTATGACTTGGTCACTATGAGCCAATTGTCCAAAAAATTTAGTGCGGCAAAAAAGACCTGATTCCAACCTTCCCTATCATCCCTCATCTCATTCAGAATCTTTTTTGAAGTCGACTGAAAGTTTCTCTCATCGTAAATCGTAATCCACTTACTTGATGTAATCCGTGTGGTACTTGTTGATGCTGTAGTTGCAGAGGTGCATGCAAGGGTTCCACAGGTTCTTGTTGGTCTTATCGTACTTGACCGCCGCGAAGCGCACCAGGCCCTCTTCGTATAAGTATATGAGCAGGGGGTCTATGGACGTGACGCAAACGTACAGCCGGAGGTCGCACTTGTGACCGCCTATCAGGAGCGGCTTGTCGATGTACTTGGCTACTACCACGTTCTCGCCTTTTGGTATTTGTTCGGGCTGGAAGAATATTGCAGGGAGTCAGTGGATGCAGGTGGCTCGGGACCTTTGTTTGTGGCAGTCTATGGGGAGACTTATGTCCAGCAGTGGACGGATAATGGCTGAGATGATGATGGTGATATGATGAGAGAATATTGAATTACCCCTCACTGGTACTCTGCTAGAGTACACCAATAGGGTTATTATTATATTAATATCCGTAAAAAAATCCTTATTTTCATACATCAGGTGGGCCGTAAGCTTGTTTGCATTCTAAATTACTTAATTTTTTTGCTATTTGATTCAGAGTTGACAATAATATTAATACAAAAAATACATACTTATTAAGAAACTTTTTTTATGCAACTTAGATTGGCAAACAAGCTGATAGCCCACCCGATGGAAAGTGGTACCCGTCGCCTATAGACATGAACAGTACCATAGACATAACAGAGTGTACTGTTTCGCCCATAATACTCCCCATGCGTTGCCATTCCTGAGGATTCAGGTAATATTCCTGTTCACCCTATAAATTAACTGCCAAATTCCACCCGTCTTGCCAAAACACAGCCATGCACACACAACTGCTTCACGGTAGAAAAGCGAATGGGACAGAGGTGTCCAAGTAAACGACTTTTGTACAAAGTCTCTATCTGGTAAAGCAACACTTTGGCAACCAAAACACTTGCTTACCGTATTGACAATGTAGATCCCCCTGCCTCTACTGGAAGCGGCCGGCTTCACTATCCAGGGTCCTTTGGTTCTATAGTGGGTGGAGCACAGCTCCTTATACTCGGTCGGCATCAGGAACGTGGTGGGGATGAAGTCGAAGTGCTTCAACCCTCGGAAGTACTGCATCTTCTCAATGTTCTTGAATAATTTGTCTTTACGAGTCAGCTCGTATGATCTGTGGCCAACAATAGATAAAATTAATATTTGTTATTCTTTTAAATACCAATTGAACAGCTTCCGATGGGTTCCGGGTTCGTTCCCCGCTTAATACCATATGAGAATTTTGAAAAAGGGTGTAATAAGATTTCTACAGAGGCAGCAACGCTCATGTGACACCCCTAATGTTGCATGCGTCCGTTTACCATCAGCCGGGCTGTATGCTTTGTGGTATAAAAAATACGAACTGTTTGGATTGGTCCGAGTGTTTTCTGGGGCTAGAGGGTGTTGTATTAACTTTTGAGAATTTAACATCAATGTACATCTTAAATTGCCGTATGATTCGAGCTTAGAATTGGCCACCCCTTCCTTTCCCGTGGTTGTCGTAAGAGGTGACAATGAGAATTTAACATTTTGAGTGCCGACGAGCGCCATCGCGCTCGTGCGCATTGCAACTATAAGTGCCACGAGCGTCATAGCGCTCGTGAAATCAGTCGCTGTTTAGCTTGCTGTAAAAAAATATTAAAATTCATTAATTTTTGGAGGAGATACAGTTTTTTTAGAGACAAGGGCAAATGACATCAACAGGACAAAGATTTCTTTGGCATTTTTAAGTAGATATGAGTAAAAATCAATGGCACTAAAAGGGTCAATGGTTGAGGGATCGACAGCATCCTTCTTAAAACATCACCAAAGGCTAAGTACCATTGTCTACTAGCTTGCCAAGCGTAGCAACTACTGGCAAATCCCCCCAATAGGGAAATGTTTATATTCAGTTCCGGACAATTAACGGCTAACATGATCCATGGCATATCTCGACCATTGACTTCCCTTAGTCGCCTCCTACGACATGGACAGGATAGGAAGGGGTGGTCCATTCTATGCCGCGACCACAAGGCACTTTACATCATAATATTAGTAAATTAGAGCTCAAATTACCTTGGAAAATGGTTCACCCTTTGATACGGAGAGAGCGACCTTAACACGTCAGGTTTTGGATGGAGGCCGGACCAGAGGAGGTTGAATTCTTTGGCTTCAGGGCTTGCCTCTTGCAGACCGTGCGCCTGCAGCAGTCGGTGCAGGAGTTTCGTCTCCGTGTTCACGAGTTTATACGTGATCTTCAACACACGGGCTGGCATGTGGCTGCTGTCTAGAACCTGGGCATTTGAATAAATTAATTTGGGATTAATGAATATTGAATGATCGATCTAAAATCTTTATTTAAATATAAATATAAGTTTTCCAATATAAAAACATATAAAATTGTAACTAGACAACATCTGTACATTGGAGATGATTTGTTTTACTACACGAGGGGCAAACGTGCATGCGGCTAACCTGATGGTAAGTGACTACAGCCGCCCATGATCACCCACAACAACAACGGCAATGCAGGTGTGCTGCCGGCCTTTTAAAAAGGAATATGCTCTTTTCTTGAAGGTTATGTGGATACGAGAGGTTTTAATACGACCAATGGATACCAAATCAATAATTTTAGAAATTCTGTCTATATATTTGGTATCTCAGAAAAACTACAGCATCAAATTGTATAGTGACAGTTATGTATGTATGTAATACATACATGTCGGGGGAAAGGGATTGTTAGTAATGGAGACTGAGAATCCCATTGCTAGCAATATACCCAGACAGGTTAACCTCCTCGCGGTTCCCTCTGGAAACTATCGTGGTTAATTCCTGATGAATCATGATGGGCTAACTGGCCTGTTTTCATTCTCATCTATCACCCTTCACTGCTGCTCCGCCAGCGTATCCCGTTAGTGCAGGTGGGGTTACCATACCATTTTCACCCATAAAAAAAACGTTGTATTCCTGAAGTTTTAAGCTAAAAAATAGTGTATGCACTCGTATTATCTTAGTGTAGGACGACGCCACTAGATGGAGTGACGACCTCAAGTACATTGCAGGGAGTCAGTGGATGCAGGTGGCTCAGGACCGTTCTTTATGGCAGTCTATGGGGGAGGCTTATGTCCAGCAGTGGACGTATAATGGCTGAAATGATGATGATGATTAGATTAAATACTATTTTGAAATTTGATCTCTTTTTAGGCTTTTAAGGTCAGACAATTTCTTTTTTTTTTATACAACTTAGAATGGCAAACAAGTTGACGGCCCACCTGATAAAAAGTGGTAACCGTCCCCTATAGACATGAGCAGTACCATGGACATAACAGAGTATACTGTTTCGCCCATGACACCCCCCATACGTTGCCATTCCTGAGGACTCAGGTGTTATTCCTCTGTACCCTGTAAATTCACTGCCATATCCCACCCTTCAAACCGAAACACAGCCATGCAAACATAACTGCTTCACGGTAGAAACACGAATGGGCCAGAGGTACGCAAGCAATCGACTTTTGTACAAAGTCTCCCTCTTTTTGTTGTATTATGTCCTATCGGAGTCTCTGGTCTCCTTCCTGCCTTATCCTATCGTTTGGTATATTTTGTGCATTAATTTAGCAATTTGAAGTCAGGCCCTTATTACTATGTTTACCTTTATACTGTCCACCTCCTTCACCAGCATATGTTCGGAGTCATCGCTGTCCAACTGCGGCGACGAAGCGCGCTGCGTCTGCGGATTCTTTCTTTTACTCTTGCACTTGTTCTTCTTCACTTTCTTATCTTCTTTCAAGTCTGCAAGAAGATTATATTACTTCTAAAAAAAGGTAAGGGAAAATTTTTTTCTAAACTGTTTTGGGTCTGTGTGTTATGATCTCGGATGTTAGTTGCTTAATATCTTATTATAATGGGTTAACCAAAGGTAGATTAATAATTGATTCTGGTTAAAGATACAGAGCTGTAAAGCAGATATTTTGTAATCGGAATTTATTCCCTTTTTTTAATTTTGATTTTAATTTTTTTTTTTAATTTTAATATATTACATCTCGCTTCCGAAAAGTGGGTATTAGCGACTCGCACGAATGCTAAAGTTATGTGAGTTAAGGGGTCCCCTAAAAATCAAGGCTGTATATATGCATCTCGTTGGAAGTGTGTATAAAAGCAACAGCTGAGTCGGTTCCTATTATCAGCAAAATGCAATGATTTTTTCTCTTTATTGTTGTTTATTTTAACTATATTTTTTATTATTGTTGTTGGTAAAAAACAATAAAGAGTATCTATCTATATAGACAGATACTCTTTATTGTTTCCTTCAAAAGATTACAATAGTAAATTTATTCTATCTAAAATCTTATCTATCTAAAAAAATGTTCAGGCACTGATCATGTCTATAGGTAACAGTTACCACTTTCCATCAGGTGGGTCGTCAGCTGGTTTGCCATTCTAAGTTGCATAAAAAATACAGTGAGTGTAGAAAGTATTCGTACACCTAAGGTTGTAATAAAAAAAATACGAATTTGATAGACTTTCTTTTATTTATCTAATTTAAATCAATACTATTAAATATTTTAACATTCCCGCACTTTGTTTATGATAATTTATGTTTTTTAATAAAAAAAATTATACAACATAAAAATATTTTTACGTTAACTAAGCAAATAATGACAAACAAAAAGTATTCGTACACTTATAAAATTTGTAAGTAAATGAATATTAAAAAAATATTAATACTTTGTTGGACCACCGTTAGCATTGATGATAGCTTGGAGTCTCTGCGGCATCGAATCAACTAGTTTGAAAATATAAGAAGACGGTATTAATGCCCATTCTTCGCGAAGCGCAATTTTTAGTGTTTTTTTACTCGAAATTGGTCGATTTCGAATTTTATTATCGAGATAATCCCACACATGCTCTATAATATTAATATCAGGTGATTGAGGAGGAATCTCTAGGTATTTTAAAGCGTTAAACAGGATCCATGCTTTAGTACTCCATGCTTTATGTTTAGGGTCATTATCTTGTAAAAATATCCAATTATTGTTAAAACCCATTTGAGCTGCACTAGAGAGACGATTCTCTTTTAAAATATTAATATACGCTTTGTGATCCCTAATTCCATCAATAAATGCAAGTTTTCCCACCCCAAAAACAGTCATGCAACCCCATACAAATACTGACCCACCACTGTGTTTTACCGTTGGACATAAATTTTCTTTCTTATATTCCATATTAGGTTTTCTCCATACCATATGATGCCCATCCGATTTGAAAATATTATATTTCGATTCATCTGAGTAAATAACAGTTTGCCAAAAATGATTTTTTCATTAATATATTTTTTTGCGAATTCTAATCTTTTTTTCTATTAATATCATTTACCCAATACTTTTTACGCGCAGTTCTTCCCTGATAATCGTTACTACGTAATACGTTCCGAACGGTACTGACAGAAATATGGCTATCATTGATATTATTAATTTCTTGTAACACTCGAGCGGCACTAATTTTTGGATTTTTTTTTACACAATTTAAAATTTTCCGATCCAATCGAGGCGTGATTTTTGATGGACGCCCCACCTCTGGGTTTGTTTTTTAGTGTTTTAGTAATAGAAAACCGATCAATTACAGTCTGTACGGTTGAACGTGGTCTATTGACAAATTTTGCAATTTCACATAATGATTTGCATTGATTATGCAAATTAATAATTATTTTTCTCTCCTCTTCACTCGTTTCTTCTGCTTTACGACCCATTTTTGTAACTAAACACGTCTATACTTGTCACGAGTGCAACTAAAACGTCTAATATCTATACCTACGTATTAAAAATGACCTTGGCATTGTAGGCATATGAAAAATTCGATTGAATAAATGATTTATACAGAATTTCATTTAAAAAAGCATGAATGTACGAATACTTTTTGTTTGTCATTATTTGCTTAGTTAACATAAAAATATTTTTATGTTGTATAATTTTTTTTTTAAAAAACAATAATTATCATAAACAAAGTGCGGGAATGTTAAACTATTTAACAGTATTGATTTAAGTTAAATAAATAGAGGAAAGTCTATCAAATTCGTATTTTTTTTATTATAACCCTAGGTGTACGAATACTTTTTACACTCACTGTAAGTTAAATGTCTGAAACCCGGTACCATGGGCTTCTGTCCTGTGATATCTATGATTTTGTACATGCTTATAACATTAGACCTGAATCCAAGTCTGTCATATATAAAAACAAAACGTGATGTTTTCAAAACTCACCTTTGGGTTGAGGAGGAGGTTCTTCGGGAGGTTTTATATTCGCCGTCGTATTCTCTATGTTCAGGTGCTTCTTTAAAGTGATCTTGCTTAAATCGTTGAGTACATCTTCTATATCTCTCTTGTGCTCGACCGACTCGTGACCCTGCTCTTCGACAGACACCGTCTGAGGTAGTTCCGCTTCACTAACATGCCGCACCACATACGCCTGCCCTGAATACTTATTGCTATTACCAAACGTTTCCATTACGTCGTGCATTATTGTTTTTGGTCTTACATTAAAGGAATGGGGCTCTGCTACAAGTCTTTTAGCCATATTCTTGGCTTTGTTCAATAATATCGTTGTACCAGTGTTATTCCCTACAGTTTTCGTAGTGGACTCCATGGATGGAGTTCTAGACGCTAAGACACATGATCTGAACACGAGAACGGCTCCCTTCGAGCCGATTGGCCCCCCAGATATCCAGTCTGAGAGGGACCCCTCATTTTCTTTTTCATTACTTGTTTCCTCTTCATTTTTTCTCATGCTGTCTCTGTCTGCCGCGTCTGTGGTCTGAAGGCCTGACGTAGACGGATTTGGCGTTTCTGATGATACATGTGGACTGGAAATTATGGAATATATTAGTAGTAACATTTAAAAGTCAGCTATTAAAAGCAAGTGATCATAAATTAGATTGAAACCCGTCTAAAGTGATCTAAAATGTATAATTTTTGAAAATATGTTGTTGCAAGCTAATGTAAGATGCAAATAGATTACAGTGGCAATGGATATTAAACGTAATAATTAGTATTGTAACAAACAATGTAAGCATTCGCAAGCAACATAACAAAATGAGAAGAGAGAATTATTACGAGCTCTCATTTATGCAGCTTTGGTTATTTTTTGGGTTCATTATATGGTTGCGACGTGTGGTCTCGGCATAGAATGGGCCATCCCTTCCTTTCCTGGCGACTAAGAATAGAAATAGTTTCCAAAATTCAGGCATACAAAGTTGAGGATTTAGATTATATGGATAGTTATATAGATAGGATAGAGTGTCTCCATACGAGTACAAATGCTTCGAGAGGGGGGAAAGGAATTGTTAGCAATGGAGTTTGATAGCCCCATTGCTAGCAATATGCCCTATTAGGTCGACGTGGTTCCCCCTGGCAACCATCGTGAACAATTCTTGTTGAATTCGTCACGATGGGCTAACTGACCTACTTCATCCTCACCTATCATTCTTCACTGGTGCCCCGCCGGTGTACACCGATAGCGCGGGTGGGGTAACCATTCCATTATCATCCATTAAAAAAAATGCTTCGAGAAAAGCGGAGACATAGTTTTGAGTGTTTCCTTTATAACTTATATGTTTATTTTATTTTATAATTTTTGCATCTTTTTTATGCGTAAAAACTTTTTTTATTTATTAAGTAATTAAATATAGATACGTCAAGATACATTATGTGCGTAAGTATATAGAACACTGATTAAAAAAACGAGTCAGCTAATTTGTTGACAAAAAGTTGACTCGTTTTTGAGATTCGATCTATGTATAATAATAAAATATAATTTAAGGTTGATGGTAAAAACTACACTCGCGAGCAACTAAATCGACTCAACCCTTCACGGCGGGGGAGACAGGGATTGTTAGTAGTGAGATCCAACAGACCCATTACTAGCAATACACCCTAACAGGTCGACCTCCACGCGGTTCCCCCTGGAAACCATCGTGGTTAATTTTTGATGAATTCATCACGATGGGCTAACTGACCTGCCTTTTCATCCTTACCAATCATCCCTCACTGGTGCCCTGCCAGCGTATCGCGATAGCGCAGGTGGGGTGACCATTCCATTTTCATCCATTAAAAAAAAACCCTTGACGGCGCACATATGTATTGATTTTACTAAAACGACAAATGTCATTAAATCAGCACTTAAATTTTTTTTTAAAATATTGATGTTAAATGCGAGCATAATTCTTCAGCTTTTGAATGACATATCAATTTTATAATTGACATTTGTCGTTTTAGTAAAAATCAATGCATATGTGCGCCGTCAAGTCGAGTCGATTTGGTTGCTAGCGAGTGTAGTATTTTATAGAATTGTTTGTACAAAATACGTATAATTGTTGCTTAGTAAAGAAATGACGTGATACAATGATATAAAATAATAGTTCTGACATGTGGTGTGAGGTAATATTAATTAACGTGGGTGTTATTAAACGTAGTACATAATAAAACTAATTTTTTTGATGTTTAGTTGACATCATATTTTTTTTTAGTACGTTTGTTCCGTTGTGGAACAGGCTAAGGTCGGAGACCATGCTACCTAGTCTTCAATTGACATCATTTCTGGGTGTTTATGTTTTTTTTTTCATTTTTTTTTGCAGAGCTATGACGTCTCAGACATTATGCTATACTACTATGCGAGTGATTTATGGTAGGTACTGAAGCCTATTAAGAAAACCGGTTTCCCGCCAAAAGTAAAGTCATTACCTCAAAAGGTATATTAGTATATTGTAAACAAATCAGCGCGTACTGTGTACGTGCGACCTTGCCGTGTAATAAATGCAATGACACCACATGTTGGTCAACATATGGTCACTGTTCAACCAATAGAACGATTGTCCATACAAGGCGGCGCGGCGGCGGCACAGTATTGTTTATATGCACTCGTGTGCATGTACATATCAAACAAACTCCTTGTTGCTGGCAACTTTTAACAACAAATTTTTTTTTAAGTTTTGTACTATACATTGCTTTGAAGTTGCGTCTATGCTAAAGGCTAATACCCGATATCTATATATTCAGTTCTCCTTATCGATATTGATGACCATCCATGGCGGTATCGCTTATACCAATCGGATATCTATATTATGAGCGGGTTCTTCTTTTGGATATTATAGATTGGATCATCATACATCATCATTTCAGCCATTATCCGTCCACTGCTGGACATAAGCTTCACCCATAGGCTACCATAAGGAATGGTCCTGAACCACCTGTATCCAAGGAACCCATGCAATGCATGTCGTTGGGGGGGAAAGAGATTGTTAGTAATGGAGACTGAGAATCTCATTGCTAGCAATATACCCAACCAGTTCGACCTCCTCGCGGTTCTCCCTGGAATTTCTAATTCCTGATGAATTCATCGTGATAGACTAACTGGTCTGTTTTCATTCACATCTATCACCCTTCACTGGTGCTCCGCCAACTAAAATATATTAGATATTGCTGCATATTACGCACTCTTACTGTGCGATAACTGACCCGAATAAAACCGCGCGAGATTATATGTTAATCACTTAGCAAACATTTGTCAACTGTTACGAAACGCGAGGCGAACCAGAGGCTGTAACTATCATAAAACGTAATACTGCACGCTTCATTTGCCAGTTGGGTGGTTAGAGATATCCATGTCAAGGCCCGAGTCATAATCTATTCGTGTTTACGGAGCATACAGACACCATGGTATTTACCATTGTTTGATTGTTCTTTAACTATAATCCGCACGGTGTAGTATGGCTCGGGTGACAGATGATAGATAGATAGATACTCTTTATTGTTTCCTCCAAAAGATTCTTTATTGTACACAAAAGGTTATTGAAATGTAAAAACAAACATAATAGTGCACAAAGGCGAGCTTATCTCCAATAGAGATTTCTTCCAGCAAACCCAATATGAGAAAAACTGACAGTTTATTAACTTTTTTTTTAAATACACGCCTACAGAGCAGTTAAAGCTGGTAAATAATAGATCTAATGTTCAATGGGTAATAATGGAATGGTAACCCCGTCTGCGCTAACGGTATACACTGACGGGGCACCAGTGAATGATGATAGATAGGTGAGGATGAAAAGACAGGTCAGTTAGCTTATTGTGATGAACACACTTAGAATCCAGCACGATGGTTTCCAGAGGGGACCACTTGGAGGTCGACCTGGTTGGGTATATTGCAATGGGGTCCTTAGTCACCATTATTAACAATCCCTCCCCCCCCCCAGTAAATAATAGAGGAAGAAATATCAATTTGTTGTTCTGAGTATTTCCAGGTGTAGGTTTTTTTTACAACACAGAGGGCAAACGAGCATGCAGCTCAACTGTTGGTAAGTGACTACCGCCGCCAATGATCACCCACAACACCAATGGCATTGCAGGTGTGTTGCCGGCCTTTTAAAAAGAAATACGCTCTTTTCTTGAACAGGTCAGAACATTTGTATTATTGAATTGTGATAATCGATCGACATCTTTATTTATTCATTGCTCTAAATGTACGTGGCATTGACGTGTTATATTTAGTAATTTGTTGTAGCGACCTAGCTAAAAGTCGGGTAAGAGCAGGCGCTGTGTGCTAAGAGAGAGAGAATTGAGTATCAATATAAGTAAAATTAAATATAACTATGATTGTATTCCAAAAACAAAGCAAAGTTCAATAAAAATGCGGCGAAAGTAATTATTTTATTTTAAAATCTAAACCACTGAACCGATTTCAATCCTTTCAAATAAAAAAAAATAATTTTCAAATCAGTTTACAATTGACGGAGTTATAAACATAAAAATAACGGAGGTAATAAACATAAAAATATACAACCGAATTTAGAATTTCCTTCTTTTTAAAGTCGATTGAATATGAAAAACTTTTGTAGACTACAAATCCGCGTTCTAAATCCAAATTTATCTAATCGAATGTATTTGTAAAACATCTCGTACACAGATTAAGCATAGTACCTGTATTCTCTTTCTACGGTCTCATCATTCATCGAACTAGCATGTAATCACGATAAAAAAAAGTAGGTATTCAAAAAAAGAATAAAAATCGATCATGAATCATGGCGGGAAACGTTTAAAAAAGCGGGAGTGTTTTTTGATCTTCTTTAAATTAATTTTATTTTTATTTATATAAGGATTAGTCTTTTTTATATATTGTGTATTAGATTGTATATTTAATTGTATATTTTGTAGTAATAGTGTTTGTTGCTGTAAATATTGGTAAGTAAATTACCTATATTAACATTATGGATCCACCTATAGACCCTGGGGGGACAACCCCCCAGGTGTCTGCAAATATAACTATTCCATTCAATAATAGTTTTGATATATTGGGTGAATCTAGTATGGACACAAATGGTTCTAGCGTTGCAAGTTCTAAACGTAAGCGAGTACGTGGTGAACGTCGCATTTGCAAACATTGCAATAAAAAACGAAGGAGGCACACCAAGGGCCTTGAATCTAAAATTAAAGATAGTGATTGTCAATGTATTGAAGATGAGAATCAAACTCAAGTATCAATACCAGTTGTAAACAATACCGAGTCTGTTAAACCTACTTCTCCACCCAGTACTTTAAGCAGAACTTTGTACAATGCCGAGGATATAGCACCTTATGTCGTTCATGTACAAAAAAATGAAACACATCCTAATGATAACACTACATTACATCCTATTGCATTTGGTCGCTTTTTACACACTAATAAGATAAATAATATAGTGAATGGTAGCCTCAAAAGAATAGGAAGAAACCGTTTATCGCTTTCTTTCTCAAATTTTGAAAATGCAAATGCATTTTTAAATAATAGTAACTTAGAGACACATAATTTTAAGGCATTTATACCTTCTTTCCA